TGGCCGACGGTTGGCTACATACGGTGTGAAAGAAGTTCAACATACGTACATCGCCGTTTTTTTGTCACGTGTCCTGCTCTAGCCTGCTTCGTGTTATCAGGGTGATGTGTATAACTTTTCGTATTTTCTCTAATCCACGTGGAATCGGCTATGGATCCAGAACCACGGAGACTGTCAAAGTAAATGGTATGATGACTGAAAGGGGGCAAGGATAAGCGTGTAGAAGTGCACGCTTGTAATTGCATTGAAAGACCGTCAAGGGAACATCACCCCCCACCACAGCTTGTGAGATCGCAACATTTTAGCACAGCGTGTGAGATAGCAACATTTTAGTGCATGGGTTGTAAATCTTAATGTGTGACTGATCCAGGTAATAACAATAATAACAATTACTTTTAGTGTCTTTCCAAGAAATCCATTGGCAGGCACTTGACTGAAAAAGATAAATAGCAGCCCTTTCGTTTGATCAATAACGATACATACGTACATACACGCGCGCACACTCTTTCATATGTAACAGCACGGTGACATGGCCAGACAAATGAGACTGCTCACGCAGCTTTGTGCAACTCCCAAACCCGCTGGGCCGGGCTGCAAGGTGGTGGCACAGCTGTAAGGTTATCGAATCCATCTGTGCAGAAATTTGAGTTGTTACTCCAGTGGTATGCATGTTGGGTTTTCTCTGTGTACTCCGCTTTCTCTCCCACACGAAGCCAAACTCTCATCGATGGGATTGGCCAAGCATTCCCGTGTAACAGGACACCCCCTCAAAAAGAGTCTTGAAACTCAGTGAAGCTTTCGTGGGTAAATTATTGTAATGTATTGTGCTATGAAGGAAGGACATTGCATGAAACATTGTCTTTTTTTTTTAAGCCTAGGTGATTTCAGTTGTTTCTTTAGTCGTGTAATGATGTGTTGACTCAGCGATGAATCCGTATTATTGTAGTCATGATACGTGCTTCGAATCGTTTGCATACAAATGTATTCAAATGAATGGATTCTTGAATCCAATTGTGACTGAATTGTTCATTGTATTGTGAGGGAGGCAAGTTGTGGCGGTGCCTAGTAAAAACATCAGCCATAATCTATCCTCTGCAGGGGGAAAACCTCCCTAAATCGTTGCTATCTCTCACGGTCTTGCAATTGTAGTGCCATAGGTGGGCCACACTTATCAGCAGTGGTGGACAGGGCCCATCTGCAGGTACCTCGGACCCCCAGGGGAGGGGCGACTGGGGGCTCTATGATCCTAGACAGCTAAGCCCTCGGCAGCCCCTCCCCTCTTGGGCTGGCACAATGGCCTCTCCCCTGGGGGTCCGAGGTACCTACAGATGGGCCCTGTCCACCACTGCTGGTAAGTGTGGCCCACCTATGGCACTACACAATGCAAAAATATTAGCTAGCGGCTGCACAAGCTTAGGTCATTGCGGCATCTCTTTGGTAGACTTGCTCGCGGGCGTGATTGCTCCTTTGCTCACCACTGTCACAAGTCTCGACCACCGGCCAGCATTCCTTCTAGCGGCGCATCCTGTCCAAGCCCACTTAGGATATTATTTGTAAATCTCTGGTTATGATAAGCCCTGTGGGTAACCAAACGTACCGATTTTCCTTTAAAAAACATGATGGCCGACAAGGGCACGGTCGACAAGACAATCATGACTATGTCCCATGGGGGTAGATGCAAAGTTTTCCAAATGAACCCTCACCTCTGATCAACGACGCCAACACGTGCCACGCTAAGTTGCAACAGTCTACCAATGAACCCTGTAACCTCGGCACTGCTCTTTGTCCAGTCCCGTTGTGTCCCCGTTGCATTTCCTTAATGGACGTTGCGATGGAATTGGCCCTGGGGGTTGAGGCCAAGCATTGATCGCCGGGGCACAGGAATTCACAGCCTCTCAGGTCGGTGGCAGCAGCCTCTTGGGTGCTTTGAGTCCTAAGAGTTTCTCCTGCCAATCTTAGGATCATCAATACGTCTCTTCGGTTTGTCTATTGGAGCCGCTGGCATATTTTACACGGGGGTTCTCCCCAAGTCTTCCCCGTCAATTTAGTTCTCACCTAGTTGGATGACTTGCACAGTCTCCGTAGGCTTTATGGAAGCCTGGAAAGCAGAGACTGCGGGCGGTCACTGCGTCCCGTCATGTCACATGGAGCGGGAGAAGGTGGAGTTCGTTAATTATCAGGAATGGTTGGTCGGTTGAGTGAAGGGCAAATGATGGTTAAGTTTATTTTAAACAGAAGCCGTTAATGAGGTGCATTGCACATTGGTGTTATGTCAGTCATGTAATAATTAATTGATCCATCGATTTGAAATAGCTATTTGTGCTCATGATACGTACGTCAAAACATGTTTGAGGATTGATTCTTTCTGATCAATGTATAGGTAGGTTGGTAGGTAATTGGAATCCTTGATTTTACGAGATAACAGCTGATGGAGAGCAAACTAGTCATTTTCAAGTGGGACATGGGCTACAAAAGAATATAGTAAACATTTAAATTATATATATCGCAGAAAACATTCAACAATAATTCACAGTAGATTACCAACACCCAATTCATTAGACCAAATAATAATGTACAGTAAAATTAAAGTAGATAAAAATCTAATTTGAGGTGGCATGGTGGTGCAGTTGTTACCCGCACTGAACCTGGCTACCTAAAGTTTGATTCCTGGCCATAGCTAACACCAGTGGCAGGAGTCATGTCTGAACCGGTCCTGGTCCCCCCTGCGCTACGGCAACCCTCATTTAACTAGCGTGGTGAAGTATGGTCAAACAACCCCCATGACTGACGGGACGTGGGGGAGGACTTCATCCCGAAAGTGGATTGGCAAAGCAATTAATCCGTTCTTAATCCATTTAAAAAAAACCTGATTGGAGAGGAAAAAGAGAGATGCAGTGCTGCGGGGGTGTTTGTAATTCACTAAAATCCTGCAGCCACCAACAGAGTGCACTTCCTGGGCAGGGGAATAACGCTCATTGCAAACCTAATTAATTTATTTGCTCTCTCTTAGCTTTGGAAAGCCTCACCGAGTCTCAGAGACCCTCTCTCTCAGAAGAGCTCCTGCACACAATCGCCCTCCATTAGAGATTCACGCATGGTGGTAAAGTGAGGGAGGTGCCAAAGGGACACTTACCACCACGGCCTCCACTGCCCTTCTTAGAAACGTTTAGAGAGCAGTTTGTTTGTACCGTACAGGAGTACTGCGTTGGCTTTCTGCCTTTCTTTTCAGTGCTTGTGCTACTGTGCAGTTCTCGGGCTGGGTTGTGTAGTTAGGTTGTATCGTGTGTGTCTTGAACACTCGCCTCTTTAAACTTGGACTTTTACCACCTAGTTCTGGCCGTTTACCCAGCAGGTTCTATTTATTTTCTGCTTTCCGTATTGGGACCTTACGGATGAAATGTCCCTTACAGATGTAAATTTTATCGTTATTGTTGTTCGGCAAGATGCCCAATGTTTCGCTGCACGTGCTGGGAGCTTCTTGAATCAAGGCTGTTTTATGTCATCCAACATTTTTTTTATTTTACATTAATGTAAAATGCCCATTACATGCGTGCATTTATTTTTAATAATAATTTCGTGTTATATTTCTAGCAAAAATACTTTCATTTGTGTGCAATCAATTTTGTTAACCACAATTATTTATAATCTTGGTTCTTTTAGTAAAGTGACGTAGAAGGAAAATAATAAAATAATAAAAAATTACTATAAAATTATCACGACGTTTCGATTGCAACACAAGCAATCATCATCAGAATTTAAATGTTTTATTTTTATTATTTTATTATTTCCCTTCTACGTGACTTTACTGAAAGAACCAAGAATATGAGTCCCTGCAGTCACGAAAGCTTTAAATCACAATTATTTACCCAATTTTTGTCGATAATTATTGGTTTCCTTTTGACAGGAAAGAATATATGTACAAGCCCTTGGTCCGTTCACTGTTGGGTGAAGGCGTGTACCCCTCTTTGTGTCAATCACGGGGGTTTGTTTGACTCTGCAGTGTGCTTCACCATGCCTGCCCACTCAGTTTGGATTGCTGAATTCTGAGAGCGTACAATTACAGTACAACAATGGATTTAGCTGCCCTGGGCCTCCACTGCCCATCACTATTAGGACAATTTTGAAATCGAACGTGTCACTGTATATCATTCCGCCGGCCTTAGTTTGATTCCTGGCCGCTCATTGACGCAATTATATGGTATACACGAGGTCGTGGGTTTGATCCCTCCACATTTAGAAATATCCTTTGAGAGTATTTGTTTGCGTTAAATTTCCACATGATAGCCCAACTTAGTTGAACTATCATTTGTGGCCAGGTTGCTCCTGAAAAAGAGCTATATAGCTCAGTGGGCCTTACCTGGTAAAAAAAAAATAGTTTAGATTATCTGAAGCGGTCCTGGGCATCCCATCGGTCAATTCAGCCACAAATGAGCACATGATGTGGTGTGTTATTAGTATTATTACCAGGAAAGTCTCACAAAGTCTCATGAGGAGAGGGTTACCAACCTTTAATAGTAGGGGGCTGATGATTGCTATGCATAATCCCAATTGCATAATTTGCGATAATTTTTTTCAAATTTAGGCCATGACGCCAGAACACAACCGTCTATTTGGCAATTACATCACGGGATCTTTAATGTCCACTGCGAAGCGGACTGCGGATACGGTATTTTTATGGTTGATAAGCACCGCGGTATTAACCGGTGTTGTATTCGAACACTACCACCAGGCTGTGGCGCCGTCCAACTTCAGCACTGGGGAGACGGAGGCAGCCTGATGTGGTGCTGACGCATGCCCATGGTCACAAATACACGAAGTTTCGCTTGAAAATGTGTCAAGACAAGGTCCAGGAAGTTAGAGTCAAATCCAGGAAGTCAGAATAACTGTGCCACCTGACCCGGTTTCTTGAATGTTTTTGATTCCATCATAGCAATAACTGATATCTTACCCTCCACAAATTTATCCTAACTTTACCGTCACCCCTCTGCGCGCGTGTGCAGGCCGACGGCACGGATGGCGCCCTGCCGCCGCCCGAAATCAAGCTGCACAGCAACCCGTCGGCCTTCAACGTGTACGCCAGCGTGCGCCAGTGCGTGCTTGAGCGGCGCTGGCGTGCCGGCTGGCCCGCAGGCTCCCTCGGCTCGGGCGGCGCCATGGGCTCCCTGCTGCCCGGCGGCGCCGCGGGTCGCGCGGGAGGCGCGCTGGCCGGCGGGGCGGCGGGGGCGGCCGCCGGGGTGCAAGCGTCGCTGTCGGCGGCGCAGCTGACGGGAGCCGGGGGGCTGGCCGCGTTTGGCGGCGACTCGGAGAGCGAGGAGGAGGACGAGGAGGCCCGCGAGCCGCCCACAAAATTACCCAAGGTCAGAATCAGAATATCTGTTTAGACTGGAGCAGTTTTTTTGACAGATGTCCTTAAGGGGCAGATCAGAACGTTCCACGTTATTACAACATGGATGTAACTACGTAACTTTACCGAAAGAACCAAAGAGCAAGGATGTATTTAGCATCTACATCTTCATGCGACTGTACAGAAACTGGCTTTATTTCACAGGTAATGTGTTCTAATTTCCAGAAGCTTTTAGTGGTGGTCTGTTTTTCACATCTTAAAGGATTTATTTTTAGCTGTGTATAATTCTGTTCCAATGATGCTCCTAGCATCCTGTCATGAGACTAATTTATAAAAGGAGCCCTCACAGTGTGCAGTGGAACATAAGCTCGTTTTAAAGCGACCTCCGAAGACGCTCTGTGATGTCACATTCCTGGGCTGTTCTCGCACACTTGTACACGGGCTACGCACCGCTCAGCGTGATGTGCAATGTTTTGGTCTATGTGCTGAGAGCATCTGCAGGAGCGGTGGTAATTATTTTGCTCACGGCAGCCCCCCCCTCCACCATGCTGTAGACTCCCTAACCCCTGTTCAATTCCAGGCTCCAGAGCTTCCTCTGTGCCTATTTGGCTGATTTGCCCCTCTATCTTCTTGTAAAATAACTATGCCCACATTTCTTTGCAACTTCTTTGAGAAGCGCTTGCGTTCAGACGCTGCGCAAGCTCGCGTTGTAATTGTATTGAGCTCCATTTAGAAATTACCCGTCGCTTTCCTTTGCTGGCAACGGCACAGTGCAATTTGTTATTTATAAGGCACCTAATTGAGACCGCGGATGGAGATACCGTGTGAATGTGCGGGCCGTCGGCTAAAGCGATGAGTTGGGTACTTGTCAGCACAAAGAAACTTTCCTTTTCTAAAAATCTGTTTTCTTTATGGCCTCAGAAGCTGCATTAAACTAATGTATTATTAATCCTACAATTTCCACCATCCTTCATCATCATCATCATCCTTTTATTATTGATTATGATGTCATTACCGTAATGGGTCTTAATTGTTACTTTTGCAATTACTGTTCATTTAAGGTTATTCATTTTGTTCTCATTTCTATATGATATTACTATCATGCGTGTAATAATACGCCGTAATCTTGCATGTTATGACCGACGTTATAATTCAGCCCTTTCCACTGCTGGATATCACCGCCGTGGTTCAAATGCAACTCGGAGGCTCGTTCGTGGTTGTTGGTGGCTGTTCCCTTGAATTTAACTTATCGATTCCTTCACCGGCTGTTTCGTCTCATGTGATCCATATTGAGTCGGACCATCACACTGCAGGTCACAACAACAGTCACTCACCCACCCATTGACCCATTCACTCACCCACCCACTGGCCCATTCACTCACCCACCCACTGACCCACTCACCGACTCATCCACTCAATTGCTCACCCACTCACCCACACTGCTGGTCACAACACCTCAATTTATGCAACTTCTTTTGCATTGCTACACTTTGGCATTTCCCTCCCATTGCCTTTTCTCCCAATCTCTTATAATCACCTTACGCACTTCAACAAACGTGTTAACCCTTTTCTATTACAACTGTGATAGTGCTGTTTGTTGCTGGTCACTTGAAATTTTGCCCAACTATACGAAAAAAATGACCATCATCATTGTTGCGGTTATCACATCATCATCTGCAGTTTCACCATTATCTTCTTAATAATTTGTCTTTTGTTCATTGCTTTCAAAAATCAATGCCAAATGATTAATAAGTCATGTTGCTAGTATTGTTATTGTCACCATTGTTAGCTTCTTTGTCATCATACTCGCTAATGTAATTTGCTTGATCATCATCAGTAACCTCATCATTATAATAACATGGTTTTGGTTATCATCAGTCACCATCATTAGGATTAACATGGTTTTTATTATTATTATCAATCACCATCATCAAGATAATTAACTTGGTTTCGATCATCATCGAATCACCATCAATTCACACGGTTCGATCATTGAAATCAATTGCCAACAGTCTTCAGTTGCCTTTCATTACATTACAACGCCTTTAATAACAGTGATGATGATGATGATAATAATAATCGTTGTGCGTGCCGAATGCTGAATAATGAATGACGATGGTGGTATTGTAGACGGTGTGTCTGCCGACTAATCCATGCTAACAATGGCCGGCTGCTCAGTAATGGAGGCTCACCCCGGCACGCATGCTGCTGGCAATCGGCAGTGAAGAGTGCCGCGCATAAATCATTTGGCTGCCAGTCGAGGCTCGCTATTACACGGCTTTGCCATTCATAGTGGAGGGGAGGGGGGGGTTGCAATCTTTCCAGCAGCCTCCTGCCACATTGCTACAAAGTGCCTCCCTTGTCCCACCGCTTTGGTGTGAAACACCAATAGTAAATACCCTCCGTTTATTCGGGAAATCCTCACCGGGTCTCGGGACTCTTTATTTGTTTCAGGAGGGTCCTCTGCTACATGGAGTTATTTGGCCATTTCATTTTTTTTTAAATAAGCATTTGGCTTTGTGTGGGAGGAAAGCGTAGTACCCGGAGGGAAACCCACCACGCATTTGAGGGGATAGCACTCGCATCTCTGCACAGATGGAATCAGAGGCAGGGGGTCAGCAGCACAGATGATTGAGGGAAGGGAGTTCCAAACTGAACAAATGATTGATACTCTTTGGTTTTTTCGGTAAAGTCACGTAGGTTAAAAGAAAACAAATAAATTAAATCACGACGTTTCGGAAGCAACACAAGCTTCCGTCTTCTTGTGTTGCCTCCGAATCGTCGTGATTTCATTTATTTGTTTTCTTTTAACCTACGTGACTTTACCGAAAAAAACAAAGAGTATGAATCCTTGCAGTCATGAAAGCTTCAAATCTAAAATGAAGTTGACTTCATGCGCCGACCTCCCAGTTTGACTGGGGTCTTAAACAGAAATCTCATCCTTTCCCTTATAAAGGAAGCCAGCGATCAGAATTGCATGTGCATAATAAGATTTTTAAAAATGTAACAAAATAATCAAAGCTGCAGTTTTTTTTGCTAATTTCTTTTTAACGACATGCAGTTCTCTTGAGTTTTTTTTCTGTTTGGGACGTCTGTCGGGCCTTCTGCTGCCCTGCGAGCCTGCAGCTTTTGCCGTGCCGAGTGACGTGACCAGAGGGGACAACCGTCATCCCCCGCACAACATTGTGTCCAGTTCCTTTCAGCTTCCACGCCGCCCCAGCACCCTGTTCTCCACCTGTCCTACCGTACTTAACCCACTGGTTGGTTGGTAGAGCCAGTCTCACATTGCCTAGAATGCTGCACAATGAATCTGGCAACCCACAGGTCAAATGCCAATCATGGGTAATATTAGTGGTGAGTGATATCTGAACCGGTCTTGCCCCCCTCTGCCCCAACCCCACAGCCCCGGCTGCCTACCTCACCGAGCCGCGCTGACCAGCATGCTGAAGTATGGTCAAACATCCCCCGTGACCGACACAGCATGGGGAGGTCTTTGCCCAGCAGTGGACTGTGAATTGAAATTTCGAACCCGCTGGCCATCGCTCACGCAACTGCCGTCTGCGTCTTCCACTTCCCTGTGTGTGCCCCCCACGTCCCCCCAGATTGTCGGCATGGGCCTGTGCGGCGTGTTTGAGCTGATCCGCGAGACGAGACGGAGCCACCCGGCGGTGTGTGCACGCAGCCTGCAGGCGCTGCTCGATGTGCTGCAGGGACAGCTGCCCGAGGGCCTGCAGAGTGAGCCCAGCGACATTCTGGGTGAGTGGGTGCCAGGTGTGGGGGTATGCGTGTGGGGGCGGTGTACGTTTTTTGGGTGTGCGTGTGGGGGCAGGTGTCGGGGGGGGGGGGGGGGGAGCGTGGTGGTTCACACACTGCGCCGTGCTTCACACACTGCGCCACGAAACCTGGCAAACCGAGTTCGATTCCCACACGTGGATAATATAGCTGATGAAAATCTGAAACGGTTCTGGGCCCTCCCCTAAACTGGCTGTGCCTGAATTAAGTACCTGGTGCCCTGTGTAAACATCACCACTGGGGAGACAAAGGTGGCAGGGTGTGTGTGCAATGTGCTGTGCCTTTATAGGTGCTTGCTAACAAGAATTGCCCAAACAGTCTGTTAAAGTCAAAGTAAGGGTTCTTTTATGAGATCTGCATGTGTGGATAGGTGTGTGTGGATAGGCATGTGATGGTTAACCCCACACCACGCCCTGCCATTCATTATCATGAATCACAGGGGGATGGTGTCAGGATTCAGTCACAATTCCACTCAATAATCAGTTATTTATAACATCATTCTTTTTCCCAATTTTATGCCAGCTTTGATATCGACGTCGTGTCACGAGGTGAAGGACTGCCCATTCCAACCTTTCACATCACTCCCATGTCAGAATTCAAGGTCACGATTTGATTATTCATAACCTACAGCATGGCAGTGACCAGTGGCAGCAGTCGGATAAATCTCGAGTGTGGCACAGATTTACAAGAAACAATGTTGCTCACTGTCACTCCTTTGTTTACCCAGCGAACCCTCACTGAGTCTCGTGGCTCTCTTAGGAGGGTCTTGCCAAATGTTTGCAGTCAGGGCAACGGTTACAATCTGCAATCCCAATTGAGCTATTTGCGGGTAAATTTTTCAAATTTGACAAATTTGGACCGTGACTCCAGCGTGTACAGTGGTCTATTGTCGCGAACGATCTCACGGGATCTTTAACTGTCCACTGGAAAAGTGGGTGGCTGGCTCTATTTTACAGGTCATACTTGCCGTGTTACCGCTGCCCCTAATCTGGGGGTGAGATAGGAAGTTGGAAGATTAAAAAGGAAACCTGGGATCTGAGAGAACCCACACATAATAGGGGATAATCAGCAATAGCCATGATCTATCCACTGTTGCATGAAGGCCCTTCCCAAATCGTCGCCATCTCTCATGGTCTCGTGATGCAATAATCCACCTCGCTTCCTGCACATAAACCAATCTTATTGCCCCATCTATGATGGCTTATAACTTTGCAAGATAGAGTGCAGTACAGCCTCCTAGCTGTACTGACGTATCTTTACCACCTCATAGCCAGGTGGAATGGGAGTTTCACTGCACATTATGGCCACAAGCTCCAATGTCAAAAGCATTGAGTTACCAGGTTATGCATCTAGTGGTGCGTCAATCCTAACACTCACGGTACGTGAATCAGAGCATGCAATTAAGAATAGTCTATTTACATTTTATGCGAATTTAATTAAAGATTTTCTGATATTACATTGCATCTAATGGAGCAAATAAGACTGTGCAATTGCCACCGGAATAACGAGAAATTATGAAGGTGAGACAAAAAGAGAATCTATGCTTGAATCGAAATCGCAACCCTGAATTGCGACAATGAATCTCAAGCGTTGCATCGGTGAATTGTTACACGCCTAATTACAGGTGTGCAGTGGAGCGTTGGTGCATTGGTGAGAAAAATACGGCTATGAAACCACCAACCCTACTCCAACTCCTTGCCATGTCAAACATTAGTGGCGAGTGACATCTGAACTGGTCTTGGGTCCCCTTCACCAATATGCACTGACCAGCTTGCTGAAGTATGGTCAGACGTCCCCCACGATCGACATGGCGTGGGGAGGGCCTCATCCAGCCGTGGATTGCGCCAAAACAACCGGCTGTATTCACACACCCCCGTAGCTCCGAGGTCAACGGTAGAATTCGTACATCGCCACAGCGGGACGTTTTTGATCTGTCATTTTGACTCAACCATTACAGAGCGTGACTGTCGCATCACACCTCCCAACGCCTCTCATCTACTCCCACCATCTCCTACGGCTACTGTCAGCTGTTCTTATGGGGAGTGGGGGGGCGGGTCAGTCGGGGGGGGGGGGTGGTCAGGTGGTAGGGGGTGGGGTAAGAGGGAAGGAACGAGTGTGCGGAGGCGCGCACGCCCTGAATGTTGAACAGTGGTGATGTCACTGCTGCTCAGCTGGTTCTGGAAAATGATGTCGGTAGCAGGCGGCAGCCGTGCCATGATGGATTCTTGCATCGTTCAGCGTTAACCCCTTCTGCTCTTTCTGCCTCTGAGAGACTGTTATTTTTGTAGCATACGCCAAAAAGAGAATCGATTTAAGATTAAAACACCGTATTGCCTTGACAGAATTAGGTGATGGCTAATTCAAATACACATACAATTAGCGATTGAAATGGCTGTACTGTATAAGCATACATTACAAAAAATAGTATTTTTCTTTGTCACTGCCTTCCTCAACATCATCTGTGAAATATCCACTGCTGCATTAAGGCCCTCCCCAAACTGTCACAGTCTCACTATCTAGCTTTTGCTGCACAAACTGATTTTATTGCTCCATCTCCAAGGGAGATGAACCATCGGACATGTGTGCCTCTTGGCTGCCAATGCATCGTTAGTCTCAACCACCAGCGAAATATCGTAATGTTGCTAGCAACAATGCCGTTATCGCCTGTGTTGGTCTGTTTCGCTCGCGTAGTGGTGACACAGACCACCTCTTGCAGAACCAAATTCAACAAATCGCACAAAAACTGCCCTACCCAAGGGTGTTTAGGTCGCCATCTCCTGGGTGTGGCAGTACAGCGATTGGATTGATTTTCATCGCTATTCTCGCCGTACGTTGGATGTTTGCTGTCTGTGCGGGAGTGGTACCCGTCTCGCTCTCGTGGGAATTTTCCTCCCGGATGCTTCCATTTTGTTCCCACGTGTGGAGATGTGGAGATGGGTGAATGTTCCAATATTGCACCACAGAGCTTGGCCAATTGTTTGCTCTGGTTCTGGCTGCCTTCACTGCCTGTGTGTGGTTTCCTGCGCCTCCTTGCTGATAACTGAGACGCAATTAATTCAAGTGACCACTGGTCCATACTCTAGGGGGCAGCACTTTCCCACCTGTCTTGCAACATGAGAGTAATGTCCTTTGCATGACGGACTGATACTTTTCATTCTCAGAGCTGGAATTTAGCCAAATTCAGTGGAGAACCATATTTTAATTTGAAGATTTTTTTTTACGCGGTTATTGATGGCCCTGTCTGAGACCATAAACTTCACTACACTTGCTATCACGGTTTAATAACTACTCAGTTGACGTGAGCCTATGGGTATGGATATGAGCCGATTGTACTTCATTGGTGACATGGGCTGAGACCATAAACTCGTTATGAATTGGTACCTCGGTAATTTGTTCCAGAAGGTAGGAGGACTTAGACCCGAAAATGACGTATACCAAACGAATTTTTCCCATAAGAAATATAGGGGAAGGAAATAATCTGTTCCAGAGTATAAGAAATTATATTTTATATGGCATATTATACATTAATGGGGTTGTATCAAATAATTTAGACACTACTTATTACTAAAATGCATACATAAGTTAAAATAAATGCATAAATAATTTAAAATAAATTGAAATAAAAATTAAACGTAACATCACTTTACCTTGCTGAGAGGAGGTGATAGCCTACGAGGATGGTGGTGAGGAAGGGGAGGAGGAGATGCTATTTTTTTGAAGGAGAGTCCCCTTCCATTAAAACTACTGCACAGGCAGACTGAGGAGCGGCGCTTTGTCTCAGTCGTGAACGGGGTCTACGCGGGTACGCGGTGACGCATCCCGACCCATACAAGTTCTTGCAAGCGTGTCGTATCCCAAGCAAGACGTCGTATCCCAAGACATTTTTTTCTCGTCAAAACACGACGTATATATTCCAAAGCGGTTGTATACCGAGGTATGACTGTATTTGAGAACCCGCTTGAATCGAACCCCATGTTCACAGCGGTGCTGGTGGCTCTCAATGTCTTTGTCCTCTGAGCAACCTCGCCACCACATTGACTTTGGCACGCCCCTCTCTCAACAACGTTTGTCGGTCACGCAGAGGCTCTGTTCGCGCTGCTTCTGGACCTGACGACGAGAAACGGGCCCGGCTCGTCGTCCGCATCGACGCGTGCGAACGGCGGGGTCGAGGGGAGCACCGGAGGAGGAGGTTCATCTTCCACCGCCACCGGCTCTTCTTCCTCGGCGGGCGCGAACAGCGACAGCATCACGTCGCTGGCGTGCGCATGCCTCTTCAGCCTCGTCGTGGCGTGGGGCGATACGGGCAAGATCCTGCGCGCCGTCTCGGCCATCCTCTCCCGCAACAGCAGCCTGTCATCGCAAATCATACAGGTGCGCTCACGCCTAGAGGATTGTCCGTCACTACACGTTATTGCGATCCATGCTGTTTTTATGCCGGTAGGCAGTTCTACACAAGTTAGGCAACCTCGAGGTCACGTGATCAAATCACCTGCAATGCACCTGATCTGGTCAGTCGGCCTCTGTGTTCGTCTCTGTCTCTCTGTTTCTCACGTGGTCCCTGTGTCGCCCTGTGTCTGCTTCCATGTGTCTCTTTGTGTCTTTATGTGCATGGCTGTGCGTGTGTTTGTCTCCTTGCAGTAGTGTAGCGGTTCATACACTGCACTACGAACCCGGCGACCCGAATTAGATTCCCACTCAACGGCCAACACCAGTGCTGTATATCTTAATTGGTCATAGGCCTCCCCTACGTCGACTCGGCCTCAAATGAGTATCTGGTGCAATGTGGAAACATCGCTACTGGGGAGACTAAGGCAGCAGGGCATGGTGCTAGCCACCCACCCCCTTCGTATGCTGTACAGCCTTCATAGGTACTGCTACTCACGAACAGTACTTGCCCCAACAGTCTGTTGAAAGGTTATACGGAGGATCTTTGCTTGTCTCATTGCCTGCCAATTTGTCTGCCTCCAACTGCTCCTCTGTCTTTCTCTCAAAGTCGATCCAAACGTTCGAGTAAGCCACGCTTCTTTGCGCAGTTGTCAAATTTTCCATACAACTTCCTTCGCTAGCACCCGTGTTTCTCATCCACGCGTCCTAGCCGGTGACACGCACTCTGCTCCTCGTGTCGTCCGAAGGTGCCGGCCATCCTGAGCGCGCTGCAGCGGTCCGTGCAGGCCGCCCTTGTGGGGCGAGCGCAGCTGCAGGACTGGTGCAGCGGGGGCGTGCGGCGGCGCGCGCTGGTGCAGCGCTGGATCCTACGGGAGGTGTCCACGGAGCTTGCAGAGCGGTGCCTCATGCAGAGCGACGGCGCCTATCTCTACGTGCTCACTAGCAAGGGCCTCTACAAGGTCGGCTCCGGCTACGGCGGCACCGTGCGGGTAAGTTCATTTGTTTGCGCGCTCGGTTTTTTGTCCGCTTGTTCGTCCGTTTGTTATACTCGTCAATCGAAGGCACCGCACGTCGCACCGCCGCTTCCTTCTGTATGTATGTGCGGTATGTTTAACTTCTTTCACACCATATGTAGCCCAGCCGTGATAATCGGAGGTGCCGGGGAAGCACAATAAACTAAACACAAAAGGCAGTTCTGCTCTATGCCGCAGATGTTGCAGAGTTGACACCTGACCCTTGAGGATTGTTCTTACAGCCTCCTCATCGTCTCCACCGTTTGGTTTTAGATCCGAACATTGTTACACGATTGGCATGTCCTTCAAGGACCACTCTTACGTTACGTCAGAAACATATTTGGTGGTCTGGCCGAGACTCAACAATTCACTTCGCTTGAGAAGCCCAGTTTGAATATGGGCAGTTGGAACCTAGGATTTAAATCCAGGATCTCAGCGGTCCCGGCTCAATTTCCAGTTACCGGATCCTGAACTGTTGACCTTGTATGTCTCGTGTTGTCCGTTGCTTTGCCATAGGGCCACGTGTACCACTGCAATCTGTCCATTCGCAACCGGAAGGATCGCAAGGCGTGGCTGGGACACATACAGGTACCTACAGACGTGAATATAAACATACGGATGTGAATACACACATGCGGTACATAATCGCACACGCTCGGACATGAACACGCATGGCTGATGCTGCATGAAGATCAAAATGATGTCTCTGACCTGCCTATGTCCTAAAATGTACATATTCCTCTTTATTTCTCTCAAATTCATTTCAAGTGTACCCCTTTGCATGCTATTTGAACACTTTCTATTTTCTTTGTTAACGCCCAGATTTTTTGATGCATTCACCCTCATAACAGGTAAATGCATAAAATACATTAAATATATCCGACTATAACCACGCGTCGGAAAACGTTCCAGAGTCGATGCACATGAATGATTTTTCTTCCTCGTCCTTTTTTTTTCCCGGGGCTGGCTTTGTCTTTGCAGGGGCGGCTGCTGTACCAAGACTGCGCCACCTCGGGACAGCCGGGCACCGCCGTGAGCATCCACGCCGAGACGCTGGAGCATGGCCCACCCGTGAGCCTGCCCGGTGAGCGACGCGGTTTCAACAAAACGTCGCCCTTTTTACACGCTTTGTTGTATCCTCAAATCTTGTAACTCAATTTTTACCCACTTCCCAATGTGGTATCGACTGCAAACTTGGTATACTTATGTCATAGTGATAACAATACCATATTCTATTATAAAAAATAAAATAAAAATTTCTAAATATTATTTTTACACGCGTTTTATTTACTCACGCTGTCTGTTGTTGTATCCTCAAATCTTGTAACTCAATTTTTACCCACTTCCCAATGTCGGTATCGACTGCAAGCTTGGTATGCTTATGTCATAGTGATGACAATACTGTATTCTATCATTAAAAAGAAAAAATATTTATTTTTAAACATTCTTTTTTATATGTTATGTTTCGGCTTGGGTCTAATTGTCCACGCTCAACTAACGTTGGCTGTAAATCACCACGGTCCCTTACGTTATGGCAAGCTTCGGGGCCACTTCTTGGAGTCGTGGAGTTCTTCCATTACTAGTTCGAGAACGATCCACAGAAGTGTATATATGTATGTATGTTGAGCTTCTTTCTTACCGTACGTAGCCAACCATGCTCATCGAAGGTGCAAAGTGGATGGTAAAATATAGCTTGAGTCACATAGCCAGGCACGATGGGGGGTGCCCTTGTAATCCAGCGCTTTGAAGGTGAGGGTTTTGTAGCTGGTGCAGATTTGTGACACTTCCCACTAGCCGCCACATGGGCTGCGAGGTAGGCCGGAAGATGGCAAAACAGAAAGAACTCATCTGTGCGGACTTTTGAGTGCTACCCCCTCTCTTGCATGTTAGGCAGGGGGGGGGCATAACACTCAATCCCTGTACAGATTGAAATGAACCCGCTTGCTGTACTGCCATACTATGGCAAGCCAGAAGATTGCGATCTCGACGCCCACGGGTAGGGTGCTGTATTACAGACGTCCCCGTGATCTCTGCATGTAACTCCCCTTCTCCTATGTGTGCAGGCCGCAGCGTGGATGGAGAGAGCATTCTGTTTACAGATGGGGAGCACGTGAACCAAATCGCGGCCTCCAAAGATGTAAGTGAAGTTGTATCGCTTAAAAATAAACTCAATAGTGTAAGAGAATTCATGTTGAGATTGCTCTTTCAGTGTGGAGTGGTTTTGTTGTGTTTACAGTGCTACGCTACACACACAGCGACCCGAGTTCGATTTCTTCTCACAGCGAACCGATATTTGAAACGGTCCTGTGCCTCCCCTGAGTTGGGTTAGCCTTGAAATGAGTACCTGTGTGCTGTGTTCGCTCTCGTAGGTGCTCGCTAACAGCACTTGCCCCAACAGTCTGTTAAGCTGTAGGGGGTATTTTTGTCTTGTCTTTGATGTTAGTGGGCGGCTCAGCGATGAGTGTGTTCACAAGAATATTCGGAGCGGTGTGATTCTGTGACCTTCCCAGAATTATTTTTGAACAAAGTCCATGGGGACTGGATTAGACAATGTGACACTTTGGCTCCTTCGTTTTGGTGGTTGACACCGCAAATGAGGTGTCACATCCCGGCGGCATGACCCAGCAGAAACCCCCAAAAAATACACCCCGGAGAAGTTGATTTTAAATAAAAAACGGTGAATAAATGTGAATCGCTCTACCGGCGGCGCGTAATCAGGCAGAATGTCACCCACAATTTACGAGTATCATTTTTTTTGGGGTGGTTGTGTTGGATGGCGCCACAGTGAAGCTATTTGGCCATGTCTGACTTTAACACCTGGGCACAGCAGCTGACCTTCTTCATACCCATCGGGAAATAGTCTCATTCATTGATTCACAGATTGCACTTCAATCGTTTCACTCACAAACTAATGCATTATGTGTTGTGGTGCGTACGACTCAATTGTTTGCGACTGGTAACGACGAATCGAGCTGAGAGTGGTGGCACACAACTCACCAAGAGCTTTGTGGAGATGCAAATGTCACGAAACTCCATTCCCATCGTGGGCGTCGAGGAACTGTCGTACCCTGGCTCTGCCAGGAAAAATTCAGGACAGCAAAATTGTACTTTCTACCCATTCCGTCTGTATGGGGTAGAGTGTCGCCCCCTGGCACGCTTGGCTTTTCCCCGGGTGCTCCAGTTTCCTCCCACATGTAAACGCTCATTATTGGCCAATATTACCTTAATATGTAGGGGATCGCAAAGTTTGGCCAATCATTGGTGCCAATTTATAAGGCGCAATTCATCCAAGGGTCTCGGTGCGCCATGCACAATTTAAGGACATATAAATACAGTAAAACCTTGGATTGCGAGTAACTTGGTCTGCGAGTGTTTTGCAAGACGAGCAAACATTTTAAATAAATATTAATTTGATAAACGAGCGAGGTCTTGCAATACGAGTAGTACGTATACGCTTTGTCTGCCGAGCGTCACGTGATCACAACTGATATACGAGTGCTTTGGATTACAAGCACGTTTCCGGAACGAATTATGCTCGCAATTCAAGGTTTTACTGTACAACAAAGTTCAGAGTCTACTGTTCATACATGGAAAGCGTAGGACAGGTGAAAAAGGGTGAGTCTTTAGAGAAGACCTAAACATGGCAAGTGACATCACCTGTCTAACCACTGGTGAGAGTGCATTCCATAGTCTTTGGGCAGCACATGCAAATGCTCAGTCACCCCAGGTGCAGAGTCGAGTTCTCGGCACATGGAGCAGATATAAATCAGCAGATCAGAGAGGCCGTGACGGTACATGCAGGTGTATCAGTTGTTAAATATACCAAAACAAAGTTGTCTCGCTTTAGCCTTACAGGTGGGAAGTTCCGCTCGCGCGCACCTATTGGCCCCGGCACGGAAAATATTATTGAGGACCTGCTCCCATCCCCACCCCTCAGGACGGGTTCGTGGTGCGAGCGCTGTCCGTTGGCTCGGAGCCACCCCCACAGCAGGAGCTGCAGCTGAAGCTGGCGCGCAAGTGCCTGCACGCATGCGGCCTCTCGCTGCTCGACATGGAGAAGGACCTGCACATCATCAGTAAGGCGCACGCGGGAAGCCACTCGCGCTCACTCCTGTTTCTCTCCTCTTCCCCCACTGGCGCCGTGCTCCCTACCAACAAACAATGTCAGTTGGCGCAAACCAAGTTGCACGCAATCATTGTTGTTTCTAGGGTGCCACGGTGGCGAGATGTTCACTACCTAGCCTGGTTATGCAGGAGGTCGCGGGTTCGATTCCAACCCTGACGCCTGTATATTTGGAGTTTGCATGTTCTTCCTGTGGTCGCGTGGATTTTTCTCAGGGTCCTCCGCTTTTTCCCTCCACATTTAGAAACGTGCGTTTCCAGTATTCGACTGCTATGAATTTCCACATGATAAGCCACTTTGTTGAGCGATCATTTTTGGCCAGTTCGCTGAAAGATAGCTACATAGCTGAGTGGGCCTTACCTGGTAAAAAAATAGTTTATTATAGTTTTAACTCCGCGTTTGCTCAAATAGCGCCATGCCTTTGCTCTATAACACCATCAGCAAAGCACAAGCAAAGCTGCTTGTGGGTTTCGTTGTCTATCTCCTTCCCTGACTGGCCCTGTGTTCTCAACCACAATGTCATTATTAAGGCACTTGTAAAGATGAAATGTGTGTAGTGATCATAAATCAACGTCTAAGTTCGAAACCATCATCAGTAAGTCATCGTCCTTGTTTCTTCTCTCTTGCCCCACCGATATTATGCCTATACTTACCACACCATCAGTGTGGTGTGTACGATGGGAATAATTTCTCTCTTCCTGCTCCACTGGCACTATGGCTCTACCTACAACATCGTCAGCAGGTGCTAGGGAACTGCATATGGCCATCTCTTTCTCTCTCTCTCCTCTTGCCTGACCGGCATCCCAATCATCATCACAAACAAAGCTGCAAGACTATGAGAAGTGGAGAGGAATTCAAAGTAACCATTAAATCACCCTGCAAAGGTTCCAAGTGGCAAATGAAAAGACCGTAGGGAGGGGAAATCTTTATGGAAAAACAAGTGATATTTTGACGCTTACCTTAGCCATGGTAACGTTTGTTCCTTCACCTCATTGCGATGACAGGAGCCGTCACCAAATAAACTGAACAAGCATCACTTTGTCGCCTTGTAGGCACAGGCTTTGACGAGGAGATGGCCATACTTGGAGCTGGTCGCGAGTTCGCTTTAATGAGAACGGCCAACGGAAAGGTAATTAATCCTTCGGTACAACAGCCTCCGGTTTCTATGCATCACAAAATAACGAAACTGCTCGGGGGGGTTGGGCAGGTGGCTCACAGTGTCTGCTACCAGGGCAGAATGGTGAGCTGGCACTGCTGATATTCTGGGTCGGAATGTCGGGTTTATCGACAAATGATTAATCCTTCTTGCACGGGTGACCCGCACACAGAAACAGGTTGTTTGAATCTCCTGTGCGATTTACGGTGTGCAGGCGAGATCAGTGCAGCAAAACACACTGTTGTACTGTTCTTCTGTGCTCCCACGTGTACGAACCCCCTCACCCCCCCACCTTCGCCAACCCGCGCCAAGCAGCGTGGCAAACCTTGATTAAACAATCCCCGGTGCCGAAGTGGGCAAGCCCTTATCCAGCAGTGTTATGTATGTATGTATGTTGAACTTCTTTCGCACAGTACGTAGCCAACCGTGCTAATCGGAGGTACGGAAAGTCAGCAGATTAACAAAAGTCAGTGGGTTAACAAAAGGGGACGGCGCTGTGCTCGTACGCGAACCGATGCATCGTCATACACCTCCCCGCTGGCCGGCGACTGCAGGTTTACTACACGGGCAAGTACCAGAGCCTGGGCATCAAGCAGGGTGGCCCGGCCGTGGGCAAGTGGGTGGAACTGCCTCTCACCAAGTCGCCCAAGATCATGCAGTTTGCCGTGGGCCACGACGGCGGCCATGCGCTCATGGTGGCGGAGGACGGCAGCGTCTTCTTCACCGGCACCGCCAAGAAGGGCGAGGACGGCGAGTCTGGTAAGCCGCCGCGCCGCGCCTGCCCCCGACGTTGACGCCCCGATGGGCAGAGGAGAGGGGTCTCCTCTGCCCATCGGGGCGCCACTGGCAGTTCATGTTCGCAGTATTAGCGCCTGGCGCGGAAAACGTCATTCGAGGTGGAACAATTGGTCGATTGAGAAGCTGGTTAATCGATTGGAAATTGTAATGGCTAGTCTGTTGCGGTTGATTGCTCGGACCCCTTTCAAAAAAATGGCAGCCACCATGATGTCCTGCCTCCTGAAGGTGGGAAACCCCCGCCCAACAAGCCACGGCCTCCGTGCATTTGCTAATGATACCGATGATGTCACCAAGCCCTGCCCATTACCTCCCATCCAGCGGCACACGCAGGAACGGAGGTGACACTTTATTTTCCAACTATTTGCATGTGCATCGATTAGTTGAGAAATCGAACCGATGATCAGGAGAGTAATACATTTCGATCTTTCACACCAGCTGATTTCATCCCTGTACTTCCGTGGTGGACGTCCTCTCGGGTGTGTTGCCTCCTTAACCTGCTCTGTCATCAGTCTCGACCACTAGCTATGATCAAGTCCAGCCCAAGCCCCCTTCAGTATGACATGTTAACTTGTGTATGTTCCCCGATTCACGTTTGTTTGAATACAAATCAAGTTTCAAATCAAGTTTACACTGAATTATATTCACTTCCCCACCCCCCTCCCCCATCTCCGCCCCCCGCGGTTGTCCCTGTAGCCAAATCACGCCGACAACCAAAGGCGTGCAAGCCCAAGAAGATGATCCGCATGGAAGGAAAGGCGGTGGTGCAGGTGGCCTGCAACAACGGCAGCAGCGCGCTGGTGACGCGCGAAGGAGAGCTCTACACATTCGGGAAAGACGCGGTGTACTCAGACGCCACTGGTAACGATACACCCGGCATCAGTAGTGTGGCGTGGTTGGAATGGACCCTGGTGCCAGAATAATGATCAGTGCTTGGATAGGTGACTGCTGAGCTTGCCCGGTGCAGTATGAGTGGGTCTGCTAGGTGTTCTGAAATGGCAAAGTCTTACCCTCCTCATGTGTGTGAGATTTTTTGTCTGTGCATAGTGAATATTCACATTGCTTTCAAATTCTTAAAACTGCAGGCTGTGTTTTTGGGATGCATATTCGGCCGATACGGTAAAGAGAATAAAACAAATGTTAAGCCATGTACTTGGAGCACTGTGGGCCACTCTAGTGGTGTGACCACTACGGCCTCCTGTGATTGTCACTTTCTTTGACCTGAAATGGGGTTCAACCCTCCCTGCCTCGTCCCACCACTCTTTTCTCCTCTCCCCTCCTCTCCCTGCCCCTCCTCCACCCAACCACCCTTCCTTGCTTGCGTCACTTTCCTCGCCCATCACCGCTCCCCTCGCCATCGCTCTGCACCCCTTCCTCGCCCACTCCAGGCCTCGTGAAGGAGCTGAGAGGCCAGACGGTGACGCAGGTGGCTCTGGGGAAGGCCCACGCCTGCGTTCTCACCAAGTCCGGCACCATGTGGACCTTCGGGGTCAACAACAAGGGCCAGTGCGGCCGCGACACCGGCACCAACGCGCACGGGAGCAAGGGTGGGTGATGCCGGCTGGAGTGGCAGCGGCAAACAATGCGCCTAAGAGGCCATCAGAATATTTATTTATACTGGAGGCATCCGATGAGCTATAAAGTTCTTTTTCACAGATATCCATGGTAGCATGGCTAACATGGGAACTTTTCCAGGGGGGTTCTTTAATGAGTTGGTGATCTTCACCATGAACTCGAGAATCTTTGTAAATATGCTTCTTCCCAAAGCGCACTTTGTCTTTTGATAGTGCCTAACCAATGCCAATATTTCCAACCATTGTGTCCATGCTAACACCAACCCTGAAGCTAAGTGGTAACCGTAATCATCGGCCACGATCTGTCCGCTGCTGGATGAAGGCGTCTCTCATGGGCTTGCGATGAACCACTCCACCGGTTCGAATGAAGAGACAATCTTATTTGAAATTAAGTTGGATTTTAGGATCAGTGAAAATTAACAGTAGACCTATATCCCTTACACGGAGCTGATTTCATTACTCCGTCTTCACAGGAAACGTCTTCATGCGTGTGTTTTTACTCTTTCCCCAGCCCTAACCGTGAAGCTTACCCTTAAACTTGACCCCTTACTCCCTGACCCCTTCCTATAAAATGAATGACTAATCTAACTTTACCCCTAACCCAAACATGACTCCATCCCTAACGTTAAGTCTGAAGTCACAAATAAAAGTGATGCATTAATCAAATGATCATTGTGGCAGTGCTCATCTCCTGTTTAAAGCCCTGAGCCATTGGTGGAAATTCCACATTCTTATGGCAGATGTAATTGTATCCGTTAGACAGCCATGGTGGAATCCTCGCAAGGCGCTACTCATGTGATCAACGCCAGAGGGATGATGGGCTGAGTCAATTCCCAACCGGGGTCTGACCTCGCAACGTTTCCGATTGCGACGTTACCCTGACTCTTGAACCTAAACCAGAACACTACTCCACCCTTCCCGCGCCGACCCTCCGATTAGCATGGTTGTCTACGTATAGTTGCGAAAGAAGTTCAACAACAACAACACAAATGGTGGTGACATCACCTAGGTGCTTGTGCCAGGCCGTGTGCACTTTAAGGCCACGTGAAGCGTCGAAGTTCAACTTGCATATAACTCTGACCCTAACCCCAACACGCGTGGCCTCCTGCAGGTGCCGGCACGGAGCCGCAGGCCGTGGCGGCAATGGAGGAGGACTTGGAGGAGGAGGGGGACGAGGACCGCCAGGCTGCGGGGGGGGGCGGCGGGGTCGGCGGCGGCATTGGCGGCGCCGGAGCTGGTGGCGTTGCGGCCGGTGCCGTCATGTGCCCGCCCGGCACACACACGTGGAAGATGGAGCAGTGCATGGTGTGCACAGTGTGCGGGGAGTGCACGGGCTACGGCTCCAGCTGCGTCAGCAGCGGCCGAGCGGAACGCGCCCCTGGAACGTGAGTCCCGTGGCTCGTGACGTGGATCAACGGCCGTGTAAAATCGAACCTTTGTTGTTATCGTTGTTGCTATCGTTCTCTGGGCTTTCGTTGATGTCAGCAGCTTGAGTGATTATGGTCACCCCCGCCTGGTTCGTGTTGTGTTTACCCTCCATACCCTTGATTGTGTTTGTGTCTCTTCGATGTGTCTCATAGAATGTTTTAATGTTCATGCGGTTCACGATGTTCATCGTTGAGAGATGCAATTTGGTGAATGACTATGATAATAAATACAATTATCATGTATCTTGTGATTGGTGCCCCAAACACCACCTGCTCACAACCGCTGCCCCCTCCCCTAAACTTTCTACACTCCCATCGCCATTCTTCTAACCCACATGACCATCCCCTAATGTTCTCCACCCTCCATATGGCCCATCATCTTTGTCCCCTGTTAGTCGAATAAACTCGTGCTAAGTTGCAATGAACAGGCTTAAAGGCATCATGGTAAAAGCTGATGTTATTGGTCCTGCTTTTGCTGCTACCGCTGCTGTTGCTGCTTCTTATTTCTGCTGCTGATAATTCTCCTGCCACTAGTGCCGCCTCTGTTGATGCTGAAGCTGACACTGCTGATGATGCCGCTCGTGTTATGCCAGTGTTGGCGTTGTCGTACTACCGCTGTTGCTGCTTCTGGCGCTATTGCCGCCACCACCAATGCTCGCTCCTCCTCCTCTTGAGTCACCACCTTCTCCACTCCCACTCCCTCCCCCCAAGGCTGTGCGGCTGCGGCTCTGGCGACTCCGGCTGCGCCGAGTGCGGCTGCTGCAAGGCGTGCGCGCGCGAGCTGGATGGGCAGGAGGCGCGGCAGAGAGGCATCCTCGACGCCGTCAAGGAAATGATCCCGCTCGACATCATCATCGGTAGCGACCCTGTGGGGTTGGGGATCCCGGGGGGGCAGGGAGACCCGGGGGGGGCAGGGGGGCCCCGGGGCAGCGGCGGACCCCGAAGGGGGTGGAGGACCCCCAGGGGCAGGGAGGGGATCCTGGAGGGCAGGGACACCCGGAGACCGTCCCCCCGCCGGCTGTCCGCATCGGATCCGTTTTTGCGAATGGAGAATCCGGAACGTTTGTTCATCGGTTTGTCCATTCGTTTTGGCTCCTTGGAGATGGTGGTGTACATCACAGGTAGCGAACTTACAGCCACGGGGGCCAGACACGGCCCAGATCTTCATTTCACAAGGCACGCAGTCACGTGAGGCCCTACCGCTCCGAAACGGCCGGCAAACATTCTGTGATCATCGTGTATTAGGAGCTATATCGGACCTAGCAAAACAAGGCTAATTTTACAGTGGCTCAGTCACTTCTGCCACTGCAAGGGTGGGGGGGGGGCCCTCTTACACAGTGACACAAGTGGCTGAGGTGCGTGTTCCACATGTGGCCCACCACAAACCGGGGTCGCTCCATTCGGCTCTTTGTTTACAGCAATTTGTTAATCCGCTGCTTGATGAAGGCCTCCTCCCCCCACCCCCCACGCTGTCAAAGTTCTGTTTATTTGTATTCACCCTGATTTTTTTATTTCACCTTTATTTAATCAGGTAAAACAACCCTTGAGTTTAAAATCCTATTTTGTGCCGGGCACCTGGCAAGAAGTCAGCAACAATAAATCACCACATACATACACACACAGTACGAAATAGTACAACACAAAACATTAAAAACAATTACAATGGTCAATGACATTTTCTTCTATCAGACAGTGATCCCCTCTTCTCCATTGCATTGAACATTTCGTAGTTGATTTCACCTGCCTCGCTCTTGCCTGTTTGACATCCCCATTGCATGCATTGGCTTGGTCCAAAGCCACTTGACTGCCGTTTAAAATTTTAGATTTTCGCTTCCGTCACTTTGTGTTGCTGCATGCGTCACGCTGTTATTTGTTTTGCGTGTTTGCCCCCCTGCCCCTGCTCCCCCTGCTTCCCCCCCCCATTTTTTGCGTTTTGCCCCCGTAGGTTCTGTTGCCCAGGGCATAAACATAGAGGAGCGTCTTCCCTTCAAATTGGATGATAAGAAACTTGCTGTACCTAAAAACCACAGGCTGGAGGGGGGACAAGGTACGCATGACACAAGTCTGGCTGCTCTAAAAACAATCGCAGGGCAGCGCCGATGCTCGTTGACCGAACGTTCCGTTTTACGTCGGCGCCTGGTCCCGGTGCGTTTGGCGGATCGGCTGCAAAGCGCCTCTGAGTTCGCGGCATTGTGTTGGTTGGTGCATGGCTTATTTTTGTGCATTTGTGTGGAACGGTGGCGCAGTGGTTCGCGCGCTGCGTTGCTAAAGACAGCCGTTGAGTTTGATTCCCTTTCATGGCTGGCCACCCCACACTCTGCTGGCCTCAATAGGTGCTCGCTAACAGCCCTTGACATAACAGTCATTTCAAAGACTGCAACCGGGGGATCTTCGTGAGCGGGGAACGTTGTCGTGGGTGGTTTGTGTACCGCTCTGCAAATCCAGCAACCTGAGTTTGATTCCTGACCAAGGCTAACATCAATCAATCTTTATTTTACGTGCTAATATTACCCTCAATAAAGTAGGTGCATCAGTGCACATTACAGCAGCACGGGAACGGTATACGAGGGGGGGGGGGCATGCAGCAACAGGAATGAGAAAAGAAACCCGTCAGGACCTCAGCGGCCGACAGAGCAGAGTAAATTGCAAACGCGTGCAAAATAAAGTGCAACCGTGCGCAACGAATAGCACATTAGAAAGGTAAGCAGTAAATAAAATAAATAATAAGTAAAGACACCTATTCAGACTTGGAATCGAGACACTCGTCGCGTTTCAGACGTCCGTGGCAATGCAATAACAGAAGTTGTTCTGGGCCTTCTCTAGGTTGACTCAGCCTTAAATATGAGCCTCATCATCATTGCGGGTACAAACGTGGCTAGTTGTAGAGGTGGCCACACAGCCTCTGTGCGCCACGCTTGCTGGTTTTAGGAGATGCTTGCTCACATGACTTGCCCATGTCGGCTTATAGACTGTACGTGCCGCCTTTTTGTCTGCCAAGTGGCGATGTTTACACACCGCACCAAGTACTCAATTGAGGCTGAGTCGACCTAGGGAAGGCCCAGGACCGGTTCAGATTATCGTCACTGGTGTTGACCGTGAGTCTAACTACCGCTCCCGAAATATATACGCATGACCACATGCAATGAGAATGCGGTGGTGTAGGGAGTTCACGCACTGCGCTACAATCTCAGTCAACTCCTTTTGATTCCCAGTCGTGCATAACATCAGTTACACGTTTTACCTAAGCCAGTTCGTGGACCTTCCCGAGGTTTATTTGGCTTGAAATGAGTACCAGCCGCTTTACATGAACTTAAGCACTGTTTCTGGCTACACCACCAATCGCGTGGCAGTGCCAACCCTTAACAGATGCTCGCTAATAGCATTCGTTCGTGCAGTTTTTCTGCCTAAATGGGGGCGGGTTATTTTGCACTGTTTGCGTGCGAGTGTTCGTCTGTGTGTTTGTGGGCGTGCAATTAGGCGCGTGTGAGAGTGTCTTTTTAGGGAATGCAAATCCGATATGTTTTTGATAATTTCATTCATGAGCGTTGCTTAATTTTTCCTTTGCTTTAGCCGATGTGAAAATTAATCATTCTTGCCGTGAAAGAGTCAAAGCATGACGGCCCTTTCACTGTAAGCGAGCATAGATTGCCTGTGGCTGATCAAATGAAATTGGGCCGTGTGTTCCATGGCACTCGACCTCTTAGCTCAAAATTGATGAGCATTTTCAAAACCTGTTGGGTCTGGGACAGAAATGAAACACACTTACACGGTCAATAATTTAAACGCACATCTGCATAGCGGCTCTACGCTGGCTTTTACTGATTCTACCGCTTGTTGTTCGGCACCATGTCGGACGTTTGAGCTCCCTCCGGTTTGGCCCACGTGTGTACAAATTACAAAAGCGAATATATAACATCGGCTGGCCCAGCGTCAAAACGTGTCGCTGATACGTTCCGATCCGGGAGAAATTCCCAGCCATATGGAACGAAACGTCAGACATCGTGCTGAATGGCATTTAGCGGCAGAACCTGAGAACACATTGGAGAGAGAGTGGTACAGCAGCACAGTCACGGGAAAGTCTCGGCAGCGTTACACATCTGCATACCGTGTTTACATTAATGTATATGGCATTTAAAAATTATTGTAAGTTTAAAGATTTATTTTTAATATACACTGCATCACCGAGCGTTAACGCGGCTATAAATATATGCACGTAAGGGAATGTGTATAATCTTGTGTATTATTAACGAGCTGCGTGTAATTGCACTGCCGTTGATGGTAATCAGGTTTCCGCGCCGCCTTGGCAGCTGCTGCTGGGCCGTGATTAACGATCGCCCCCACATGGCTGCGAAATGCACCGGCGATGGTGCCGGTTTGTGTCCACAAGCTTGCGGTTTTTAAGATCCACACTTTGAGCAAGATTGGTATCGTGACCTATATAAGCATACGTTACAATGTTTATTTGTATAGCATCTTCATATTTGACCGCATTCCAAGAAGCTGTAAAGAAAGTGTGAGAATATATTAGGAGATCTTGAGCCCTTGGCTTAAATAGGGCAGAGAGTTAACAGCACGGATGGCAGGGGAGAAAGGAGTCTAGGTTAAGGCCTTGGGAATTTGCCCCATTATTGCAATTTATTCCTCTGCCCCAAATAAATGATCCACTGAACATCTTGGTTAACTAAATGCTTTGTCCACTGAATACCCTTATTAGTTGATCACCCAATCCACAGAATTCCACGTTCACCATAAACCTGATCCACCATATGCCCGTTGGTGCCATCAGCTGCTCAGACTCTAAACAAAATCACACACTTTATTTAAACCAGGAGCACACACCCACTGATACAGAATACCTCCGATTATCAAGGTTAGCTGGTGTTAAAGTACACGGCGTGTTCTTTGCCATGCCTGACCTTTATTTCTGTTTAAATTAAATTGCCGCGTCTCGCCCTTCATCACCAGGCAGCGTTGCCTCCCTCCCTGCGCCCGAGCGTGATTGTGTGCATGCGTGCAGCTCGCGAATTAACAGCCTAATCCTCTTTAGCTTGTCAGCGATCACTCGTGGCTTAATTACACGACTAGCTCAGAGCCAGGGCATTGTGAGTGAGCTGATTGAGGGTGGGGGGTGGGTGCCTGGGTGGGTGAATGGGTAGGGGGGCGAGCGTGAAGAGGCATGCGCTAACCTCGACCACACGCAAGCGGCCGTTTTGGCACCGGTTGCGGTTGTTCTCCTGCTGCGGTGAAAACCGTAGCGCGCGGACCGGCTATGGCAATTTGAAATGCGCGGCATGTGCCGTTCACAGCTGGGAATCCCTCTGCCGGTTAGCCGATGTTGGCAGCGAAATGCACCGTGTGCAGAATGGAAAGAGCACAGTGCAAAATGAATGCATGCATGAGCAGACGTGTACCTCTCTCTGCCTAAGGTTTGAGGGTAACAGCAACTCATTAATCAATAACTGCCCAAAAATAAAAACACGTGTCATATATTCGTTTTTGGCAACTGCCCTTCCTTCATAGCACATGGGTGAAAATAGTGACTTGCTGAATAATAGGCAAGCAAGGATCCACTCTCTGATTCCAGCTGTGATATTGAAATGGCAAAATCAACAAGGGTCGACCGAGCTCATGTAGCCAGTCAAGAACATCATCAGACGTGGAATTCACTTTTTGTTCGTCGTAGGTGAGGCTTCTGCCCATTGTGGGTTGATCTCGTGAGTGATCCTCTTCTATCCCATTCCATTTGTGAATCATTAACTAATGATTGTCTTGCCTTGGGCCGTTCTCTAGCACGGCGGGTTGCACTGCCCTGCGAGAGATCCAAATAACTTCTTCATCTTTCGACGCAACGCCGCCAGCAAAAAATTAGGATAAACAATTGGAGGCAGATTACATAGTTATAATAAATGAACAATAGGAGTTATGACAAAAATGAGAAACGTTTCAGTCAAAGCCTGTTCAGAAGAAAAACAAAATGGACTAAAAACGCCTTACCTGAGTTCTGCCTAACCGTCTGCAACCATCTGCATGGCCTGTCACTGCTGTCGTACCTGTCAGAGATGTGTGGACCAGTGGTCGTCCAAGAACACCGGTGAAGTCAGCCAAGCACGGGGACCCATGTCGTGCCACCGATGACAAATTCCCTGTGCGGGCTCCGTTCTTTCTCAGTCGCTGGACCCACTGCCTGAAACTCGCCACTAAAGCAGCTTAGGGACTAAAAACGTCCCTCTCTGTCACCTTGCAACCATGCAGCTCGCTATTGGTGTTGCCACAAGATAGCACGTTCTTTAAAAGTCTCATTACTAATAATGCTTATGAAAACTCCCCCCCCACCCCCCCATCAGTGGTTAAATCGCCCAGTGGCAGAGTCTCATCTCGGCCGTGTTGTGTGCCGGAGCGTTGCAGAAGGCGATGGAGAGAAGGGGGAGAAGGATGCGAGCAAGACGACGACCTACCCCCCGGGACTGCTCCACTTCGGATTCGGCCTCAACGAGCCGAGGGCTGCCCAGGTGTCCTGTGGTTTCCACCACTCAGGTGTGCGGGTGGCCAGTCTCTCTCCTTACACTCGGGTACAATGCGGATTGACGTCGCGTCTATATGCCGCCGCGTCTCAACACGCTGCAGAAAAAGTTGAGCTCATAGACCCACACAGAGTTTTCTGTCCTTCCCTGCACCTCCGATTAGCATCGTTAGCTATGTACGGTGCGAAAGAAGTTCAACATACATACATAGTCTTCACAGAGACTCGTATACAATGCAATTTGTATTTACATGGCATGTTAATGCTGCCGTATCTCAACAAGCTGTAGAGAAGCGGTGGGAATATATATTACAGCCCTCTGGCAGTGCACTGCTGGATTAGATAAATCACTTTTGAATCGTTAAAAATTATATTTAAAAACAAGTAACTCCAAGTTTATATATGGGTTCTAATCTCTGTTGGCATAAAAATCCAGCGGTGAAAATACTACCTTCCTATACAGGACCATGACTATTAACTTCTCAAAGTGGTATATATTTTATCAACCCTGGAAGAGATAATGCCAATGAGCTGAGTCAAACTCTAACCCCCAACCGTGATCATGAAGTTCGTCATTTTTATCCTGTGCTGACATCTTTGCAGAGGATTGGCGTTATGCAACATTTCTCACTTCCACCAGTCTCCATGCGTTCATGCTCCGAATTCCGGTCTTTTTGCTGACGTCAATAGTTTCCTTGGTCTTCCACGTCATCTCTATCCACATGTGACTACTTCGTATTCACAATGTTTTAAAATGACCTCCAGGTTTGCGGATGATACGTCCGATAATTTCATCTTGCGATATAACCACAGCGCATAAAATATTTCAAGCGACTTCAGCGACAGTCAATGGGTTTGCTCACGTAATTTGTGTCGTGAAACTCTCCGCCACCCAATGCAGCCAAACACATTGATTTGTCACGTGTCTTATGAGCGTTTTTAACCCCGAAATTATTTTTTGTAGGTATGTTAAACTTCTTTTTCTCCGTATGTAGGCAACCATGCTTATCCAAATAAGTTGTAAGGACATTTCTCACAGCGAAATTTTGAAATTAGATGCGACTTTTCGCTTTAAATTGTGCAAATCATCTTCTGGGCAAAACAAAACAATACATTTGGAGACATCACCACGTGGCCTAAACAAAAAATATATTGTGTCTCATAATATTGGCTGTTAAAACCTAATGTGTTAAGTTACAGTCATTGATTGGTTATTGTATCGTGTGTGTGTGTGTATGCGATCCTTCCTGTGGTAGTGGTGCTCATGGAGAGTGGGGAGGTGTTCACGTTTGGCTACGGGCAGTATGGCCAGCTCGGGCTTGGAGACTGCAACCCCAGGCAAGAATCGATGCGCACACAAAAACAACAACAACAACAACAGTGATGGCAACATCACCACAGTGCTTGTGCCAGGCTAGGTGTGCTCTGAGGGCCTTCTCGTGAAGTGTGGAAGTCTCACTGACAGAAATTCAAGGGACAGACTCGGGTGTCATGGGTTAACAGACTGAGATGGCTGGCAGATGCACCACCTGTGTTACGCACTGTGCCAACTGGCTGTGTTTTAGCGCACGCACACACACACACATAGAGCCATCTGGTCCAATGGTAAAAAGCGCTGCTAATACCAATGAGAATTTCTGTTCGAGCCAATGGCGATGCAGTATTGGGCATGTGAACAGGAATTAAAACCCTAAAACATCCATTCTAGCTCCTAGCCGTGCACAGTGGCAGACAGCAGTGGTGCAGTGGTTAGCAGAGTGCACTAAGAATCCAGCCAGTTGAGTTCGATTGCCTGCGTCGACAATCATCATTGGCGAGTGATTATCGGAATTAGTCCTGGGCAATTCCCTAGGTCGACTGAGCCTTAAATGTAACACCTGACCTTAGCGTTTAAACATCGGCACCGTGCAGCCCAAAGGTTTGGCGGGACGCGACGGCGCCAGCCACGCCGCGTCACGCCATCGTGTGCCGTGCAATCCTTTAATCGGCGCTCGCTGACGGCACTTTGCCCCAACAATCCGCGCACGTGCAGGTTCTGCCCGACGCTGGTGCCGCTGCCGGAGCGCAGCGTGCAGGTGGTGGCCGGTGGGAACCACTCGGCGGCCCTGCTTGCCGACGGCTCGGTGCACACCTTCGGCAGTTTCTCGGTGAGCGGCGCGTGGTCGCTACAATGTGGTGCTTGCGTGTCCTTGAGTTCTCGTCAGTTTTTGGTGAGCCGGGTTGCTCTTGGAAATGAGGTGATCCTCCTCCCCCCCCCCACCATCATCTATTTGAGCTTCTCACCTGGTTCGACAAAATAAACTTGCAGGTATGTACTGTATGTTGAACTTCTTTCACACCGTACGTAGCCAACCGTGCTAATCGGAGGCGCGGGAAACTGGTTTCCGAGCGAGAAACAAAGCAAATGATGAGGAAGTTGGGTGTTGGCGCTGTTACTTGCAATAGCGCAAGGCTCTCACGGAGGAAGTTGCTGTGTTTCACAGATAATTACAATCTGCAGTGGTTTCACACTTTGGAGCGATGTGGCTGTTCCTATACCCAGTTCGCTAACTGGCAAGTCATTTTCAAGATTGGCAATTTTTGGACCGTTCACTACGAAGCGGACGGCTCATATAATTATTACACCCACGGTATTAACCAAGATTGCCAGTGGGCTCTAACTGCGAACCAAAGAGAATTGGATATTATCGGGCGGCAGGGGTTTGATACCCGAGGTTTTTCTCCTCTGGTTCTGCATCGGCTTCCCCTGTTCTCCTTTTTCCTCCTATGAGCTAAAAAAAACTATGCAAGGTAACTGATATTGCATCCCAGCTCTGAAAAATGTACATGAAAATTCCTAGATTGGGATTGCACATAGCAGCATCGCTCGGCCACTGCGAAAACTCGACAGGGACCCCCCCTGAAAAAAAAGGTTCTCTCGACTCGGCGAGGCTTTCCTGCTCAAACGAGCACAGCAACGACAACAATAATCAAGCAACAATAATAGCAATCTCGTTTGTACGTTGCATTTCACCCCCAATGCCCGTTACGCACCGTGGCGCTCCTCCGCCCCTGTTGCTGTCGTCAGAAGGGGCAGCTGGGCCGCCCCATCCTCGAGGTGGCCATGTGGAACGCCACCCCGGCCGCCATCCCCAACGTCGGCGCCAGGTTCGGGCGCAAGGCGGCGTGGATCGGCGCCAGCGGAGACCAGACGTTCATGCGGATCGACGAGGCGCTCATCAACGCTCACGTCCTCGCCAAGTCCGAGATCTTCGCCAGCAGGAACATCATTGGTGCGTTCAGCAGTCGCGCGGGGTTGCTTACTACAGCACCTTGGGTAGCCAACTGCCGGGAATCTAACTCGGGTGTCCGGGTTCGTGGCACAATGCGTCAAACCAAATTGTGTTGGCGTGCTTTTTGTTTAGGCTGACATGGGTTGTCGTGCATGGAATGAAACGGGGCTCCACTTCCTCCCTGCCCTGTAAATTGTTATCCCTGTATTAGACGAGTGTGTGGCCCTCTGGCCCATGGGCCGCATTGCATTTGCGCCTCCTGCATACTGGATGTTTGTATGTTGAACTTTTTTCGCACCATACGTAGGCAACCGTGCTAATCAAAGGTGTGAGGATAGCTATGCCGCTGCCCATAAACTCGCATAAGCCCTCGACTCACGTAGGGCGTGTGGTCGAGACTAATGACGGAGTGGCAGCCGGAGGAGGGAGTACTCCCAGAGCACGTCCACCGTCGAGTTTAGGCGGACGTCGGCCCGCAGCACGGCGTGAGATGACGACGGTGACGGAGATATTGCAAGACCTCCTTCGGCAGCGGGTTAAATCGTGCCTGCTTACGGCGGTAACGATGGCGAGCGCGTGAACTGCTGCTGACGTTTTCCGCCCGCGCGCTAGGCCTGCTGCCCTCTGAGGCCGGAGTCCCCGCGCCCTTCAAGTGCCTGCTCATCAACAAGGCGGACGGCAGCTGCCGCACCTACAACGACGTGGAGCAGGAGGAGCTGCTCGGCTCGGCCGTGTGTCTCGACCCCGTCTACGACGTCCTCTGGAGGTCGGCCACACACCACTCTTGTTGCCTGCCCTGCCGCCAGATGTTTTTAATGCTTTCCGACTGTGGTTGAAAATGTTTACGCGTTAGCGCTGTTCGTCAATTCGTCCGTACGGGAGGGGGTGGGCGGGGGGTCACTTTAATGTTGCAAAGATGATGCGATGTGAATGAACCTGTAGCATAAACTTATGTTGCTATTATGGACTTACCCCATTTTAAGCCAGCGAAATTGATCAAAGGGTTGTCTAAAACTAGGAGAGGCAAAACAGAGCAAAAAGTACTGTTTGCAAATACGTCAATGCGTTTCGCCTTGACGGCTTCCATACTGTTAACGAAACACTTTGGAAGACAAATGCATTTTGGAAAACGTCGCTGTGCCCGCGTATCCCTGTCTCACCGTGTCGCTGTGCCGCGGGGGGCAGGTTCACGCCGGGCTCGGGCGAGGTGTGCTGCTACAATGCCGTGGCCGCCGATGCTCGGCTATCGGCGCTGCCGGAGCTTCAGCGGCGTTACAGCGTGCTGGCGCCGGAGCTGGCACTGCCCGTGGGATCACACGCCTCTACCACGCGATCGCACGCCGCCCTGCATGTCCTCGGTGAGCGCCGGAAAGAGGGAGGTAGGGTGGGTGGGTTTATGGGTGGGTAGGTAATTTGGTGGGTGGGTGAGATGGTGGGTTAGTTAGTGGCTATGCGAGTCTAGTTGTGCGGTTTTAATGGACTGCGTGTGCCATCATACAGGCTGTCTGGACACGCTGACCGCCATGCAGGACCTGAAGCTTGGCATTTCCAGCGCCGAGGAGGAAACGCCCGCCGTCGCCAAACTCTACACCAAGGACGACTACAACGTGGTCAACCGCTTCGAGAGTAAGTCGCCCGCCAGACAGACTGCCAGTTTGTGCTACCCTGGTGAGGGTGAGCAGGAGATAGTTATGGGAGGCAGTGGGGGCCATAGGACTGTGTGGTTTGGTCGGCTGTGCAGACAGGAGGTGATTGAGTTTATAACCAGTCAACTTGGCAGAGAGGTTTCTAGGCAGTGTGGCTTTGGGGTCAGAAAGAAATGTGGTTTGGTCGGCAGAGGGTTTGGTAGGGATGGGTAGTGATTGTTTTTATAAGCCGGTGAGAATGACGGCTTCTCGGGGGCCGAAAGACCATGTGGTTTAGTAGGCGGTGCGGTTGGTGGGTCGGGTGGGTTCAGAGGCAGTTGAGGATGGGTGGCGGTTGGGTTGGTAGGCACTGCAGTCTAGAAGGCGGCAGGGCTCGCAGGCCAAGTGAGAGTCATGCGTCGGCAATGCGCGGTTCTGCGAACCTCCCGAATCTCGTGCTCGTGTCGGCGTGCAGGCCACGGAGGAGGCTGGGGCTACTCGGCTCACTCGTTGGAAGCTATCCGTTTCGCGGCCGACACCGACATCCTGCTCGGCGGGTTCGGTCTCTTCGGCGGCCGCGGGGAGTACACCGCCAAGATCAAGGTGAGGAGTCGCACGCACGTGCGGGGCCACCGCTCATGGCCGATCGTACCGTCGACTAAAGAGCTCGGCCGTGGCCGATAGTGAGATTGATTGTAGGTTAACGTCTGTGCTATTGTGTTGCATCCGCTTACGTTGAGAGACAGAGAGAGGATCGTCTGCATCAGAGTACATGTGCAAGTTAGGGTCGTCATATTGACCATTAAGAAAAGTAAGTGGGCTTGGGCTAAACCCGTCGCTGAAAGGAATGCTTGGCCGGTGGTCAAGACTAATAATGGAGTAAGAGCAAAGGCTGGGATTCCTGCACTTCTGGTTCCACATTCCTTCATCACTGGTTCCATGTATCGGATCCAGAATCAGAATCTTTATTTATCCTGGAGAATCCGATGAGCTATGAAGCTCTTTTTCACAGGTGCTGCGCACTGATTACACGCCTACACACATACACCCCGGTACTAGGTTCTCAGCTTGGTCAGCAAAAGAACTCTGAACTTGAAACCTATTTGTGTGCGTGCAGATGTTCGAGCTGGGCCCGGAGGGCGGAGAGCACGAGACGGATGGGGACCTGCTGGCCGAGACCGACGTCCTGGGCTACGATTGCGCCGCACGGTACTGGCGGGCAGGAATGGGTTCCCTCGCACTGCTTCTACCACCACTGCCCACCACCACCCGTTCTCTCCTCTCCCTCTCCTTGGTCTGTTCACTTTCAAGTGTGACGATTCGGTTTTACGAGTATTCACCAGCAAACTAGATTAATATCTGATCAGCTGCCCGTGCGAGCGCGGGGACATGTGTGTTGGTGGTTTTTAACCAGTGGTGAAAATTTAAGCCAGGTCACCAATGCCTGCACACACAAAAAAAACACCATCGTATTAAATTTAGCTCTGCACTGAATTTGGCTAAATTCCAGCTCTGAGAATTAAATAATATCGGTTTGAATGTCATACTATGATGATTACTCTCCATCGCAAGGCAAGTGGGAAATTTCTGCCCTCTCCTCTGTGTGGACCAGAGATTATTTGCAGGGATCTCGGCGCTAGCTCTGCAGTATCTGCTTCCGCGGGTCGTTATCTAACACAGGGTGATGTGCATCTCTGCAAGAGATCCGGGTCGTTATCTAACACAGGGTGATGTGCATCTCTGCGAGAGATCCGAATTGATACTTGGTCTCATGACGTGATGCCGGAAGCACAATTAGACTAACATTTGCGGAAAAAAATACAAATAAAATGAAGGCAGCAGACTACTTCAAGAGCCATTGACCGATTTACTAACCTTGCCATGAACAGCTGAACATGGCCGGCAAACTCCCCTATGCTGTTTAAGGTGTGCATGTTGAGACTTTTTGCCGTGTGTGCCCACAGAGAGAAGTACGCGATGATGTTCGAAGAGCCGGTGCTGCTGCAGGCCGGCTGGTGGTACGTGGCGTGGGCTCGCGTCTCTGGTCCCAGCAGCGACTGCGGCTCGCACGGCCAGCCGACCATCACCACGGACGACGGGTGGGTGCCACAGCGCTCGCCGGCAACGACCGCTGGCCGCCAGGCAGCACTACCACTGCGAGAGCAAACGCTGGGGAAACACTGCCACCGCCTCTTGTCTGTCCAGCTTACGTGTGGTGGGATTTTTCCGGTCCTGCCTGTTCGCTCACACATGCCCACGGCCGAGACATCCCAATGCAGCGAGCGCCTTGCAAGAAAGTCCTGGAAGGAAAGCGAGGCTTTGCTCCGTAAACAAATGACATTGTCGCGATAATTTTCACTTTGCCACATCTCTTTGCAGGGTCGTGTTTCAGTTCAAGGGCTCGAAAAAGTCCAACAACGGAACAGATGTGAATGCTGGGCAAATTCCTCAGCTGCTGTACAGGTGTGTGGCACGATGAAATAACATTTGGCGCTGTAATAGGTGCTTGCTATAACAGCACTTGCCCCAACAGTGCATGTATTCTGAAAGGCAGCTGTGTGTGTGTGTGTCATTGAGAGATTGTGATTAAACGTGGATACAATTGGAACGTGGGGGTGCTGTGGTTAACATGCTGTGCTCTGACCCCGATAATCTGGGTTGGATTCCGAGCCGTGATGTGTGTTTCTTAAATTCCTGGACACGGCTCATGTGAAAGTGGTTGCAAAGACTTTTCCTTGGTCTCCCTTAAGGTCAACGCAACCTGGTGAAGTGTGAAAACATCAGTGTGCCAGGCTTTTGTGCTGTCCACACCACTTACCCGTGCACCTTTCTTGGCCTTCGTAAGTGCTCGCTTAACAGCACTTGCTGGCGGCTGTATGGGGGATCTCTGTGTATCCGTGTGTCTGTGTGTCTTGTGTCCAGACTCCCATCGCACGACAACAGCTCGGGGAAGGGCAAGCCTCAGAGCTTGGAGCCAGTACACATCCTGCGGCGCTCCTTCTCGCGCACCGTCTCACCCGTACGTACCGGTGCCCGTGCACGCCACCCTTGAGGTTTACATCACGTGATTTTCTGGTCACGCCACCTATAATAATCTAAACAAATATGTGTATCTTCTTGGTTCTTTCGGTAAAGTCCCGTAGAAGGGAAATAATTAAATAATAAAAATAAAACATTATCAAATACAATTCTCACGACGTTTCGGCCACAAAGCAAGCAGCCGTCCTTCGGTGAAGAACAGGGCTGTCGGAAAGACACCGACTGAATGAACACCACCAAGCTTGGCAGCGTATATTTAAGCTAGGTTAGACAAATATGTGTAACTCTCATCATGCCCAGTGCTGTAAAGTGCAGTCTCCAACTCTTATTATCCGCTCTATCTCTTTGGGTTATCTGTGTACTATGACGGTCCATTGCCCAAAACGTTGCCAATTATATATTTTTATAGTTTATTTTATTTTATCTGTAAATTGTAGAGCAGCGGTGCGGCAGTTAGTTCTCTGTGCTATGAGCCTCCCATAGCTCCCTCTGGTGGAGAGCCCTTCAACACAGCAAGCAGCAGCTGGGCCCGCCCCTTCACCACCACCTCCTGACTTGTCGCTGCGCCCAGGAATGCTTCGAGGCGCTGCTGCGCGTGCTGCAGTGGAGCTGGAGCACGCTGACGGCCGGGCTGCAGGAGCTGGGTGCCGTCACGGGCTTCACGAGGACCGCCACGCTGCTGGACCTGGAGCGGCTGGTCTTCCTGGCGTCCGCGTGCCTCCGGCTGCTGCGCGTGTTTGTGTGCGAGATCTACCCCAGCGTGGGTGGGTAGCGCGTCCGTGTGCGCCACGCGTGTACACGCCCCACATTGGTGGACGTGCGCCGTGCGCGTGTGTACAAACCCACAGAGGTCTGGACGCATGTGCACGTGTACAAACTGACGTGCGTGTACAAACCCGCATAGGTGGACGCACGCATTTGTACAAAAGCACATGTGTACAAGCGGCACTCTAATCACCGCGCCATCACTCTTCCAGTAAGCGTAGCCAACAGGCAAATTCAGAGTTGACATTCACGCGTGATGTAAGTCGCAAAAAATCGACCTTTCTAAGTTAACTTTTAAACAGTCTACGTTTGGCCTTTCAAAAGCTGTTTAATACTGCATATACAATAATGATGCTGGGCAGAGAATTGCAGCCTTGGCAAGCCAATAAACACGTATGTATGTGTTAGTGTTCATATGGCCTTTAGAAATCATGCTTCGCAGTGATATTCACACATCAGTGCTGTTCGTTTATCCACTACGGTTGGTTATTATTTACCGGCATCTCGCGAGGCTCTGTAATAACGAGGCCTACTGCTACAATTGCGGAATGAAAGGGCAGCTAGGAAGCGTATCTTTGTGCCTCTCGCATCACACGCAAAAAATCACGCCCACCCCACACTGCACACAACATATCACCTGCGTGTGTTGGTGAAGGTGGGGCCCAAAGACCGCTTCATATATCACTCGTTGCTGATTTTAGCCGTGGCCGCAAATTTAGTAAGCTGTCTACAGTGCATTGACACAGACAAAGATCCCCCCGTGTAGCCTGTAACAGACTGTTGGGGTCGATGAAGGCTGGCATGGCACACGAGTTTGGTGGGTTGTCAAGACCACACCCGGCCACCTTTGTGTCTCCTCGGTGCGAATGTTGTTTACATACATACGAGGTACTCATTTATGGATGAGCCTACCTAAGGGAGGCAATTTACTGTGATTTGAATGTCTCATTCATTTGTGAAACGTCTAAAACATTAATGGAAGCCTCACCAATGGTTAACTAAGGATGGGCAGTCATTATGAAACAGTGCAGCACACATACACACGCACAGAGGAGTTAAAGCGTCATTTACAGCTAACGTCGAAAAATAAACCTGACCCGAGTGCCGGCTGGGTTTGGTGGTCAGTGCGCGCCTCCCAGACGGCGTCAAACCGGCGCTGGAGGAGACCTCCAAGCTCGCCGAGTGCGTGGGCAACACCAGGTGCTTGCTGCAAAAGATCCTGGGCGACGAGACGCAGGCCCGTGCCGTCAGGCCGCGGCGGGACGAGCGGGGCCGCCCCGCCGGCTCGGGCGACACGGCGGCGGTGGTGCCGGGAAAGCCGGCCAGGCACGAGCGGGCGGACGGGCCGGAGGGCCTGCTGGAGGCAGTGCTGCAGGAGTGCCACAGCACGTTCACGGCATGCTTCCACGCCTTCTACCCGACGCCGGCGCTGCAGTGGGCCTGCCTCTGCGACCTGCTCACGTCCGTGGACAAGGTGCGGACACAGAGGGGGAGTGTGCGTTGGGAGTGCCTTCTCTCGTCGTTCGCTATTATTACAATAGTTGTAACAGCGATTTGCATTCTGAAGAAATGTTGCAGGGCCATATCTGACTATGACTGCACTGAAGGCATCTTTGTTATCACAAGTTGCTGGTATGAATGATGAGCTGCGTACGACCAAAAAGACTGTGATCTTTTTATTATTTTTTGAGCTCGTAGTTCAGGACAGGTTTTGTGTTTTGTCTCTTTCTTTAACATATACCAATTTTCCACCCACATTCCTCGTCATATCCAACGCGTGACATTCTCCTTTTGTCTCTCCATCTCCCTGATATTCTCTCCATCTCTACATCTTCTTCCCTGTCTCCCCCAATCCCTCCCATCTGTCCACCCACAGGGGTCCCCGTCCGTGCCGCGGCGAGGGCGCCTGCTCGCCGCCATAATGTCGGCGCTGTGCCACGCTACGGTGCGCCTGGGCTCCATCCTGCCCGTCGCCTACCAGCGGGAATCCCAGCGTCCGCGCCAGCAGCAGCTGCAGCAGCAGCACAACAACCAGCACCAGCAACAGCAACACAGCAACCACCACCACCACAACCTCCAGCACCAGCAGCAGAACAACCAGCAGGTGTTGGCGGCCAGCGGCGGCGGCGCCGGCCTGGGCACGGAGAACGAGCTGGCGGCCGGCCACCGCTTTCCCGTGCTGGTGGCGCACATGGAGAAGCTGGCGCAGGTGGAGGAGGGCGTGGCGTGTGAGCGGCCCAGCTTCGCCGACGTGCTCGAGCACATGCTGCAGATCGTCACGTCGCCCGTGCGCGAGCGGCTCGTGAGGGTCGGCGCCGGGGTCACGAGGTCAGAGAAGCTGGCCCCGCCGCCCCGTGCGCTGCCCGGCCCGCTCGGTGGTGGTGGCGGAGGCGGCGCACAGCACCACTCTCCGCTGCTGGTGTCGCACGCCTGCGGCCTGCTCGCCAGCCTCGTCAGCGAGCTCACCGCCGCCGCCCTCGGCTCGGAGGTGCGTCGGCTACGGGGGTTCACTGATGGCCGTGTCCTGGCGCTCAGCCGGCTCCGATGCGGGGTTTGACAGCAGTTTCAACCGACCTGCGTATCGTATACTCGCGTAGCATGCGCGACGTAGCCATGTGCCGTGTTCCCATATGCTTTGTCGTGTATACCGATGTTGCAAGACCCACGTCCCGTACGCCAGTGTGCCAATATCCCGTGCCTCCTGTGTGCGGCGTGCAGGGCGAGGGCCCCAGCGCGATGCACGCGGCTCGCGCCTCTCCGAGCCGCTTTGCCCGCACGAGCCAGGGCCGCAGCTGGAACACGGGGAACGGCTCGCCGGACGCGGTGTGCTTCAGCGTGGACCGGCCCGGCGTCGTGGCGTGCGGCTTCTGTGTGTACGGCGGCGGCGGCGTCCACGAGTATGAGCTGGAGATGCTCGTCGACGACGTGAGTTGGCCGGTGCCGGGCGGTGCGGCGCGTGGCCCCCCACGGCAGGTAGGTTCCGGCGTAACGCCGGCAAAAATTAACGTGCCAAACGTACTGATGTTGTACCGCAAATTATTACCACACAAGGCAACCAAACCCGAGTCCTACCTTTAACCCAACCGCACGAGTCAACAACATCGTAGTCATAACTCATATGAGTGGACCAGACCATAGTCTTGCCAGAAATCATAACCACATCAGTCAACCTCACCATAATCCTTTCCCAAGCCATACCGACATTAACCAACCCAGACAATCGACTTACCAAATCCCTAACCAAACTAGTCAACCTACAAAGAGTCCTGAGACTCAGTGGCACCCTCCTAGATAATAACCATTTATGATTATTCCTCTTTTTGCTATTCCTTCATACTTTGTTCACCTAAGGCAATGGTTGTGCATTAGATGCTCTGAATATATGCTGTAGACCAGATATCAGAATAAGAATCTGAATATTTATTTATACTGGAGGAATCCGATGAGCTATAAAGCTCTTTTTCACAGATATCCAGTAGGGGTGGGTCAGAACGTTACTAACGTGGCAGAATCCAGATGTGCTGAAGGTAGTGGATATCCAGGTGAGCTGAAGGTGGTGGATATCTCGTAGAAACTGTCACACGTAAACACACGTGCTGACGGTGGTGGCGGTGCTGGTGTTTTGGTGACAGAGCGAAAGGGCCGGGGACTCGGCGCACTCGCACCGCTGGACGTCGCTGGAGCTGGTGAAGGGCACGTACAGCACTGAGGAGAGCCCGGGGGACATTGCCGAGATCCGCCTCGACAAGCCCACGGCCATCAAGGTGACGCCAACACCGCAGCTAGAGCTTGCACACCCACCCATCCTCCTCCACACACACACCTATCTACTCCCCACCCACCCAGAAACCCACCCAACCAATCCATCTCCTCCCCACCCAGCGACCCACCCACCCGTCTCCTCCCCACCCATCTCCTAATTCATCCACCCACTCGTTTCCTGCCCGCTCACCCACCCTGTGATAAGGCAAAAAACGGTTTCGCTGGGTGGGACACGTGTGCACAATAGGTTAGGGCCGGTTACCGAGACAGCTATTGGAGTGGCCTTCATGAATCTGGCGGCCAATGGTAACATTTAAGTCCAGATGGTGGGATACTGGCAGGGCAGATCTTGGAGGTCACGTGTCTACAGCGCAGCAGCTGCTGCGGGATCTGGCATAGGTTAGAACGCTTCGGCGATGAGGTGCGGGTGGTGTCATCGACGGCCTTGGCCACGATGACGTCTTGGTGTTCACACGGAGGTAATCGGCGTCCCAATGGCCAGCTCGAGCACCGGTGTTCTGACGCCACGCCCGTGCCGTTTGCGCAGGAGGGCGTGAAGTACGCCGTGCGCCTGCGCAACTACGGGAAGCCGCACGGCGAACGGGGATGGCGGCACAAGCGTGGTGCAGTGCCCCGACGGCGTCACCTTCACCTTCTCCGCGTGCTCGCTCAGCAGCAACGGCACCAACCAGAACCGCGGGCAGATCCCACAGATCCTCTACTACAGGTAGGCGGCGTGGTGTAGGTATGTACGTTGAATTTCGTTCCCACCGTACGTAGCCAAACGTGCTCATCAGAGGTGCTGGGGAAGGACAACAAACTACAAAAATCTGTTTTAAAGAAATTCGTTTTCGAAATGCCGAGCTCCAGTGGCTTCGTAATATCGGAAGGAAAGAGCGTTCCAGACGACCGCAGACGCGCATCTGAAAGTGCGTGATGCGGTGACAGCACACGTGCCTCGCGGCAAGAAGTGGGCCTGACTTCGATTGCCTGACTCGGTGCCCTTTCTGTGTGGAGGTGGAACGTTCTCCACCTCCCCCCCCCCTCCACACTGTTCTGCACGGGTTTCCTTCGGCTTCTCCGATTAATTCCCGTAGCTAAAGAAAAGACAACCATGCAATGCCACTGGTATTTACCGAACATCCCAATGCTGAACAGTAACCTGCAAGTTGCTCAATTGGGATTACACAAAGCAAGGTGAACCCCCTGGGAATTAGTATGCAAAGCGAATCTTCGTTTGTATGTATGTATGTTGAACTTGTTTTGCGCACCATACAGTGCCAACCTTGCTAAATCGGAGGTGAAATGCATCCATTTAGAAAACCCCTTGGCACAAAGTCGTAACACTCAAATGCTCCACAAATAGATGTCAACGTACATTGCTATTCTGCCTACAAGCTGCAGAGATAGCACAGGCAAATCAAACTACTTGGTCAAATGAATGACTTTCAAGTTGTTGCACGTGGCCCAGGGGCAGTAGGGATGCACGCTTGATCACCGAGCATGCCGCTTGATGCTTTTCAAATTTATTTTGTTTCACCAGATGAGAGCTCGAGAGACCAGGATAGAGTCACATCGCAATAGTATCGCAATAGCGATGCACTCCCGTGTGTGTGTCGGTGTCTTTGTGGGGGGAGCGGTAGGGTGGTGGTTAGCGCACTGCGCTACATACCCGCTCAAGGCCAACGAGTTGGTTTCCCGCTCAAGGCCAACGAATCAGTGATGGTTATATGAACCGGTCCTGGGGCTCCCCGAGGGTGACTCCGCCTCAAATAAGGACCTGGTGCGGTGTGTAAAAATTGCCACTCGGGACATAAAAGCGACCGGGCGTGGTGCTGGCCACCCACCAACTCGTTTGTCGTGCCAGCCTTGATAAGCACTACTCGCTAACAGCCCTTGCCCCAACAGTCTGTTAAAGCTATACGGGGGGATCTTTTTCTTTGTGCGGCGCCGGCGATAGGAGCGAGGGCGACGCAGAGGGGTGCGGAGACCAGACATGCGGGCGCGCCTCCGAGGAGGACCAGAACCGCGCGCGCATCCTCTCCGTCGTCGCTTCTGTCGTCCGCGCCTGCCGCCGAGCTGCTGGATGTGGCGCTCACGCTCGAGGGTACGCGGCACCTGCAGCAGCAGCGTCACCAGGACCAGCAATTGCAGCAGCAGCAATAGCAGCACCACCAGGACCAGCAATCGCAGCAGTTATAGCACCACCACTAGGAGCAGCAATAGCAACAGCACCACAAGGAGCAACAGCAGCAATAGCAGCAGTAATCACAGCAGTAGCAGCACCACCAGGAGCAGCAATCGTGGTAGCAATCACAGCAGCAGCAGCACCAGAAGCAGCAGTCACAGCAGCAATTGCAGCACCACTACTAGGAGCAGCAATAGAAGCAGCAGCACCACCAGAAGCATCAGCAGCAATAGCAGCACCACCAGAAGAATCAGCAGCAATAGCAGCACCACCAGGAGCAGCAGCAGCAATAGCAGCAGCACCACCAGGAGCAGCAATCACAGCATCAGCAATAGTAATCATAATGTAAACAATAATAACAGATATCACAACAACAGCAGCAGCGATAATGGAAATAGCAACCATCATAACAGCAGTAGCAATGGCCGATGCGCGGAGCACTGCGCCACCACTCCACCCATAGCTACATGCCTACGTGACAATTGCTTTGTGGGTTATGTTATCTTTTAATGAGAGCTTTGTTATCATTGCAACATTAACATGTTTACTGATGACGATTCTTCCCGTCTGGCGATGGTGCGTGCGTGCTTGTTTTTGTGTGTGTGTGTTTTTGTGCGTGTGTTTCTGTGTACGTGCGTGCGTGTGTGCTTATCTGTGCGTGTGTGTGTGTGCGTTTGGGGCGTGAGCCAGGCGAGGAGGTGCCAGAGCTCGTGAGCTCCTCCAGTCTCTTCTCTATGCTCATGCCGCTCGTGCTGGCTCAGATCAGCCCCGTGGCCGCCATCGACCCCAGGGTGAGCCGCTGGACAAAGCACTCCCAACACACACGCAAATACACGACACGCACACGCACGGCTCGCACACATCATCGTTCCCATCCACCTCACACTGCTCATCCCACATTTCACAAGAACACAATCCGCTCGCGCCAAACAGCCGAGATTCCTGGCAACGCCGCTGTGCGACGTTGCCGCGCCCGTGCCGTAACGGGTGGGCGTTTCACCCCCCTCCTCATCGCGACCGCACGCAGGCATCCGTGGAGGTGTTCAACCTCGTGCAGACGCTGCTGCCTCTGGTGGCCAAGCTGAACCAGAAGTTTGCTCCACCAGCCTTCAACCCCAACCAGTCCACGGAAAACTGCTGCTGCGGTGTGGGTGGCGGCGGGCCCTCGGAGGCCGGCGGCACGGCCGCCACCACCACCTCCAACCACTACGCCACAGTGGAGAGCGAGCACCCGTACCGCCCCGCAACAGTTAGCCAGTACAAGGCAAGTGTGGTCTCGTTCAAGTCCCCTGTCGATTATTTTAGTTACATTTGAACACAGTTGCTGAGTGCAAGAGGCCCCAGGCGGTCAGCAATGAACAGCGCGGTGAAAGATTTTATAGATGAGAGTTAACACGTTACTTGAATTGAGCAATGTTACGATAGGAGCTTTTGGGGAAAGAGACGATGACCAGGGGGATTCAAGAATGAAGTAATTTTTGAGCGGTTCTGAAGAAAAATTGTGACCACCCCCATCCCTGGGAAATTCCTAGATACACATCTGGTACAGTCCAGCAATGGATTATCTTGCATGGCCCGTTACTGACGACGTAGCATCGCAAGGTGACTATGATCGATTAATCTGTTTCAAACAAAACGGATCCCAGCTGCTCGTGATCTAATTTCGCTGCTGGCCGCCCCTTGCCTTTTTCCGACCCGGCCCCGCTCTGTCCGACCACCAGGTGTCGTTCCCGGAGTGCGTGCGCTGGCTCACGGTGGAGTTCGACCCCCAGTGTGGCACCGCCCAGCCGGAAGACGTTCTCCGCATCCACATCCCGTACCGCCACCCGGCACCCGCCCCGCAACCGCCCCAGCCGTCGCCGCCACCGGCGCCGGCGCCAGCAGCCGTCGCGGGCCAAGCGCCGCTGGCCCTCGTGTCGGCCGACGAGCCGGGTGGTGCGGTCTGTGGCCCGGTCGGTGCGAAACCCCCGGTGGCAGGGGCCCAGCCCGGGGAGCCTGCGCTGTCATGGCTGGAACTGAAGAAGTTCTCGGGGCCTTCGGGATGGCCAACGCTGGCGCTGGTGCTTCCCGGTGAGTGCAGAACCATCGTCAGAATCATCGTCAGGCGATAATTCATAGGCGTCGTGATTTGATTGTTGCTGAGAGTTGACCATTGTGTGCCAACATTGTAATCATCACTTGCTAAATGGTCATCTTGCACCTCGTCATCTTGTTATCATGATGTGTCACGATCTACGATGAAGGCCTCCCCAAACGGTCGCCACCACCCGCAGTCTCGCGATGCAACAATCAATCCGTCCGACCCCCACGCACGAGCTGATTGAATCGCTCCGTCTTCGTCGTTATTCTTTCTCCACTCCTCCCGTCATTAGTTTCGACCAGTGGCCATCCCTTCTAGCAACGTGTCCTGCCCACTTCTCTTAACAAATTATTTAGTGATGCTGCTGCTGCGTTGGCAGTGGCGCACAGGTAACAAACAAATGCAACGTATTAGGCATTAACACTGCCTCAAGGAAAATAATGTATAAAATAAGTGACGTTTTAGATAACGGTTATTTTTCATAGCACATAAATGAAGGCAGTGTTGTTGAGGAGAGCAGTGGGGCAGTTTTATAAAGCCCAGAGTCATTGACGAATCTGTTCAGGTTTTTGTTTACTTACCTTAAAAGTAAATACGGAGTCTCAAACTGGCGAATGTTCCCTTTTAAGGCATTCTAATTAAACTGCCTCCATAACTAAACTCCGTCCTCGTTAAGCCCCCCATCCCTACCCCCACCATATTAAGCTGCCCCACCCCCCCTCATTCGCGCAGGCAACGAGATTGTGTTTTCACTGGAGACTGCGTCCGACTACGTGAAGGATGAGAAGGCCGTGTGCTTCGGATTCAAGTGCGCCATCATCGGATACGAGTTCAATCCCAGCAGTGACGAGGTGAGGCCGTGTGTGCCTATGGGGTTGTGCACCAATTTCCCAAGAAGCCTTTATAAGTCAGGAGTTTAAATCGTCGTCTACCTGTGAAGCACAACTATTTTGGAGATTCATGTATACTTATGGATGTAAGTTGAACGTCTTTCGCACCTCACGTAGCCAGCCGCTTTAATCGGAGGTGCGGGGGAAGGACAACAAACTAAATACAAAGAGCGGTTCTAAAGAAATGCATTTTCAGTTTAGATTTAAAATTGCTTAGCTCCAGTGGCTTCCAAATACTTTTGACGTTTATCAGCAGTGTTCATCAGCAGTGTGCGCATGCTGCCCCGTGTCATGCGTGTTTCCCAGGGCGTGGTGCAGCTGGAGAAGGAGCTGGCTTTCCTGGGCAGCATGTGTGCCGCATCGCTCATGAAGAAGGATCTGACCCTTCCTCCGGCCGGTGAGCTCGCCACACCGTCCCGGATGCAGTCAGGACGGTGGCGGAGAGGATTTTAGATTTTTTCCCTCTGCATATTCGTTCAGCCAAAAAGATAAAGCAATATTTAGCAAAGGTTAGTTCCCCCTTGTACAGCCAGGGGAACGCGCGGCGCATGCATTGAATCGTGCGAGTAAGAACCGATTGGTTTCGACCGATGCAAATTGTATGTGCAAATCGTGTGATAATATAACAATTAGGCTCACGGAGCGAACAAAACTGTGCAAGCAAGACAGGAAATAAATGAACAAAGACTCGTCACATTCGTCAATTGCGCTTTAAAAAATATATGCAATAGATAACCTTTCTGGTAATGGCCCCTTCTTCACAATACAGAGGCCAGAAAGGTAGAGTATAATAGTGATTATAAAAAAAATTATTCCTGAATCGTCACAGTTCATAAAGTCACCGAGCATCTCAACGTGATGCCGTAGTTCGGCACCATGAGTCCCAGGTCTCTTAGTGCTAACTCGTGTGCCACATGCGCCTTTGGCTTCCCCAACCCCTCTTGCAGCCAACGGCGTGGACCTGGAGGAAGATATTGAGTTCGTCGAGGACTCCGCCCTGCAGGTCAGGACGAGGGGGGCCGGTCACTCATCCCACCGCACCAGACTGCCATGCCCTTAAGCACTGTTACATCCGTACACAGTGTTAATCTGGTTGTCTCCATGTAATACATTAATTAACATACTTCGTGCCAGAGATGAGAACCCAACATGACACGTGCGGTGGTTAGCCACCTTCTGAAAGACGCGGTGGTTAGCCACGCTGTGAAACACACGGTGGTCAGTGGTGCCGGATCAGCGCTTTGACCTCAGATTCACCCGGCCACCTCAGGTTGTGTCTTTATTTATCCTGGAGGAATCCAGATGACTTGCGGCAGCAGCCGCGGGCCAGCGTGCCCACGTGCGTGCGGCGCGCGCCCGCGTGACGCGTTCCGCCCTCGGCAGGTGTACAAGGCGCACTCGGGGCTCTTGGGCAAGGGGCTGGCGCTGTCGCACCCGCCCTCCATCCTGGAGGCGCTGGAGGGGACGCTGCCGCTCAGCACGCAGTGCAATGAGCGCGCCTTTCTCGAGGACTTTATCGCCTGCACCTCCTCCAGCAGCGGCGGGCGGCTCGCAAGGTCAGTCCCCACTCTTCCTGAGTCGGCAGTCTGTCGGTGCGTCCATCACTCCATCTGTTCATCCGTGTCCGCCCTTTTGTCCATCCGTCTTAACATTCTATCTATTTGTATATTTCATTCGTCCGTCTGTCTCTCCTTTCATCAATCCATCTATCCCACTTTCCAGTCTCTCTCCTCATATCTCTTTCAATCAATATATCCGTATTTCTATCCATCCATCTGTCAATTTCTTAATTTGTCCATTTCTATATTTGTCCATCTATCTGTCTCTCAAAACTTCCGCCTGTCCATCCGTCCCTTCATCCATTTGTCCACCCTCTTCCCTTTGCGCCTGTGATTGAGTATTTGTCTCTGTGATGTGTCTCAATTCTCAACTTCACCATTATATCATCTCATTCTCTACCCTGTGCTGTAGCATTCTACCTCGAATAGAATCTCATCTGTAATACAAAATGCCGAGTGAAAAAAAAATCCATCATTTGCCCATCCAAAGTTGTATGCCTGCATGTCGTTCTGTCTGTTCTGTTCATTCATCGATCGCTCTCATCTGTTCACCCGTCCATCGAGCCCTTTTGCGTTCAATCATCAGTCCGCTGCCTCGCTCTGTCAGTCATGACATCGAGCTCGTGCCCTGTTCATCAATTCACGTTCTCCTTTGCCTGTCTGTCAATCTGTCATTTAGAAAATTCACCGTGCAGCCACGATTTAACAATGTGTGTACGATAAAATAAAATGATTTACAATGATCGGTAGGGTGTGACATGTGATCTGATTGCTAAAGAAGAAATATATGTTTGTGTTGTAATGTGTATTAATCCACATCTCTCTTTTTGTGTGCTGTAATTTTTTCTCCCGTATGCGTGTGTTTATATGTGTCTTGTATGTTCTCTCTGTGTATGGCTGTGTGTCTCTGTGTATGTGTTTGTTCTATCTGTGTATGTCTGTGTTTGTTGTGTGTGTCCCTGCGCTATGAACTCGGCGACCCGAGTTTGATCCCCACTCTTGGCCAACACCAGTGACGATTATCTGAACCAGTTCTGGGCCTCCCCTAGGTCGACTCAGTCTCAAATGAGTACCTGGTGCAGTGTATAAACATTGACACTGGGGAGACAAAGGCTTGTGGACGTGGTGTTCGCCACCGACCCCCTCGTGTGCTGTGCCATCCTTCGTAGTTGCTCCCGAACAGCACTTTCCCCAAAAAACTCTGTTTAGGTTATCGGGGGGGGGATCGTTGTCTTGTCTGCATCTGTGTGTCTCTCTTTGCGTCTGCACATATATATGTACGTGAGTGTGTGACTGTGTGTATGTGTATATCCATGTGTGCATTTATGTGCCTGTATATGTCAACGTTTGTCTATGTATCTCGTAGAACAGTAGCGCGGTGGTTTTGCGCACAGTTCTACGTACTCCGTCATTCCCAGTCGCAGCTAACTTCAGTGCCGAGTTATATGGGTGTCCCAGTGAGTGCCTGGTGCGGTCTCTACCCCACAACAGCACTGGGGAGACTAAGGTGTGAGGTGGGGGGGTGCACAAACAAATCCGGCAGAGGGTGATCCTTGCCACAGCACCTCCCTATGTGCGCCTTGCTCGTTAGCAGCACTTGCCTCCAACAGGGTTACGTAGGAGGCTACACGGGGAATCTTTGCCTTTGCGTGCGTTTACGTGTGTTTGTGTGTGCGTGTCCCTGCTGTGTCTGTGCCCGTGGCGCAGGTGGCTGCAGCCGGATTCCTACGTGGACCCACACAACACGAGCGTGCAGCTCAAGAAGGACGAGGTGCGGTGCGGCTGGCCCACCGTCATCACGGTGCAGACGCGAGACCAGTACGGCGAGCTGGTGCACGGGCCCAACCTCAAGGTGCCACCCTTCTTTCGCTCGCTCGCACGCACGCACTCATTACACACAAAGTGCTTGCCACGATTGAACCACAATGCCTTGCTGATCTCGTCCAGGAACATAAACCATCACGAGAACTCCGCTCATCGTCGCAGCAGCTTTTGGCTGGCCATGGAACAAAGATGGTCACCGCATCGTGCACGTTCGGATGCGCTTCTGTGGCCGTCTGGAATGTCCTTCTGATATTAGGAAGCCACTGGAGCTATGCACTTTAAAATCTGGAATGAAAACGAATTTCTTTACAACTGCTCTTTGTGTTTAGTTCGTTGTCCTTCCCCGCACCTCCGATTAGCACGGTTGGCTACGTATGGTGCGAAAAAAGTTCAACATATATTCAACAAAGATGAGGCTTTTTCCATGCACACATACAAAACAAAGACCTCTCGGGATAGAATTAGAGCCGTGAGTGGTGTTATAGATTGGGTTAGAGGTAGGGTTATCGATAGAGTTAGGGGATAGTAATGGGGTTATGGATTGCATGGGTTTCGGATAATTATAGGGTTGGGGTAGTAATAGGGTTTAGGAGTAGGATTCGGATTATGGTTGAAATCAGGGATCGGAATAACAAATTGGGCTTTGGTAAGGATACGGGTTGCTGCCATGTTGTAACGTTTAGAATACTGGACTAGCATTCCAAAACGCCACTGCGAGAGGCTCGCAGTCAGAATTTTACGAATTCTCATCGTTCTTGGGCGTTTATTACAAGGGATTTTAACCTTCAAATGAAATAAGTCTGTGTCACCGCGCCCTTACAAACTGCACACGAATTGACGCAATTAATATCAACGTCGCGGTCTGCTTTTCACTTGCAAGTTTCAGATTTACTGCAATACACCCATCCTTCCAACAGTAGTCGTCCTATGGATTCACTTGCCCCTGCCATAGGAATGTGTAGTTTCCCCCACCGACTCTGCAGGGCTGTAAACAGCTGGATGCGCACGAACACCTGAACACTTATTTGAGCAGCAGGAACTCCCGGACTTTGACATCACAGTGGGCACTACTCGTGGTCATGCCCCCCCCCCCCTCCCTAACCTTTCCTCTACTCATCATCCTCCCCAGCTGCACGGTGACCCGTTTAAAAATACAACGGTCTCGCTCACAGGTGGAGGTGAAGGCCGTTCCGCTGAGCCAGAAGAAAGGGGGCAGCGGTGGAAGCGGCGGCGTGAGTTCGTCATCGTCCCGGGACAGCTCCACAGACGGCGCCGGCCGCAAGCCGCACCACATCCCGGGCAGCCCCGCGCCGCACGGCACGCCCCACCACCAGCACGGGGCGGCGGTAGCGCCGATCGGCGACCTCACATTTGGGGGGCTTCCCCCGCCTAAGTTGGACACCCTCTACGAGCCCACGCTGGTGCGCGACACCTGCTACACTGCCATCACGATGATGAAGGTGAGCGGTGGTGCTCGCTGGAGACCCATGAACCATATGCGCAAATATCCGAACGCAGTTCACCAGCGCTGCTTCTAGACATGAGTTCAACCCAAATTAATGTTTTTTTGTTGTTGTATCGGCCGAGTTATATATTGGCCATACTAATTGCGTAATATTAGGATGCTTATGAATATAATTCCGCTGTCGTGGGACAGCTGTTCGAGCGACCCGGATTGGTTTAGAGAGATGAAGATAAAACAGGGATAAAGAGCGGGGAAAATTTAATCGGGAAATGAGGGATGGTTGTGGGTGTTTAGGGAAGAACAAAGAGGACCGGGAGGAGAACTGAGAGAACCTAAAAGGTTTGAGATGGAAAAGGGAGAAGAGGATAAAATGTGGTGCGTGACGTGAGATGGGGGGTTATGGTGCGAAGCTTCCTACGAGTACGGGTGTGTTCGATGGAAAAAAAAAAAGTTCCCTTTTCTGAAGATCGACTCGTGGACTCCCAGTAGTTTCGTACATTGGGTACTGCATCGTCTACAGTAGTTTTACAGTAAGGGGGATGATTGGTATGTGTAATCCGAATTGATGTAAATTTCAGGTAATCTTTCAAATTTTGCTAAATTTGGATTGTGACGCTGGCACACCTGTTCATTTGAACGATATCAAGGGATTTTTAACATCCACTCTTAATCAGACGGCGCGTGGTATTATTACGGGGAATGCGTACCGGCGACCTGCCAGTTTGGAACCGCGAACCTCTGCAACAAGCGGCAAGAATACTACTTCTAGGCCACACCACTGGCGAATATGGGTTAGGGTCAGGATAGGGGCTGCTGCTGTTGTAGGGGATAGGACACTGGATATTGCAACCCAGAGGTCACTGGTTCGATCTCCATCCCCAGTCGTAAACAATGGGACAGTTGCTGTATGTTTGTTGAACTTCTTTCTCGCCGTATGTAGCCAACCGCACTAATCTGGAGGTGCGGGGGGGGGGGCAGGGCAACAAACTAAACCCAAAAAAACTGTTTCAATGAAGGTGATTTAAAAGTGCCATAGCTCCTCACAGCGGTCTTTGGCGGTCGTCTCCGTGTTTGTGTTGTTTCCCAGGTATACGAGAAGTATTCGTTTGAGGAGCTCCGCCTCGCCTCGCCGACTCCAAAACGGTAGCCTAGCTTTACAACACAACCACCACCACCACGCGATAATTGTACGTTGATAAAGTACGAATCGAGGCAATGACGATGATAAGAGTTTGCTCGTGATGTTAGTCATTATGTCCGTGGTGATGAAGATGATGGTGATGATGATAGCATCAATGGTTGAGCAGACATGTCACCAGCCTTGGCTCCATCATGCACTGGGGCAATTTTGGGGCATGTATATCCGGCTGTCACATTTTTTTCTGCTGCCCTCCATAGTTAAGAACTCGGCTGTCTGTGCTGTCATCTCCCTGATAGCATGGATAGCTGGGGTCTAAGCTGATGATCTTTTTCTTCTCATATACCCATGACTTGACCACCGCATCTTCTCTTTCTACGAAATAAACTTGTACCGCTGTTTCTGTACAACATCTTGACGTCGCATTTCGACGCTATATAAATACACATTCTGTTGTACTGTCAAACCTTGGCGTGACTAACAAACACCGTGACAATTCGGTGACATTCAGTGCCAAGACCATGGTTTCCTGCTTTGTGACCAAATCATCCAAATGATTATGATCTTGTCAGATCTCTGAAGCTATCAGAATCGTAATCTTTATTTAGACTGGAGGAATCCGATGAGCTATGAAGCTCTTTTTTCACAGATGTCCATTAAGGGCACTTTCTGATTTCCAGCGAAGCAGTGTTTAGTTTGTATAATATACAGATGAGTGACCACCAATATTGTACCAAGTTTATTGATTTGATTTGTTTACGTGGGTAATGAACATGGTTTTATAGGCTGTGGGGATGTGGTTTTCATTCGCTTATTTACGACTGCCCCCTATAAAATAAATACGTTCACTCTCCCTGTATGCAGTCACATTCAGAAGGCTGTAAAAATCCGCCCGGGAATCGTGTTGTGGTGACGCCTCTGATTTTTACGGGCAGGCCGAGCGAGAACATGCTGGTGCGCGTCAACAACGACGGCACGTACAGCGCCAACTGGACCCCGGGTGCCGTTGGCGCTTACCGCATCCACGTCACCATCGACGGCACCGAGACAGGTAAACGTTTCCACTGGGAATGGTGAAGTTTGTTCACTTGTGAGTGTAACAAAAAAAAAGATTATTTACATCCCTTTATCAATCCACCGGTGATTCAGAAGGAATTCCTGCGCTGTATCGGTCATACAGAGGGCGGGCACCAGGATCGGTTCAGATATCATCCGCCGCTGGCGTTAGACGTGGTCAGGAATCAAACCTGGGTCACCGTGCTCGTAGCACAGTGAATAAACTACTGAAACATTTGTTTTGATTAAAGGGTGTGTGTATATACATATCTTATGTGCACGCCTCAAATGAGTACCTGGTGCAAGGTGGAAACATCGCCACCGGGGAGACAAAGGCGGCCGGGCGTGGTGCCGGTCACCCACCCCCTCGTGTGCCGTGCCAGCCTTCATAGCAGCTCGCTAACATTACTTGCCCCAGCAGTGCTAAAGGCTATACGGGGATCTTTGTGTGTACGTGTGTGTTTTGTTTTCTCAACACAGTTTCTGAGCACACGCCCAAAGGCCCAAAACGAGCAACCAAATTGTGTATATGCGAGTGTACGAATGCCTGCGTGTGTGTCTACGTGCACACGTGTACGTATGTGTGTACAAGGGCACTTTTGTTCATCAGCAGACACGCGTGCATACACGTGTCTCTGAAAGTGAATGAGCACCCACATGTACGTGTGCATGCGTGCGTGGGCGAGTTTGTGTGCATGCGTATGTAGGGAGTGGTTAGCGTGGGGAGCGGTAGTGTAGTAGCGCACTGCGCTACGGACCTGGCAGCCTGCGTTCAATTCTAACTCACAGGTAACATATCAGTGGTGAATATTTGAACCTGTCCTGGGCCTCTGCCAAGTCGACTGAGCCTTAAATGAGTACCTGGTGCGGTATGTGTAAACATTAACACTGGGAGACAACTGCAGGGGCGAGGTGCCGCTACGTAGACTACAACCCATTCTCGTGCGTCGTGCTGGCCTTTCATGGGTACTTTCTGTCAACAGCACTTGCCTCAACAACTGTGCAGGTGACACGGGGGGGATCTTTGCATGTTTTACTCACGTGTGCGCGCGTGCGTCGCTTCCGTTGCCAAGATGCTGGGCTGGAGGTGGAGGTGAAGGAGCCACCCAAAGGGATGATGCCACCCCACGCCTCGCAGCAGCCCCGACCCAAACCAGAGCACCAGCCCAGCAAGGTAATCACCGCGCCACAGGGCAACGCAGCTGCTGCTCGTGACGCTCGCGGTGACGTTTCGGGTCCTTTGGTGCCTGCGATCAGCAACTGTTTTTTTTATATATATGTATATATAAATACGATGATGGTGATAATTACAATGGTGATGGGGGGGTCTTGTAGGTGCGCAGGTTTTCGATGAGGGACAGCGCCGGCCTCCGCGTGCGGAGTCACCCATCCCTGCAAAGCGAGCAGATCGGGATCGTCAAAGTCAACGCCACCATCACCTTCATCGACGAGGTTCGTCCTCGCATCCTCATGTCCTCACGTCCTCCCGTACCGGGCTCACAGGTGGTGGGGGAGTTGGGGTGAGGCGGGGGGTGGTTCAAGAGGCTGGTGGGGGGGGTACAGCGTGAAACGTGGTGATGGAAGCAGAATTTTTGACAGCGTACAACCAACGATTGTTTACAAACCCCATTACATGTTGTTTTGGTGCATTATGGGTTAAATATATATATAAGCAGAACTTTGTTCAGTTTCCACAGGTAAAATAAAGAGACTTGTTACAATTTGAGGTCATGATTCAATTGTCTCGGTTTTAGCCCCTCATTTGTATTGTTTTTCATTCGTTTAGGATTTGTTCTCTACATAATTTGTACTCAGCGCTTCAGCCCCTCTGTTGTTGCGATTGAGACACCTGCACGTGTTTCGCTAAACGAAATATATATAATTTTTTAATGGACGAAAATGAAATGATCATGTTTGCGCGTCGTGTCGCGCCGCGTCGGGTAGGTTCACAATGACGATGGCGTGTGGCTGCGTCTGAGCGACGAGATGGTGCGCAAGTACGTCTCCAACGTGAACGGCAACCCCGAGGCGTGGTGCCTTTCCTTCAACCAGCACCTGGGACGCAATCTGCTGGCGCCTCTGGAGGTCAGCGTCCGGCGTTACGGTGGTGACGCCGTAAACGCGGAAGTAGCCAGCGAAACCGAAAGTGCAGTTGATAGCGATTCTGAATTTGAGTAGAATTGCCAAATGCTTGACATTGTGGTAGAAGGTACGATCGGGCCAAAGGCAGTCATACTGGGTGGGACACATTTTAAGAATGGGTGAGAGCCGGATATCTAGACAGCAATTGGAGTGGTCTCCACGATTCTGGCGACCAAGTGGAAGACCTAAGTCCACATAGTGGGATACTGCTCGGGCCGATCTTGAAGGTCCCGCGTCGACTGCGCAGCAGCTGCTGGATTTGGTGGAGGGTAGGAAGCGTTGGCAATGGGGTGTGGGTGCTGTCATTAGCTTTGGCCATGAAGACTTTTTGATCTTGGATGTGTCAGGGCAGGGAAATCATGGGAGATTGGAGAGAGGGCCTGAGACAGAGCAACCGGACACAACAACGAGCCCCAGGCAAACCCGTGGCACACCGAGGGCGCAGCGCCAGTGCGTCACGGGGAATCCTAATGGGGCCTATTGAAGGACAGATCATGTTCTGCAACGAAGCTGTAGCCCTGCTTCATACTGAGATCACACCAACTTGAAACTATTACTAGCCATAGCCATGTTACCCACGCAGACTTTAGTCCTACCCCTAGCTTAACCAAATGAGCCAAACAGACTCTAGTACACTGTCTTAAGTCCTTAATCACAGCGGCTAACGAGATCCTTTCCGTAACTTCGACGATACTGTACACAAAGGGGCCGTTCATACATGACGTCACGTACCTAGGGGGGGTGGGGGTCAGACATTTGTGACGATGTGTGACGAGGGGAGGGTGGTTGAGAAATATGACGTCACATCAAAATGCGCAACTTTAAATAAATATAGACAACACGTTCTACTTAATTAATAAATGTTTTCTCCTACAACATCAGAGTGCAGCGCCACATTAAATACGCACGACAATGACAATAGTTTAAAGCGAGTTGAAGCATAAATTTTGATTTAAAGCTTTCATGACTGCAGGGATTCCTATTCTTGGTTCTTTCGGTAAAGTCACGTAGAAGGGAAACAATAAAATAATTGTTTTATATTTTTCTTATTTTATTGTTTCCCTTCTACGTGACTTTACCGAAATAACCAAGAATATGATTTGAAGCATGTTTTATTTTCAAAATGGAAATATGGTTTGGGGAGGGGGGGCAGAGCTTTGTGACGTCATATTTAATGGGGGGTCTGACTTTTTGTGACGCCGTGTGACGAGGGGGTGGGGGGGCAGCGGTCAAAAATCGTCCAAAATCGCGTGACGTCATTTATGGACGGCCCCAAAGCACACTCGGGCGGCTGTCAAACACATGGTGAGATCGTGTTCGCTTGTTTCCCGTCCGCCTGTCGACCTCCAAACCCCCTCCCAACAGCAGGAGCCCAAGTCCATCTACGAGGGTCTCCTGAAGGAGGCTGTGGGGAGGCGTCTCTCAGAGGTGAGGTCACGTGGGACGTGTGTGGACACATTATCAGGCACGTGCAGTGTGTCATTTTATAAGATTGCTAGCCATGTGGACAGGTCGATTAGCACGGTTGGCTATGTACGGTGCGAAAGAAGTTCAACATACATACACCACATTGCGTCTCATGGACTGATCCCATCCGTTATGACTTTATTGATAAATAAATTACAGCCTTTTGTCAAATCCACTGCCTCCCCCATGCCGTGTCGGTCATAGGGGTTATTTGAACATACTTCACTACATCGGTCAGAGCGGGTGGGTGAAGAGGGGGGAGGAGGGAGAGCCACGACGCGGACAGATATCACTCGTCACCGATATTCGCTGTTGCCAGGAATCAAACTCAAATTCACGTCAGGGTTCGTAGCGTGCCAACCGGGGTGCCCACCTCTCATCGTGGCCCCTGAAGTGCATATGGCAGTGGGCCATGGTTCAGTGGACAAGCGTGGTGGGTTCTTTTGGCCGAAATGGGATATGGGCTCTGGTGCAAGGAATTAAATGGGGGGGGGCGCAGAGCTCCCCTGTGCAATTTATCCCCCCCTCTTTGTAACGTGGCTTCTGTTGCCCCTCCGACTCATGGGTCCAGGCACAGTTTCACCGCCTGCAGACTCGATAGCTGCCCTATCACGTACCCGGAGTGTGGTTGGTGTTGGCGGACAGTGAAACCCATGGCACACGAGCGAACCCCGTGGCACACGTGGGCGGTGTTCCCGATGTGACCAGGTGGGAGCCAAGGAGCGGTCGTCGCGGCTGCATGGTGGGCCCGGCTTCTACGTGGTGATTCGCACCGGCACGTCCGGCCACAACGTGCGGAGCCGGCCCAGCATGCGCGGCATCCCCATCGGCACGCTGCTGCTCGGCAACAAGATAAAGGCACTCGGCGAGGTGGGGACGCCGCCACGGTTACACAGACACAAAGACAAAGATCCCCTATGCGGCCTTTATCAGACTGTTGGGGTAAATACTGTTAGCGAGCACCTTTTAAGGCCGGCACGGCAGAGAAGGGGTGAGTGACCAGCACCATGTCTCCCAGTGGCGAGGTTTACTAAACACTGCACCAGATCCTCATTTAAGGCTGAGACGACCTAGGGGGAGGCCCAGGACGAGTTCAGATAATTGTCACTGGTGTTAACCGTGAGCGGAAATTGAACTCGGGTCACCAGGTTTGGAGCGCAGCATGCTGGCCGCTACTCTATCGCTCTCATTAATACACTCAATGCATGAACACAGCACATCGGAATAGAGCCAAACTCGCACACTGTCAAACATGAATGTACGCATACGCAAGCACGTGTGGGTTAACACGCAAACACGTGCACGGTGTGCTCCATGGTTTTTATGAAATCAAATTTAAATTAAATGTACACCACATGTCGGGGGACTGTCAATGTCAGTAATTTTTTTATTCTTTCTAATACAAGGCCTCATTTTATAGACACGATGGTAAAATTTGTTCTGCTTGTGTCAATCAACCAAGTGAAAGTAGAAGACTTAATTTTCAGCTTCCAGATGTTTTCTTAATTACCCCCTGCATGTCTTGAAGGATAACAAACTAATTGATTCAGTCGCGAGTAATTCAACAATGATTAATTTAATGGATGAATAATTGTGCCGTTCTCTTTCCTTGAACCTTTTCTCTTATTTTCACGTTCACATTTTGTGGCTCTAATCGGTGCTCCTTGGATTGGAGTCAAACTTCAAAGACCGGAAATAGACTCCTTCACAATTCCGGAAATTTGCCCGATGAAGCTGGTTGTAATCATACTCTTAGTTCTTTCGGTAAAGTCACGTAGGTAAAAAATTAAATTAAAATTAATAAAAATAAAACAATAAAAATCACGACGTTTCGGAGGCAACACAAGTCTCCGTCATCAGGTGGGACCGTCACAGCCAGATTTGCTGCATCATGATGTTAATTGTTTTATTTTTATTAATTTTAATTTCATTTTTTTACCTACGTGACTTTACCGAAAGAACTAAGAGTATGAATCCTTGCAGTCACGAAAGCTTCAAATCTAGAACTGGTTGTAATCGCCAGCAAAGCATTATTAACTCGAATTGTAAATGTTGTGGGTTTACTCTCCAACATACCGTTGTGCTGAAGAAGGAACTAATTGACACGTTTTGTTCACGTGACAAACCTTGCTGTGATTGGCTTTGTCGGGTGGAGGTGGGTTTACGGGACATTTACATTTACGGGATCTAACCCAAAAAACGTTATTATAAATAATAATGGTTTGCGAAAGCCTACGTGGTAATACGAGACCTTTATGTTTGTTATTTTTTCCCGCCCGGACCTCTAATTAGCACAGTTGCCCATGTAGGGTGTGATAGAAGTTCAGCGTACGTACATACATAGTTAAACTTCTAAGTGATTTACTGCTTAAATTACCCCTAAGGCGGCAGTGCTCCATCTCCTGTTTACATTCTGGCCGCGTGTCCCAAATAGTTCCGTTTTTCTGTTATGTAATTCATTCCAAAAATAATTGAGATTTAACTCGAATAATTGTAGTTACATTTTGTTAATATACATTTTTTTCTACGTACGCGCAAGGCATTGGTTACGCAGAAGTTTTGGGGTCGTCTGAAAGCCTCCGATTAGGACGGTTGGCTACGTACGGTGCGAAATAGGTTCAACATACATGCAAGCCATTGATTGTGGAAAAATAACCATTAATCGGCGGGTCGATTAAATATTCGTGTTTATGTTCGCAATCATCACGTAGAAGTGTGCGTGCCAGTCAGTTCTTTTCAACCCGCTTGAATTTCTATTCATACTGTTGCAGCTTCTCCTCCTCCAAATGTCTTTATACGTATTATTATTATTACAATATATTTATAAAATGATCAAATATTGATTTTCTTTAATATTTAATACCATTTTATTTTATGGATTCAAAGCATGATAATCTTCTGGATTTATATATAATTTAGTTCATGATATTAATATATTATCATGTTCATATTTATTTCATGTGTTTTTGTGTGTATATATTTATCGATTCATACCACTGTAAGGATATGAGATTGACTCATTTGAGAGTTGGAAGTCGCCGTTTTACACTGGGGAGGAGAGAACACCTGGGAGTTGTGATCCACGTGATTAATTGAGTTTCTTATTCACATGAAGTTTCGCATTCATAGACACGGAGGTGCATGTGCACCAATACCAACCTATACAATTTCCCGAGTTTTGATGTTATGATGTGGCGTCATTGTTGATGAAATATCATTACAATATGCCACCTGCGCCTGAAAATGACAAAAAAATTATCGCTGTGTGTGTATCAAATCATGGCCCCCCAATTGTAACAGGTCACTGAATCGCAGAGTTGTTGAATCTTCTGTGTCGGTCACATGTTTTTTGTTGTCATAAAGTGTGTGCCTGCATGCTTGTGTATGTCCGTCTGTAAGCTTCGTGCGGAGACAAAGTCGACCGGACATGGTGCTGGCCACCCCACCCCCTGTCGGCCTTCATAAGTGCTCGCTTACAGCACTTGCCCCGAAGTCTTGGAAGGCTATACAAGGAATTTTTGTCTTTGTATTGCACATGCCTGCTTGTGTGACTGCATGCCTGTGGGTACGTGTGCCTGTGTTAAAGTACGGTACCTATGTACACGTGCGTGACTCCTGTGGCTTTGTGCATGTGCCTGTGTGTTTTACACGTACCTATGTACATGTGTGTGCCTGTCTTTGCGTGCGTGGGTACACGTACCCGTATAAATAAGTGTTCGTGGTGTGTGTATGTGCGTGTATGCAGGTGAGCAACAGCGAGGGGCTGTGGGTGCAGCTGGAGCGGAGCAGCATGGTGGAATACTGCGACGGCGACGAGGGCGAGGCCTGGTCACTGGCGCGTGACCGCAGCGGCATGTACTACCTCAAGCATCCGGAAGGTGACCACCTCTTCCTCCTGCTCGTGTACCACGCTCTTCATCAATATTCCACGCTCATCAGTGGTGTCCCACACTCTTAATTGGTATCCCGCTCTCTCCATCAGTATCCCGCGCTCATTAGCGTGTCCTGCGCTCTGCAGCAGTGTCCCATACTCTTCATCAATATCCCACGCTCATCAGCGGTGTCCCACACTCTTAATCTGTATCCCGCTCTGTCCGTCAGTGTCCCGCGCTCATTAGCAGTGTCCTGCGCTCTGCAGCAGTGTCCCGCGCTCTGCAGCAGTGTCCCATACTCTTCATCAGTATCCCGCGTTCTTCATCAGTATCCCGTGCTCTGCATCGTTGTCCGATGCTCTTCAGCAGAGTCCCACGCTCTTCAGCAGTGTCCCACACTTTTCAGCTAAGATGGGCCACCCAATGTACCTACTCCTCCAAGAACTTCTCCCCGAGCTAAGATGGCACTCGGTTTACATACTCGCACACGAACTTGTCCCCAAGGTAAGATGGTCCCCCGGTTTACGCAAGGCGATGTTTTGTTTTGTGCCACAGACGAGAGCCCAGATGGCGTGAAGGCCCCCATGGGGCGTCCCTTCCCGGTGCCCGTCTCCGCCATGAACGGGGCGGACGGGAACCTGCAGGGCTTCGACTTCATGCTGGGTGTGTACGCGACGAGCCGCATGGCCCACGAATGAAACGCGAGCCCCTCCACTTTCGTCCTCTTGAACGACGGCCGGCGACGGATTGCGACACGGCTGATGACATTTTCCGGGCGGTGGTGGCGTGCACGCCCTTAATCCAGCGCCTGTGGTGGCAGGGGTTGGTGCATCGCACAAACTCTAGCCGTGGGCATCGCGGTCATCGTCATGGCCGTACAGCAAGTGGATTTATTTCCAGCTGTGTTCCATCTTTATGGGGATTAAGGGTCACCCCCTCGCATGCATGGGTTTTTTTTACACTGACCCAGGTTTCATAATGTTGGGCCACAGAGCTTGGGCAATTGTTTCCACCGGTTTGGTCTCCTGTTTGTTTGTGGTTTCCTGCGCTGCTTGAACTGCACCTCAATTTGTGCGTTTTTAATTCGACCTGTGAGCACCCCCACAAATTTACTCTAAGTATCCCCAAAAGTAATGTCGAGTTGTTCGTGCTTCGAATGGTTTGGCTGTGCGCAATGCCAATTCTACATTTCACACCGGTCCAGCTTCTCGTGCGTCTCGTGGCTTTAAACTCGCGGCACTGCAGCTTTGCTTTCAGTTTCTCCTGCTACCTCTACTTTTATTTTTCATGCCGCCATAAGCTGGGGATTGGCTCTCGCTGTGTAGTTCGTTTGCGCTAAGGCCACCGTTGTTGAGAGTGATCGTCGGGTGGCCGATGCTTCCTTGATGTGCCCAGCAGGGAGAAACGATGTGCAGCGAGTGAGAGCAAGCCTTCAAGCGTACCATTTCAACTCTGGAAACGCGCATATGCGGGAAAGATACCGCAGAGACAAAGACTAAAAGATCCCCCGTTGTAGCCTTGAAGAACGTTTTGCCAAACACTGTTAATGAGCGCCTGTGGATTGACAAATGGCTCTGAGTGATATTGATTGAAAGTCTTTACAATTGTATTGCTGCTCTACACAGTACAAACAGACTCAGCGCCATACTTCAGAATGAATCCACAGTCTGTATACATGAGCATTTGATGTCTAACAAAGAGGGAGAGCAAGACCCTTCACGCGGCACCCTCTCGCTTGCCTGGGCTCATTAAGCTGCTAAAAAGCCTGCTGTGAGGTTGTACCGGGGGTGGGTGGGGAGTTGGAGCTGTGGGGGTGGGGGTGTGGAGGTCGTCACACTGCACTCGCGCGGAATGACGTGCACCTGTTTAGGGCTCCCCCACAATTTCTTCCTTACCCACAATCCCTTCCCCCGGCTGCCCCGGTTCACGCTGCACTGCTGAAGCATCATGAGGTGCACCTACCCGAGCTACCCACAACCCTGACGTGTGCGCAGGCACTGCTGCCCCACCTGCATGACCACCCTCGGCCCCCTCTTCCTGCCCGCTTTCCCCTCTCGGCCCTCGCCACTCTCACCTTGTCCCCTCTATTCGTCGCTGCTGCCCCTCACCGACGCTCGCGTCTGCATGGCTGTTTGCCCACCCGTTCACGGCAAGCGTAATCTTTTACCCTCGGCGATTCTTTCGGCTTGGCACGGCGGGCGGCTGGGGCTGTTTCCCAGCGTCCATTGCGGACTCTTGCCCGTTGATCTACAAAGTGCTTGTCCCTAGGATAACCTTGCCAATCTCTTGTTTTTTTTGGCATTCGTTGATTTCCTTTAAGTAAAAAAATCAGCCCCGCGGAAGAATATTTGAACCACAAAAAATTAGGTCGTAAACAAACGCCGAAACGAACGGTGACAGTTACTACTCCAGACTTATTTTAGTTTCGTAGCAGTGACTCAGGCATTTGTAAAATCAAGTGGCCCTTGTTCATTATTATTTGTTAACGTTTCCCTCTTTCCCCGTGTATGTTTCCGCGTGTTTTATTGATCCTATAATTTATTTTTGTTACATTTCGGTTGGCATTCTCCACCCCCCACCCATCCCTCTCCCCGTGTTTCGTGTGTCTGTCCAGTGCTTGCCCCCCTCCCCGTCACCACGTTTTGTGCTGGTCTCCTTTTTGATTTTTGTTGTTGTTGTTGTGCTGCTGGCGAGTGTAGGGGAGCACGTTAGTGGCGTGCTGGAGGCCGCAACGCAGGCCCGACCCTTCCTGCCGGGGGGCGGCGGTGCGTGCGGGCCACCAGGCAGGCCCCCGCCGGCTCCCCTTGCTCCCCCCTTCTCCCTCGCGCACGGCCCCTTTGTGTTCGGGCAGGCCCTCCTGAGTCCCAACCCCACAGGTGCACGCCACACCCACCTCGCTCCCTCCCTCCTTGCCCCCAACCACCACCACCACCACACAGGGTGGTTCACTGTCGGCTTGTGAAAGTGAGAAAACATATTAATTGCCACGGTCCGATGCATTCCAGTGACATAGCAGTGACATTATTTATTTCCGTGCATTTGCTTTGTTTATAAAATGGGACCAGGACTTTGTAAAAACGCTGCTGGGTGAAGACCCCTCCCCACATTGTGTAAGTCATTGTGGTTGGCTGGTCATACTTCACCACGCTGGTCAATGCGCGTTTGGGATGGTTGGGAGTCGGCTGGGAATTAAATTCAGGTTGCTGGGTTCGTAACTCTGCGCACAAACTACTTCACCATTGCTGCATCCTTCCTGAGTTAAGCCTCAGTGCAGTGAGCTGTGGCACAATCCTCATCGTGCCCAGCACAGCCCAGAGTGATTCTCCACAATCTTGCACATCCGATCCTTTCCTCTGTCCTCCTCACTTCTCCTTGCGGTCGCCGTTTTGTTTTCCATGTTGAGGCTGGGGCGCCGCTGTCAATTCACCGTCGCAGCGTTTTCCGAACCGGGGCTTTCGTGCGCGTTACGACAAAGTGTCCAATGTACGATTGCAACGCGCGAGGTCGTGACCACGAGAGGTGGTCGCGTGGCTCAAGGGGCTCGTAACGCGTTGTTGAAAAAATTGAACCATCGCCACCGAGATGCTGGCCTGAAAACCGGCACCGAACCCAGGATCTCAGCCGTGCCGGCGGGGCGGTCCGTCCTCTATGCCGCCCCCGGCCACCTCTAAACAACAGTGATTTCAAAAACGAAAGACCATGCTTCACCTGTGAATATGCCTGTGTTCGCTAACCATAACCGTGGCCCAACCCCAAAGGTGGCAAGGACATCCTGCAGGCGGTGGAGCCGGCGTTCGGCGGAGCCCTGCACTTCCCGCGCACCGACACCGCCTCCCACCGCATCAAGTCGGACGCCAAGTCGTCGCGAACCGAGAGCCGCTCGGGCCGGGCGTCCTCCAAGAGCGGCGACCCCTCGCCCCGCACGGCCGCCGAGTCCCTCCTCCTCAAGTCCGACGCCGCCAAACTGCGTTCCGAGTCGCACCACGGCCGCTCCCTCTCGCCCAACCACAACTCGCACGTCGCGCCTAAGTCGGAGTCGCCCCGCCGCCCCGCCTCGCCCGTCGTCTTCCGCCCGGAGTCGCCCGTGCCGAGCGGCGGGAGGTCCGCGTCGCCCAAGGTGAAGGCGCTGGCGTCGGCGCACGGCGGTCGCTCGCCGAGCCCCGGCGCGTCCAAGACGTTGCCGGCGTCGGAGCAGGCGCGGCCGGCGAGCCCGGCACCGGGCAAGCAGCCGCCGGGAGACGCGGCGGCACGACCCGCCAGCCCGGGGCACGCCAAATCGCCGGCCGCTGCCTCCGGCGGAGCCGTCAACTCGAAAGCAGCGGCTGCATTGGCGGCCGTGGCGCCGACGGGTGCGGCGGAGCAGCCGGCACGGTCAACGAGCGCGGCCGTGAAGACTGTGGCAGCGGCGCTGTCGGAACAGTCGCCGCGCTCGTCCCCATCGCGGGAGAAGAGCGGCGGCGGTGCCGGTGGTGGCGGCGGCGCGGGGAAGAACGGCGCGTCGCTCAAAGTGAAGCACGAGCCGACGCGCGAGCGCTCCAAGTCTGACTCTTACGCGCTGGTGGACACGAGCGAAGGCAAGGACGGCAAGGGCAAGCGCGCCGGCCCTGCCGCCGACGCCTTCAGGCCCGGCCGCACGGCATCGCCGCGTTCGAGGCCCTCGGCCAACGGGGCAGATGGTGCCGGCGGCGTGGACGCAGGTGGCTCAAAGCCGTCGGCACACGTGGTGCAGGAGAACCTGCGCAGCGAGATCGTGGCCGTGTGTACGTCCAGCGCACTGTCGACCGGCGCTGGGCGGTCTCCCGACGGACGTAAGAAGCAGGCATCTGACGCCAGGGTGGCCGCCAATGGCGCGGAGGATTTGGCGGTGGCGGTGGCGGCGTCGGCCGAGGGACCTTGCTCACTGCAGCAACTGAAAAGCGACGAGGATTCGGACTCGGCTCCGCGCGTTCACTTCAGCATCGGCAAAGCGCCGGCAAAAGTAGAACTCGACACCCGGCTGTCGCCCAAGACGGGGCGGAAGAGCCCTTGCCGTTTTGCGCGAGTAAAGAAGGACAAATCCGGCAGCAGTGGCGGCAGCGGTGGCGGCAGTACCGGCAGCAGCGGAGGAGGTGGGGCCGGTGCCGGGAAAGCCGGGGAACGCGCGTCGAGTCGACCAGCCAAGGAGGCGATGTCGCCGTCGGTGGCGGAGTGTGCCCGCACTGTGTTCGCCGCCTTCCTCTGGCACGAGGGCATCGTGCACGACGCCATGGCCTGCGCCTCCTACCTTAAGTTCAACCCGGCGCTCGCCAAGGAGGGCGTGGTGACGGTGCCGGGCAGGGCCGCGCCGGCACCGCCAGGGCAGCGGCAGTTGGAGGACGGCGGCGGCGAAGACGCGGTCGCGACGGGTTCGGCCGAGTCGGAGCGGGAGGCCAAACTCAAGAACCGGCACTCGCTGGACATCTCCACGTTCCGCGTGGTCAACATGCCGCCGCCCGGTGCCATCAACAAGAACCAGGTACTGTCCATGCTGCGCGAGGGCGGCCCCAGCGAGGACGACCCCGACGCGCCCGCGGCATCGTCGTCGTCCGACGAAGCCGGCGGCTGTTGCGGCGGCTCCGGCGGCACCGGCGTCGGCGCCTCCCGCGCCCGCTCTGCACTGCCGCTCACGCTGCAGCACCTGGTGGCGTTCTGGGAGGACGTGTCGCGCGCCGTCACCCGCGCCACCGCCCAGAATCTCATCTTGCCCAGCCCGGGCGCCGGCGCCTTCCTGCTGCGGCGCAAGGATTCGGGGCGCGAGAAGGAGCGCTCCAAGAAGGAGAAGAAGAAGAAGGACAAGGCAGAGGGGGGGCTGGCGGGCGGGGCGGCGGGGGGCGCCGTCGGAGGGGCGGTGGGGCTGGGGGCCGCCGGTGGAGGGAGGGTGCGAGGGGGGAACTACTTTGGCGACCTGGCGCAGTTTGCACTTGGGGTGGCGGGGGTCCCGCCGGCGGGTGGAGGGCAGGAGAAGGACACGGTGTGCGACCTCTGTGGGGGGCTCTACCCGTACCCGGTCACCTACCACATGCGGCAGGCTCATCCGGGTGAGTCCTCCATATGGTCCTCGACACCACGATCCACATACACACACGATCGTACAAGGACAAAGATCCCCCGTATAGCATTTAACAGACTATTGGAGGGCAGTGCTGTTAGAAAGCACCAATGGCACATAGGGGAGTGGGTGGGTAACACCTGGTCGCCTTTGTCCACCTTGTGGTGATGCTTACACATCCCACCAGGTACTTATTTCAGTCTGAGTTGACCTAGGGGTGGCCCAGGACTGGTTCAGAGAATTATCACTGGCTGGGAGCTGGAATCGAATCCGGGTCGCCAGGTTCGTAGTGCAGCACGCTAACCACTACGCACCCACACTGCTCACCTGCGCAGGCTGCGGGCGTTACGCTGGCGGTCAGGGCTACAACAGCAGCGGCAACTTCTGCGGTGGCTGGGCTGGCAACTGTGGCGACGGTGGAATGGGTGGCAGCACTTGGTACCTGATCTGCGACCGCTGCCGAGAGAAATACTTACGCGAGCGGCAAGTGGCGTCGAAGGACAAGGTGAGAGATGGCCTCTTGTCGACTCGCTTGTTCATCCACTCACCTGTTCATCCAGTCGCCTGCTCACCTGTCCATCTGCTCACCTCTTCACCTTCCCACTCGCCACGCAAACTCAAGCTGCGCGGAAAAATACGTCGTCGTCGTGCGTAATTCGTACGCAGAGTTGTCGTTTCAAATGCTCATTCGGAGACGCCGGTCACACCCCCCACCCCACAACGCCGCCTTCCGTCGCGCACAATGCAGGTGAAGCGAGCCAAGAAGAAGTCGTCGCAGTCCCGCACGACGCGGTCCCTCCCCCCGATGGAGGCGCAACAGGTGATGCGCACCAATGCCCTGTTCCTGCTGGCGCTGGCCAGCTCGGCCGAGACGGGCAGCCCCACCTACTACCCGCAGAAGCCACACGTGCAGACGCCGGGCTCCAGCGACCTGCAGCTGAGCGCCAGACTAGGCTGCCTCTACCTGCAGACGCTGGCCAGGTGAGCGCACTGTCCTGTTTGCTGGGGGAGGGTGGCGGGAAGTGCGGGGGAGGTGGAAGGGAAGGAGGGAGGGAGGGAAGGAGGGGGGGAGGGAGGGGGGGATGGCATGGGGGAGGTAGCCCGGGAGATGCCGGTCGCGTTTAGATGCCACATAAACCAAATTGGTATTGTGTAGACTCGCACACATTTACAGTTTGGACCGACTGTTGCATTGCTTGACCTGGCATGACCTGGAGTGTCCGTGACACGACACAACCTGATTGTGGTGTGGCTTGAACCCTGCTCTGCCTGGGGTGGCGTGGCCTGAACGTGGCGTGGCGTGCACCAGCAGGCAGCAGCAGGCGGAGGTTCTGGTCAGGGATCAGGACCCCACGCTGTACGCGGACGAGGTGCGCTTCTTGCGCTCCACGTCCGTCACTGTGCCCTACATCTCTGTCACGCCCGGCGTGAGCCCGCTCACCGCACACCAGCCCGATGAGACCACCAACCTCAAGTCCCTGCCGCCCAGGTAAGAGAACAGCTTCGAGCAATCCGCTGTTGGGGCGAACGCCACTCCAAGCCGTCCGCCGCCTATCCGTGGTCTCCCAATGGGGACAATCCGCCTGGCACCTGTGCACGAGATGATCTCGTCGTCGATCTCCGATCTCTCGGGCATGTTCTATTGTTTCCCTGCCACTACGTCGTGAGTCTTGACCACCGGCCATTGAGCCTCGTGTCAACGTATCCTGTCCAAGCCAACTTTCATTATTGGTCAGTGGGTCTCTGGTTTTCGTCGGTTTGCCAGCGTGGAGGTTACGATAGCTTGTGCACATATCTGCCGTGGCACATCTGCGGTGGCACATCTGCGTGTGCGCGCGCCTCAGTGAGTCACCATGCCTGTGCCTCTCTCTCTGGCTGTGGCTGTTAGTCATGCGCCAGCTACTCCGGTCTACTAGCGACCCAGGAAATATTCATTCATCTGCATCCGTGCTTGTGTGCGCAGCCGTACATACATGCGTGGGGAGCAGTAATGCGGTGGCTAGTTCTCTACGCTACGAGCCCGGTGACCAGACTTTCAAATCCCGCTCACAGCCAACATCGGCGACGAATCCCTGAGCCGGACCTTAGCCTCAGCCTTACATGAGCGCAGTGTCTGAACATCAACATTGGTTGTGACAAAGGCGGCCCGGTGTGGTGTTGGCCACCCACCCCCTCATGTGCCTTTCCGGCCTTCATAGGTTCTTGCTAACAGCACTTGCCTCAACAGCCTGTGTGAACTATATGGGGATCCATTGACTTTGTGTGTGCGTGTCGTACAGCTGATGGAGCGGTTAGTGCGCTATGCTACGAACCCGGAAAACCTGATTCGATTTGCGCTCACGGCCAACACCAAGTGATGATTATCTGAACTGGTCCTGGGCCTCACCTAGGTGGACTCGACCTCAAATTAGTACCTGGGGGGCGGTGTGTAAACATCGCCACTAAGGAGACAAAGGCGGCCGGGCGTGGTGCTATCCACCCACCCCATCATGTGCCGTTCCGCCCTTAATAGGATCTTGAAAACAGCACTTGCCTCCACACCCTGTATGAGCTACCGGGGGAACCATTGACTTTGTGTCTGTGTGTGTGTGTCGTGCAGCCTAGAGACGAGTCCCATCGGCGAGGTGGACGGGGGGAAGCGCGTCGTGTTCCAGCGCTCCTACTCCGTTGTGGCTTCCGAGTATGACAAGCAGCCCAACTCGGGGGCCGCCAAGGTCAAGGCCATGGCGCGACGCCGGGTCAACAGCGGGGACACTGGTGAGGCCCCACCGCCCCGCTCCATCGCCCCCCCATGGAAAATCCTCTTGGAAGTGAAGTGACTGGGTGGCCCGGGGTTCCAGACACTGAGTCGGCACCACAGGTTTTAGCCGCTCCACCATTAAGCCTGGTACGCAAGTGGAGCGAGCTGATGGTATGATCCCGGTCACCAATGGCTCACGTGGGTCAGAGACCCACCCACACTGATTTGTGATTAAACAAGGTTCTCAAGTGGAGTGAGTTCTCACATTCTCAAACGTTTAAAAAGTTCAACCCCCCTGTATGGCATACGGTGACTAGTCTGCCAGTAGGGGGGGGGGGCGATGATTGCCACGCGTAATCCCAATCAATGGCCTTGCTACGGAAGAACGGCACGAGCACCGAATGTTCTCACAATTTGATCGTACCGCTGGCAAGCAGGTGGGATTTTCATCGTGTGTCTTTTTTTTGGTTTGTCGTGCCGTTCCGGACGGCGCAGGCGAGGGAGGTTCCTCGCTGCTGCGGCACCCGTCGCCGGAGCTGGCGAGGCTGGTGCAGGCCCGGCGCGCCGCGGGGAAGGGCGAGCGGGCATTCACGTGCCCCGTGCTCACGTTCGTGGTGCAGCGACACAGCCTGGACGCGTTGGAGGCCGCCATGAAACACGCCCTGCGCAAGTCTGCGTGCCGCACGTTCGCCATGGAGGTAGGAGAGGCCCGGCATGATGGCCCCTGCAATGGAGACGCAGTCGACACGGAGGGGAACGAGAGAAAGAGAGAGTCGCGGTCGAAGGAGAGCGCATCCAAGACTCGCCAGTAGTCGTTCGCCTCCTTGTCGCTTTTTTGTTTGGTTCACCGACTGCTTTTTCTCATTCACACTGTTCAACCCCACCGCACTGCAGGTCACAACAACACACCTAAAAACTCACTGGCATAAAGGGCAATCTATATAAAACATTATTGATAATTTTCTCTGTTGGTATGCAGTGGAGAGCACCTGTCGGATGACATTACTATTTTAGATCCTCCTAATTTTTTTACACTTTTTATTGCAGAGGAATTTCATCGCGTTATAAATGCAAAGGATCATTTATTATTATCATTATTACCCAGTGATTAAAGTAACATGGGGGGACTAGTTTCCCTGCCCTCTTTAGTGGTCCACGATCGATGATGAGTTTTCGGGTTGCACCCACGTCTTGCTAGGCATGATCCCCGACCTTTTTAAGTTCCTGAAGAAGCTCCCAGCATGTGGAGCGAAACGTCGGATATTGTGCCAAACAACAGCCCCAAAGACGCGTCGGAGGGCTCCTCGACAGCGCAGCCGCGAAAGCCTCCGCAGTGTGTCTGCTTTGACTGCCGGTCACAACCCTGTCTGAGGCTTCGGCAACCTGCGGCTCAGGAGCCGCCTGCGGCTTTTCTTTAAGGACTGCAGTGCGGCTCTTGAAATTTGAAAAAAATGTGGCTCTTCTTGTTATTTTGGTTTCCGACCCCTGACCATGGAAGTCCAGTTTACCATGGGCAAGGGTGGGCAACCCGCAGCTGCGGAGCCGCATGTGGCTCATCAAGTACTGTTTTGTGACATTTATTAGACCATTGTATTCATGTGCATTGCGGCTCTTAACATATTGGTTTTTTTTTACCGAATTCCAAAAAGATTGACTCTTGTTTTGGTTGCCAACTCCTACTCTTTAGGCCTTCAACTGGCTGCTGTGCAACGTGATTCAAACCACATCGCTGCACGACATCCTGTGGCACTTCGTGTCGTCGCTGACGCCGGCGCAGAGTGAGCCCGAGGAGGAAGAGGAGGACGACAACAAAAGGAGGGAGGGCGGAGAGCAGGTACGGGCTGCCGGGCACGCACCGACGCGCGTGGACAGGACGTGTACGTACACACTCGCAAAACACAGATTTACTCAGTTCTGGGAGCACCCCTCCCAACCCACGTACTCCAGCAACCCACACCAACTGGGTTGGTGAAGTATGGTCAAATAACACTGCGTGAGAATGCCTTCATCCAGCGGTGGATTGATAAACTGTTATGTATTGCCTTATTGTTAACGTAGGATTCTGCAGCTGGTATGATTCATAATAGTTTTTTGGGTTAGACCATGTAATTTATCTGGTCAAACTTGTGTCGTAAGTCCCTCCACCACCCGACATTGCCAAACAAATTAAATTGTCACGTGACATAAGTTTTTTTAACTCGTGATATTTCACTTGAAACTGCACTAACCATTGTCTGGACAAGACCGATTAAGTCAGAATAATGTCAATTAAAGCACAGTTCTTAATGATTATGCATTGAAAACAATGATTCTTACGAACGCGATTCATTACATGTGCCACAAGCCCTAGAATTGGCATATGTGTGCATTGTCGCGCCTCCACTGGAAATGACGAGAGCTCAGCAATATCAGCAGCAACGAGTGGCGTCCATAAACACTACCCCTGCACGTGCCCTCTGCGCAGGAGAGAGACTCGCGCGTTTGCGAGCACCCGCTATCGGACATCGTGATCGCGGGCGAGTCTGCCCACCCGCTCCCGCAGGCGTTCCACCGCCTGCTGCAAACCGTGTCGGACCTCATGATGTCACTTCCTGCCGGCAGCGCCCTCCAGCAAATGGCGCTCAGGTTCTATCGCGCTCCCACGTCACTCCTTGCCGTTCTGCCCGATGCCTGTTTTGTTTAAAACCTTGTCCAGATCACGCACAAGATAAAGGATCTCTCTCTCTCCAGTTCTCATGCATTGTAGTGCAGCCCTCCGTGTTAAAGAATAGAAGTGGGCCCAGTAGATGGTGGCTTTAAGCACACCCCTTGGGAGCAAGGTCACGTGTGCCGGTATCCTAAGAGTTCTTGCTTCATAAATTGTGTTCTGCCCTGCTAATGTAAAGTAAGGATGCGTTTCTTGTAGCAAAGCTGTGGTTATATTAGATGCATATATATCCAGCTACTGCTGTGTCGCACAACGACTTCTGAGATCCCTTCAAAGTGATCCATTACAGACAGCATGGGGAATCACTTTCCCACCCGCTTTCGCCACTGAGAGTAATGTTCGTCGCGTGGCAGTCAAACCGATGCGTTTAATTCTCAGCGCTGGATTTTAGCCAAATTAAGATTGGAATCAAATTAAATGTGACTGTACAGTCATTTGTGGCTTTGATCATCACCTTGCTATACTTGAGAATCTGGTTTAATCACAGGTGGTTGACACCTGGATTCAAAGCCTCAGCGGTGACAGCTCACCACTCCGACCTCTGATACCAGTCCTACCCTCCGGATCGGAATTCTGAATCCTTTGGAGTGAGGATGACAGAAAGATAACGGTCACAGAAGTGAAGAATGTTCCTTGGCTGGATACAAATCCATCACACTGCCATTTGCGTACCAGGTTGCCCATTAGTTACAAAACAATTTGTGTACAATTAGCGTCTAAATGCGACCACGTTAGATGTCGCTGTTCAGAAACGGTGTCCGAAGTAATTTCAGAGAGGCAATCATACTGCAGAGAAAATCAGCGCGTTGCCTGTCACAATTATTTCTCTGCAATTGGCCCGTGGTCTTTAACGAACTTTGACCTCCGTTTCCCAGGTGCTGGAGCCTCAAGTTCCGCCAGTCAGACCACCAGTTCCTGCACCACAGCAACGTGTTCCACCATATTAACAACATCCTGTCCAAGTCAGACGAGGGCGACGGTGACGACAGCTTCAACGCCAGCGCGCAGGCGGGAGACCTGCCAGGGCCGGTGAGGCACTCGCTCACGCACAACAACAACACCGGCCATCATTCGCCACTGATGGTGACGTCGCCACGGCACTTGTGCCAAGCTGAGTGTGCTTTGAGGCCGCGTGAAGGGTCGAATGCTCGCTTACAAGAGGTCACCGGACAGATCCAGGTGTTAGGACTTGCCGATGCGCCAACTGTGTTGCCCCCTCTGCCACCTTGCTGCGTTTTAGCCGCTCGGGCGCTCTGCTCGGTGTTGCTAGAGTCACTTCTTCACCATTACCACATACTTGCACCCGTTTATGTATATGTACGTTTAACTTCTTTCGCACCATACGTAGACAACTGCTCGACGCATATGCATGCGGTCGCCGCTCTCGCTTCACTCGCCAACTTACGGCGCTCCCGCTGTTCCGCCGGCAGGACCAGTGCGTGGTGTCACTGCTGCGCGACCTGACGTCGTCCTTGGAGATCAAGGCGTCGAGCCGGCCGGCCATGACGGGCAGCCTCACCGACGGCTCAACGGAGACGTTCTGGGAGTCGGGCGACGAGGACCGCAACAAGACCAAGAGCATCACCGCGCTGTGCGGTGGCGGCGGCGTTGGTGCTGGCGGCAGCAAAGGGCTGCACGCACGTGCCTTCTACGTGCACGTGGACAACTCGCGGGACATCGGGGTGCGGCATTTTGGGAGGGAGAGAGGGGTGGAGGGAGGGGGGGTGGGGGGGGAGGGCCTGCCGACTCCCTGTGGGGCTCATTGGGTCCTGGTTTCTCTGTCCTCCTGTAGTTGGAGCAAACTGGATTTGGGGATTAAGATAAATAGAGATACAGTATTTGAAGAAATCATTAAAATAAATAGACTTCCGAATCTTCAAGCCCTCTCATTTGTGATACCGCTCTGGGGTTGTGTAGACCCTGTTATAATTGGTGTTCGTGTTCCCTCTGATTTCTCGTTCGTGCTCATCCTGTCTTTGTTGACGACCCACAGAACCGAGTGAGCTCTGTGTCATTCCTGGCCGGGCCTACAATCGAGGAGCTCACGAAACTAAAGCAGGTAAGACACATGTGAGAGGCGTGGGCTTCGAGGTGGGCATGAAATGGCCAGTATAGCTGTGGATCCTTGAATCTGTTAGTACGACGTTTTGAGGGGGTTTTCCCCAGTCTCTTTTCACAAGAAGCCAAATGCCCTTTTACGGAGCTGACCAAATATCTCAATGTTGCAGGACAACTTATAAAATTCAATCTTGGGACTCGCTGACGCTTTCCCAGTTAGGAGGTAAATTAATCTGCCTTGCCATAAACAACGGCGTGACATCACCTACTTCATGCTACCCCACACCGTTCCCAGGTCGAGTTGGACTCCCGCCACATGGGCTGGGTCGGCTGCGAGCTGCCGTGCTCCCTGCGACCCGAAGCGCCGCCCCTGGCCGCCGGCGCCGCCGCCATCCTTGGCGCGGTGGCCGCGGCTCCTCCGGTGGGTGGCGGAGGCCCGGCGGTGGTGCGCGTGGAGCTGCGCGGCCCCGAGAACACCCTGAGGGTGCGGCAGGTGAAGGTGCTTGGCTGGAGGGAGGGCGAGAGCGCCCGTCAGCCGGCGCCCATGTCGGCCGCCGCCGCCGCCCAGCAGAGGAACTGCGAGGCCGAGACGCTGCGCGTGTTCCGGCTCATCACCTCGCAGGTGAGCGGCGGTGCACTCCCCCCTCCCCCCCCCCCCCCCCCCCCCCCCCCCCCCCCGTGTTTGGTCGATTTTTCTCGTTCTGGAGCGACCGTTAACCTCACCGCGCCGGCCGTCTCTGCTCTGCTCCCACTCCCTCCCGCAGGTGTTCGGCAAGTTGATCTCCGGGGACAGCGAGTCCACGCCCGAGCAGGAGGAGAAGCTGCTGCTGTCGTCGCCGGACTCTGATGACAAGGTACCACATTTAGCGTGGACTAACAGCTCTGCGGAAATGGCACACACAGAGAGAGAGGGGGGGAGAATCGCCTTACACGCCGATGTGGTTTGCACTGAATCGCACCCGAACATCGCACGAAAGGTTCGGCGACCGCTTACACGAGTGGAAAGATGAGAGGCAGCCCCTTCCCCCCTCCACATTGTCACTGTGGCTATCAACTCCAAACCATGCAACTCATTGCCCAACAACGCCCGAAGCTTTGCGCATTCACAGCCATTCACATCATCACCCGCCCTGGCAACCCTCAAACCCGCTCACCAGCCTCGACATTAACGCTGAACGCTGCGAATCACCCTGCTGTACACGAGAAGACGACCCTAACCACCACCACCCCCCCCTCCCATCCACACCCCCTCCCCTTACCTATTCTATCCCACCTCTGTGGAGCTCAAGGGTGTCTGAAATGAACCCCGGGATATCTGGATGTGCATAGGCAGTGTTATGTACCCCGTCATCGCTGGCAGGTTGACCATCGTTATCGAAGGTTGGGTTTTCTGCAGAGGTGTTGTTTGGTTTTTCTAAGCAGGCGTTGCACCGACTCGTCGATTAAAATCCAATCTTCTTCACGCGACGATGCGCCCATTGAATTCCGTGCGTGAGAATCGATTATTTACGATCCATTTTAAATCTTTTGTTTTTGGTTCGGAGAACACCTTCATCCTCCATGAATTTCACTTGTACCACAATTAGAAATGTTAATTTAATATTTTTATCAAATTGACCGAATTATGAAAATTCATTGCACCGCCAAGGGGGAGTGAGCCATTAAATGTCTAGGAAGGGTGCGGGAATCCAATGTTTTTGAAGCACATGAGTTTGAAACAAGTTATCGTGACAAAAATGTATCAGTCCAAATAACATGTACGTAGAATAATAATAGACGTGTAATGTGTCGCCCTCTGTCAATCCATCGCTGAATGAAGGCATAATCACCTCCAGGAAATTGTTATGAATTAGTGACAGTGGGTCGTTATTGAAGAGGATGACCACCACGGAGATAGAGTAGAGATTACGTGCGATAGATCACTGGAAGATCAGCAGCCCGAGTGCTGAAAACTAGCCAAGGGATTGATAACACTTCCCAAAACACTGCCACATTTGCGACCGATGTTCAGACGCGGGTGATTGAACGAACGAATGTGACTGCCCCTCCTGTTTTTTGTTGTCATCGTCACAAGGCCAAGTCTGACGCAGACCTCAAAGAGCATATGGTTGGCATCATCTTCAGCCGCAGCAAGCTCACCAACCTCCAGAAGCAGGTGGGTGGGGGCCTCGTAACGTGACCCATCGCTCACAATGTCAGCCTCCTGGTCAGCAATAGGTGGACGGAGTTGGTGAATTGTTCCACCACCACCCCTACTCCGCCCCCACCCTCTCCACCGAAATCATGCAAATGGACCACTCCATGATTTTGGAAGTACATTTCAGACACTTTATAAAGATGTGGGTAATCAGTAATGTAATCATAAAGTGATTTTTTTTTTACTTGGCATCGTACACCAACCAATTAGGACTATGATGCAGAATTAAGACATTTGTTCACTTTTAATTGATGGGGAAGAAATGTCCTTTTTCTCCAATGTTATTGCGCTTTTGGTGAAATGGCAGGAGATGAAATACCCATTTGGAACACTCACAGAGCAGTGCAACTGCTTTATATAATGCTGTGTGGAGGTAGATGTCACAGAGCTACCGCTGAGACCCATTCACGATCACCACAGCAGAAGGCAGCACTACTCCTGCTCTGCCACTGAGAGTAACGTACATCATGTGACAGTCAAACCGATACTTTAATCCTCAGTGGTTAAATTAATTTAATTAAGTCATATTTTATATATATGAACATTAATTGGTGACTTGAGAACCCATTTCAATCACAGGTGGCTGAAAGCCGGATTCGAATCTATGGTATCGACTGTTCCAGCTCAGCGCTCTGACCTCTGATCCACCCGGCTACCAATTTCAATAATTACGTAATTCCACCTGCGTGCTTGCCGAATACGCGGAAATCACCGTGACGTGATGCCCGAATGCCGCGTTACACCCGACCGCAGCACACCTGACCCCCCAATTTCCCCAGGTGTGCGCGCACATAGTGCAGGCCATCCGAACCGAGACGACGCGCGTGCGGGAGGAGTGGGAGACTGCAATCTCCAGCCGAGACAATGCCAACGCCCGCCCGCTCACGCCAGCCGGCGCCGCCGCTGTCCCCTCCTCCTCCTCATCCGCGGCCGCCGGCGCCTCGGCCCTGCCGGCTCTCCCTCCGCCCGCCGTGCCGTCTCCTGGCGGGCCCAGCGGCGCCAGGGAGGCCGGAGGGGAGGCCGCCACAGACGCCTACTGCTTCGAGCTGCTCTCCATGGTGCTGGCACTCAGTGGCTCCAACGTGGGACGCACGTACCTGGCGCAGCAGGCGACGCTCCTACAGGATCTATTCTCGCTGCTTCACACGGCGTCACCCAGGGTGCAGCGGCAGGTGAGTGCCAGCGCATATGTGCAGCGCAGTGGTCTGGTGAGCTGCACTGCGCTACAAACCCGGCGACCCCAGTTCAATTCCCCGCTCACGGCCGCCAACACCAGTGACAATTATATGAACTGGTCCTGAACATCGCCTTAGGTCGCCTCAAAAGACAAAGGGGGTCAGGCATGGTGGTGGCCACCCACCCCGTCATGTGCCGTGTCGGCCTTCATAGGTACTCACAGCACTTGTCCCAAAATACGTCAAGGCTTTCTGGGGGATATTTGTCTTGTTGTGCTTTGGCAGGCATGAGTGCTACCACACCACCGCTCGTATGCCGCATCAGCCCAAATAGATCCGTTCTAACAACACCTAGTCTCCTTCAATCCGAAGCTAAATTGAAGATCTATATATTTTTCCATTTTCCGCAATTGGTACTCAATAACAGCCCTTGTCTAAAAGATTAATCAGTCTAAAAGCTGGGATATAGCTTCGTGTGTGTATGTGTTTATTCCGGTCCATGCCTACATTGCACATCGTAAAACCGAAGGCTTACACCATAATCCCAGCCGAGAAAAGAAAATTTGTTTGGCCACGTTCCCAGATCCAGTGCGGATCTTTGCCATAAAATGACGTAATAAGGTGCCTTCTGCCAGTGGCTGCCTCCGTGTAAGGATCGTGAGTGGTGCGTCCTGTAAATAAAGCAACCGTAACGGCGGTGGCTGCAGCGATATCTTTCATCCTCCTTAGCACCGTTTCATGCCGCGTAAATCTTGCCACCCTCCCCGTCTATCCCGGTTCGTCCCCGGCGCCACGCCAGTGCCTTGGATGTGGGAACGGCCGCGCTCGCCCGTCGCCTGCGCTACTTGCTGCACCCGAACAATGCTGTTTCTCTCATTTGATTCTCCTGCATCACACCAGTTAACTGCGTGACAAAATGAAGACAAAAAAACACAATAAATGAAAGTAACTAGGGTAGAAATATCTCGCCGACTATCGTGGAGTAACGGTGAGCACAACGGACTTGCCCTCCAGCGGTCGCCGTATCGATTCTCCAGCGGCCGCGGTGCCGCAGTTGAAACATAGGTGCAAGTTTCTTAACTTGAGATTATTGATGAATAAATTCGTATTAAGAGCCCTTGCGGCTACCGGTGTTTTAACCACCCTGTGTCAGACGGCGGCTCCCAGAAGATATCACAGAACGTATTTCTAAAGGCCACTCAATTGGCCCTCATATCCCCACTAGAAGCACACCTTTTATCCTGCAACAATTACGAGTCCCTGTGGTTGCAGTTTGACAAATTACATGGCAAACGTGAATTCATTTAATGGGGATTTTTTTTTTTTGCGCAGTTATTGGTAAACGGGCAGAGGCCATGAACTCACTGCCACTGGAGAGCCTCGTTCAATCACAGGCGGCTGAAACCCAGATTTAAGCCCAGGACCTCAACGGTGTCAGCAAAACAGCTCAAACACGGTCATTAGGACCCTCCTGAGCCCTATCTGCTGCGCCTCTACTACGTTAACCGCGATACGATCCGGACGCCGTTTCTGATGGTGTGACCCGAACACCCGTTCCGCACCGTCTCTCCTGGACGGTTAATTGCTACTAATTTACAAGGTTTTTAATTCGAAACATTATTTTTTATATATTACATGGTTTTTTTTCCCACTCGCTAATTATAATTCCAATTGCCCCTGCACTAATGAACGCTGCTGTCCCTTTGCAAAAGTGATGTTGTATTTCATTAGTATTTCCCCCACCGACAATACACATTTGAATATTGCAAATTTGTAACAATGTGACAAGGTAAAAATAGTAATGCCCTTAATTTATCCATAAAAGCCTCACTGAGTCTTAAGAATTGTTTTCAAGATTATCCTGCATCGGGATGTTTGGCCAAGTTCATTGACAGCTGATTGCAGGCAACTCGGGTTACCCGGGGAAACACACAAGTACAGGATGACTAATGCTCAAAGATCAACACAGATGGATGCAAGAATCCATTGTTGTACCGCCATCTCCTTCCTACCTCACCGCCCAAGCGCACGACACCTGATATTCCCAGGCACTCTCTTAATCAAGTACTAGCCAGGCTCAAACCTGCTAAGTGGGGGGATCCTACTTCAAATTCCAATCTATGGTCAATAAAATGAGAAACCACTTTGTGGAAATTAACTCCTTTTGGAGTTATTGGCCCCCCTGACTCAGGGACATCAAATGAAATGAGCACCACTCTGGTTCAACATTTAACCAGACACGCACTGGTTAATGATTCACTCAAATCGCTCCCTCACTGGCGGTCAGGTTGCTTCCTTGTCGCTCCTCTGTCACTACGGCCATGGTTACAGTTCTCGTGAATTTGCCTCATTGATTCCTCCACCCATGCTGAGGACTGGCTGCTTCGTCTTATCCACACTGTGGTCAACCACCACCCACCCACCACCACCACCACGCTGCGAGTCAAACCTCTTCTCTATTCTGCGACTTTTCCTCAGATTGCACCACTTTGGAATTATCTCTCGTAATCGTTTTTTTACCCACCAAAATTTTGTAACTTTGCTCAATTCAAGAAATGTATTCATTCTCGTCCATTACGCCTTCAGTCGAGCTATTTGTTGCTGGCCGTTTGGCGTTTTGGGCCCACAACCGTGCCCTCAGAGCAGGCGAATCGATACCAGAGCGAGTGCAAACGCTTGATTCCTCATTGGCTCTTTAGCTCACAGTCCGCTCTCTGAATCATAACGGGCATCACGTGACCCTTCCCACCCCCTGCCTCCCATTCACCACAACATTTAACAAAAAAACAACCTAAATACTATGTTCTGAGTTCTTAATTGAGTCGCAAATCCTTCTCTCCGTCCAGGTGGCCTCCCTACTGCGGCGCGTGTTGCCCGAGGTGCCTCCCAGCCGGCTGGCGAGCGTGCTAGGCGTTCGCTCGCTCCCGCCAGCCGACATCAGCGAGATCATCCACTCGTCGGAGGGTTGGGACCACCCACGCGTCTGCATCCTCGACGTCTTCCTTGGCTGCATCGCCAAGGCCCTCACCGTGCAGCTCAAGGCCAAGGGTGGTGGTGGCAGCGGTGGTGGTGCTGCCGTGGCGGCCAGCGGAGGGTCGCTGGGGCCGGGCGTCGGACGGGGCATCGCGACGGTCACTCTGTCGTCCGCTTTCCATCCCAAGTAGGTGGTGGATGCTGTTCTTGTTGGGGGAGTGGGGGGGGTGTGGTGACTGGGTAGCTCGGCGGTGCCAGGTAGGGGAGGGGGACAGGGGGTGGTCAGAGAAGCTGAGCCGGAAATATTGAGTGGGAGCCGGCGTTTGAATCCGCTGCTCCTGTCGCCAAACTGATTAAACGGGGTTTTCAAGTGTATTCAGTGGATGTCTCAGCGCTGTGTCACTCTTGCCTTGCATCGAGACTCGTCAGCTCACGTAGAGATCCATAAGACATACATAGAGACCCATAAACTCCTTTGAAGACCCATCGACTTGTTTCGATAAGCATACACGTGAAGAGCATTAGACTAACAAAGAGACCCATTGGCTTGCTTAGAGACCCATTTACTCACAGAGACCCGTGTACGAAGTTGTCATTCAACAGGATTCTCAAGTGGAAGTGAGTTGATGGTCTCAGCCATGGAACCAACGTCTGTGCATAAAATCCCACGCTCTCTTCCCCCTTCCCTCGCCATGCCTCTTCCCCCCATTATCGCCAACTGGTCACGTTCGGCACTTTGAGACGTTAAATTGCGCGATTCAGAGCCGTGTAAGTTAAGTAAATGTCTACTGCCAGGGGCCGTTGTCTAACTGGACATCTGTTGTGAAAAAGAGTTTTAAAGCTCATCGGATTCCTCCAGTATAAATAAAGATTTTGATTCTAACACAGGGTGATGCATCGCTGTCTGGGAATTTCTAATGGACATCTTGTGACATGAAACAAAACTTGAAAGAACGCAAACAAGACCGCTAGTTGGTTTATAACGATCGGTTGTCAATTTTTAAAAAAATTGTTTCGAATCAGAATTGAATTGTAACTCTCCCCCTTTGGTAACGATTTATTGAAGATTTGAATGGCTGAATCGTTACACGTTTAATATTTAATAGCGTATTGACGAAGGTCCTTTATTAGCTTTTAAGGATGGATTAATTCTACCTCTGCGCAATCCAATGCACTGCCATGACGCGTGAGTCACGTTTCATTTACGTAAATCAATTATCTCCCTCCCACGTATTGCTTGTACTGTACAATAATTACCAAGCAGTTCCAGTAATCAGGCAAGCTCACAGTCAGCATTTCAAGTGTATCTGCATAATGCAAGTAATTATAGTTTGAGAAGATGTATTTTTAATGGAATAAGTCAAAGGGTTGACATGTACATGAAACCGAATGCATCATCAACATCCCAGTGTAGATAATAAGTCAGTTCGTCTGAGTACGTCCAATACCGTATAATGTAATGAGTATTTCTCTTTTATCAAAAAAGGTGGACAGATGACCTTGTACCGAATTGCGGGCTAAACTGATTGACACGTAACCCCATTTCCACTGGGGGTGCACCTGCCTACAGTTTAATGAATAAGACGTTTCAATGACAGGGATTCGTAGGCTTCCTCGTCAGTGTAAAATATCCCAGAGTCATGGTGGGTTTAGCTTCGAGGGGAGTACGGGAAGGAAATAGAACCCATCATACATTCCAACAGCAGCAGAAACACATTCCTGCGGAGGGAGCTGGTAGGAACGTTGGGTTGCTCGGTCAATCGCCAGGGTCAACGGCGGCGTGGTATATTCCGCAAATATGCCCGACTTTGAGGGCGGGCACAAGCCGGCGTAAGTAGGTTAAACGTTGAGTTTTATAAGGGCACCATGGGGTGACCAGCCCCTCCCCACCCAGCCCCACCCCCCCCACTCAGCCCCTCCCCACCCAGCCCCTCCCCACCCTCCCCACCCAGCCCCTCCCCACCCTCTCCTCCCCACCCAGCCCCTCCCTCCCCACCCAGCCCCTCCCTGCACGACGGACGGACACAATAATCCCCTGTGGGCTGGTGTAACCAGGAGGTTCCTACCAGTATTATCTCCAGTCATCCATAGACAGTTAGTCAAGTAATGCGGCTGTTGGAATGCGTTCTGGGTGGTGCCCCAGTCCTTTTGTTTCGGACGCAAAGATGTTGGTCTGCTCATTGTGACGGAGCTCTGCCAATCTCTCTCCACAGCTCCCAGCGTCCGGAGCACCACTGGTGGCTCAAGGGCAGCACCCCTCCCCAGATCGCCGAGGTCATCATGCGACTCATCACAGACATGGCAGCCGTGAGTACAATAATTGCTGCTATTCGCCACTAAGTGGCGGTGACATCACCACCACCACCACAGGGCTTATGCAGGGCTAGGTGGCCATCACATTAAGTGTGGAACACTCGCTGACAGGAGGTGACGTATGTCATGTGACGGACCCAGGTGTTTTGAGTTCACAGATATAACCAGCAGATGTGTACCACCTGTGCTTCCAGCTGTGCCAGCCTGCTGTGTTTTAGCTGCCCGGCGCTCTGCTGCTCGTCACTCCTCCCCAGTCCTTTGATGTTGTTGAACACACACGACACACACGAGACACACATCGCACGGTACAGAACATCATGGTCACAGTGCAGAATAATGACGGCACAACCTGACACAATTGCAGAATAGGACATATATATGTATGTAGAGCCCTTGTGTCAGTCTATGGCTGGATAAGGGCCTCTCCACACCACGTGGGTCCAGGGGGAAGACTTGATGAAAATACGAAGGTAAACATTTTTTGAGAAGTTGCGTGGTGTCGTCTTGTGGGGTCATTATCTGACGCAAGGTGGTGCGCTGCTCGCAGAGAAAACTCCCAGGGGGAAATTTCTTCATATTGTGATGCAATGCGGAAACGCTCAATTGGTGAGGGGAAAAAAACGATTCAAGTAATAAGTGTGGATATTATCTCGTGTAATCGGTGTGTGAACAAATGCAAAGGTTTGATCTCCTCCAATTTGTCTTGTTTATAGTTGCTGAATATTACAGTTGGATTGCTAGACGCATCGCGAGGTTTCTGTGTTTTAGGGGTAGATGTATAAATGAAACAACGTTGTTGTTTTTGTAAATTATAATTAAGTGAGTGTGCGCCAGCGCAACCCAAAACCATTTTTTTTTGTCAAGTAAATTAACGTAATAATCTTGATTCGTGGAAATGTTTACACGGCATTAAAACAATTACAGTAACAGTTTTCACGACTCTACAGCAATGAAAATGCTACGCCGTTACGACAATTAGGAACAGACGATAATAATTTCCACTTGTAACGCGCCGTATATAATCAGCTCACTCTCGACGAGAGAGAACGACTGAGAGGCGTGTGAGGAGGAACCACAGACGAATGGGAAAAGTAGCAGCCAGACGGTGAGGAGCCAGCACCAACAGTTGCCTAAGCTCTGCCATCCTCTTTATGTTAAGGTCATGTCAGCCAATTCATGAGTATTCACATGTGGGAGCAAACCGGAGTGCCCAGAAAAAACCCATGCATGCGAGGGGGCAACGCAGTATCCCATTAAAAAGGGACAGATTATGTTCGTTCCACATTTTGCTGTACTGCCTTCTCATGGCAATCCAGGGGTATGGGCACCTCCTCGACACCTACGGGAAGGGAGTATCACAACATCTGTGCAATCCACCAACCCTCACTTTACAGGCCACGTGCATAGTAGCCATCGGAACCACCGCCCGGCTGATTTATTTGAAAGATGTTATTGCTTTCTGTTTACAACTCAAGAATAAAAAAAGTAGTAAAACGATAAGCAGTATACAAAAATTAGAACAAAAAATCCCCTCTCGAATTTCAAGTTTGTTTTTGAGAGAGCCATCACCTGACCTGGAGATTGGACAATAACCATAAATTGAGTGATTGTTCATCATTATTGTTATCTCGAGATACATCTTGGCAGTTGTGTGAATTTCAATATATTTCAAATTATCATTGTTATTGATTTTGCTGCTGCTTCTAAGCCAAAAACTACCACTCGTGCACACGGTCGGCTGCTCGGATTTTTCTCTCTTATGAGTGTGTGTGCGTGTCTCTTCTGTGCCTCTTCTGCAATTACCATCAACTGTTTTCGGATCTTGTTTCACACCCACCTCAACCCCGGTCTCCCTCTGCTCCTTGTGCCCTGCACGAATTGTAGCTCTTCTTATTCTGAATCATTGACAGTTGTTCGATGTGCCTGGTAAGGAGGATGTGATGATGAGACAGGAAGGAGGTTTTGCGCTATCGTTTAAGGGACTGGTTGGTACCAAAATGGATATATGACAAAATCACTCTGAATCCGCCCGATCTCGAAAGATCTCAGAAGCTAAACAGGCTTTGATCCTGGATAGTGCTTGGATGGGCTTTTCACCATGCATAAAACAGCTATTGTAGATTGCCGTGGGGTTACATTGTCATTGGAGGGCAGTGAAACTAAATCAATTAGTTGTACCATACTATAGTCCATCTATGGTCCCATCTGTCGCTAACCCGTACTTACAGCTTGGCGAAGTACGGTCAAATAACCTTCATGGCCCACACGGTGTGGAGGGAGGCCCCTCATCCATAAAGCAGTGGATTGAGAATAAGGACCGTGCATGTGCTTCGATGTCCACTATTCATTCGTCCATCATTCGCCTTTAAACTTGAGAACCATGGCCGCCTTCCTGTGACAACACGGATGTGTTGTTGGCAAAGACGGCGCTAAAGCCGTCACCCGAAGCAAGTTAAATCTTCAGCCGTGCCTCAAGTCTCCAGACGCAACCGACGCAGCGCAGGGCGCGCATCAAAACCCGGCTCTTTTATTGCGTGCCGTTTTTATCCGCCGCGTTATTTCACCACGGCAGCCACCATCGCCGCCGTATCGATTAGAGCGTTGCGAACTTAAACGGTGCGCAACGCAGTGTTGCGAGCGCACGCGCGAGAGAGAGAGAGAAAGAGTAATGTTCTGATTTACTGTGAGCGGGGGCGGCTTGTTGGTTTTTGTTAGGGACTGGCGCGTGTGCTGACAGATAAACGGATTAGACTATATTCTTCCAGCGGTGCTGGGCGCTAGAAATGGAGCGGGGTTATTTATTATCTCCTTGCTTTGTCTGTGACGATACGATGATAAGACTGCGATGCTCTCATTTCCAACAACACAGATCCATGGTTAGGTTGTTAGAGTTTAGTGTTCCACTCTTAGTTTCAGTAATCTTTCTTATCCAGCAAAGTGACACTATGGCAGTCCTGCATTTTATCAACACCGTTATTTTATTCTTTGAATCTTAAGACCCATTTTCAGGAGGGTCCTCGTACACAAGAATGTTTTGGCCAATTGTGTCTGTTTTTCGAGGAGTGTTTTGCTTTGATGTGGAAGGAAACCCTAGAGCACGTGGAGAAAACCCACTGTGTAAAACGTGAGGCCAATGCCGAAACGTCTGCACAGATGCACCCCCCCTCCCCCACAACGGGTTTGGGAGCTACACAACATCTCCGTGTGATCCACCTCACCTTGCCACCAAAGCACTGGGTCACTGGCTTTCTCCCAGAGGTTTCTGGCAGAATTCGAACATTGATGGTCGGACTTTTACTGACGAGTCCCAACTAGAATTAAACCGGCCTAGAGCTGTGTCATTGTTTCACCGCTGCCTGTTGAGATGAGACACTTTTTCTCAACTCTTGGAGTTGGTTTCTCATCGACAAAAATGGCCACGCATTTAGTTATTTCGAGCTGGTGGACTGGACAAGGCTAAGAGCTTTTGTGTTTTAAATATAATTGAGATTCTCTCCAAACACAATAACCATTTCGCACCTTTGTTTGCATTTGCACAAAGGGCACAGGAACATCCACTTCAGTGTGTAATTATCAGGTGTGCATAAGAAGTGGTAATTATCAGCCTGAAGAATTAAATTATCGGGTAGTTCACAGGTTTTACAGGCAATTTTCAGAAGTGTTTAAGGAGTCAAACAGATCGAGTCTCGTCAGCTGTCAGTGTTGCCGATTAGCCGAGTGATGAGTTATTTCTTCAAGTGTATCATTATTCTCACAAACGTGTATATATACACATCAAATCGTGCGTGTAAGGAGTCTGTTGTTTTTGATTCATGCACATTTTATGCAGTTTTATACTGTTGGTGAGTGATCGAAATGAACATGATGGAACAAATGATACGATCAGCACTATTGATATGAAACGGACTGACAGACAGAACAAGACACAAACAAATGCAACGCATGGTACAGGTGAGACCGTACAGACGAAACAAACGGAATAAATGTGACTACTGTATGAAGTAGGAGAGACGGTACAAATGAGGTAGCCAAAAGGATGCAATAGTATGAGCATTACCATCGCTGCTCTGTGAGAATTCCAAATGGGTTTTTCCAATCATCGTATGACCGTCATGCTGGATCCAGTGGGGGAGTGAGGGGGCCATGGATGCAATGCCCCCCCCCCACCCTTAAGACCCTGTAACCAGTTACCCAGCTAGTTTCGGGGGCAACGGCCCGCAGCCACGAACAAGTTATTAATGGGGTGGTGAGGAGCCCAGCCAGTAGCCAGCCAGGACACTCGAGGCATAAATAATTTTGAATAGTGGTGTGATTATTAATGTAGGGCCCTATTTAAATGTGACAAAAATCGACAACACGAATCTCGCCGGCAGGGCCACTTGTCGGAGGCGTGGTCGCGCGTCACCAAGAACGCCATCGCGGAGGCCATCATCGCTCTCACCAAGCTGGAGGAGGAGCACCGCTCTCCGCAGCAGTGCATCAACACCACCCGGGTGTGTGCCGCACTACACCGCACCACGACACAGTGCACCGCACCGCGCCACACGGCAGCGCACCGCTCTCCACAGCCGTGCATCAGCATCACCCGTGTGTGTGTGCCACACTGCAACGCACGGCGCAGCGACGCGATGCACCACACCACTCTGCTTTCCACAGCAGTGCATCAACGCCACTCGGGTGTACGCCGCAAAGCACCACGCTACGCCATACAACAACACACAGCGCCACACCGCTCTCATGGCAGCAGTGCATCAGCGCCACCAAGCTGTGTGCCATACACACGTTGTGGGTGGGGGGGGGGAGGATATGTGTTTTTGAATGTGCACGCTATGAACCTGCAGACTTCTTTAAAATCCCAGCTGCTGCTCACATTAGTCGTGTAAGTATTATCCAAACCTATGCTGGGCCTCCCCTCGGTGCATTCAGCACTAGGCAAAACCAATTCGGCCGGGCGCGTTGCTGACTACATCCTGATCTTCTTACAGCACTTTCCCGGGCAGCCTGTGAAAGGGTGCCCAGAGGGATGTGTTTGTTATGTGTCTACAGCGTGTTGGTGGTGCGAAAGTGGAGCTTGCGGTTGTCATCGGGTTCACGTGTCATGCCTGTTTTGCTCGGCGATAAACGCGCGCAGCTCTGGCTGGCACTGGCGTCCCTCTGCGTCCTCGACCAAGACCACGTGGATCGGCTGTCGTCCGGACGCTGGATGAGCAAGGACGGCCAGCAGAAGCAGATGGTGAGGGCACGATCCCTCATTAACGCCCGCACGCGTTCTCTCTCTCTCCCCTCCTCTTCGTCATCCTCCACCGATACCCACCCTGTTGGCGTGTCACCCCGTCTGTCCTCTTAACCTCGCTCGTCCTCCTGCCTACCCCCTAGTGCTCACCTTTACCTCCTAACGAACCTGCTAATCACCATCCTGGTACACTCGGCGCCCTGCCTCTTTTTCTCACCTCTCTGCGCTACGAATGCTCCTACTGTCTCTACTTGCCCTGCTACCACCTCCCTCCTTCCCCCTTGTTTTATCTTCATCCATCTCGCAGACTCATTCCTCCTACCCTCCCCTCTGATCCGCTCCTTTCCTGCCACCCCACCCCCTCGCCTCCCCCCCGCCATAATCCACGTGCTCCCTCTCTGTCTCTCTCCTCCCTGTCTCTGCTGCATTTCCTTGTATCGTCTTCATCCCCTTTTCTCATAGAAATTCTCCCAGCCACTCTCCTTGCCCTTTTCACCCTCTCCCCTCCCCGTCTCTGGCCTCGTCTTTATAAACCTCTCCCTGTCCACCCTTCCAGTCACTCATTTCCCACGCTCACCTCCACCGCCACCTCTCCCACACACACACACCCCCGGACTCCCTTTATCTCCTTGTTCCTTCCGCTCTTCCTCGCCACTCGCGGCCTCTCCTTTTACCCTCTCTCCCGTCCACGCTCCGTCTCACTCGGCACCCCCCTTACTCACGCCGACCCGAATAATCACTGCCCCATTCTCCCTGCCTCTCTCTTTAACCTCTTTGGTCTGCCCTGTTTCGTACGCATCACTCTCCCAGCTTCTCTCCTTGCCCTCCTCACCCTCCCTGCTCCTTCCTGCCGCCAATTGTTGCTTTGTCATATTTCACCTTTGACTTGGCACATACGACCAAGTCGCCCGGTCTTGCAAGCACGTACGTGCTCATTGTATGGCTGAGCCTATGACCAAAGTACCCACGATGCACCCGACCTTTGAAGTGGAACTTTGAGCCTGGATTGTACTTGGACTGGGCGAACACCGTGCAAAACAGATGCTATAGGTTGCTGTGGGGCAACGTTGTGGGCAGCAGAGGGCAGTGAAGCTAAATCCCAATTTTGTATTTTTCACTGTTTCAACGGCTAATGCTTGCCCAACCCGCATTGCCCAGTGTGGCGAAGTATGGTCATTTATTTCCGGTGACCAATATGGCATGGGGAGGCCTTCAGTAGATTGATAAAAGAGCGGCATCTGTTGGTGTGTAGCTGGAAGGTTTGTCAGGGGATACCAGGTTTTGTAAGACTAGAATAATGCGACCTACGGCCGCCTTGTTCTCGCACCTGCGGAGGGCTTCTTTACACTCTGCGACTCGCCCATCGCCTCCACTGATGTCCTCTTCTTCCCCCCCCCACCCCAATGTGTGCAGATACTATTGGCTCTATTGTATGTAGGGTGTGTAGGCTTTTTGATTCAGGCCTTCTGAAAGGCTCTTATAATTTAGTTGACGGACAAATGGAACGCCGGCTCTTTTATATAATAGATAAAGATTGTTATTCTGGGTTGCAAGGTGACCAGGAGATAGCAGTACAACTCTGGATTCTTGAATTTTATCTGTGAGTTTTGTGTATTATCCCCTTCTATGTGTGAGTTTTCTCCAGGTACTCCAATGCCTTCCACTTACCAAACACTCATAAGTGGAAATAACCAAATTTACAACGTAGGAAGGACTCTTCGGAAAAAAGAGTATTGAGACTCGGGTGAGGCTCTCGTGGGTAAATAAAGAGCATTATTTATTGTTTTTATAAATGTATGAACGTCAACTGTCACCATAGCATATTGTACAAAGGACACCTAGTTTTTACGGGGAAAAAATTCTGCGCAATGCAAAAATATATCGGTGCAGAAAGAAATACATGAAACAACCGGGAAAATAAAAATAAATACAGCTGGGAAATAAATATGTCATCTAAAAAATATAATTCATGCAAAACTATCATTAAAAACGGTTTCAGCTTTGTTGTATATCTCACAGAACATTTTACATAAATAAATTGCATACGAGGCAAGAGCTTGGAGCCCTAATAACAAAAACAAAGATCCCCCATATAGCCTCAACAAACTTTGAGACAAGTCCAAGCACCTATAATTTCCAGGATGGCACGTGAAGGGTGTGGGTGGTTAGCATCACGCCCGACTGCCTTTGTCTGCCTAGTGGCGATGTTGAGACACCTTACCATGTACTCATTTGAGACTAAGTCGACCTCTGGGAGGCCCAGGACTGGTTCAGATAATTATAATCGTCACTGATGTTGGTGGCTGTGAGCGGGAATCAAACTCGGCGAGCTGGGTTCATAGCGCAGCGCACAAACCGCTGCACCGCCGCTCCGCACATACACCTGCTTAGCTTCCGAAAACTGTCAAGATTGGTCGCATTCCGAGTAATTTGGTCAGACCCCTTTCTCTTACCCGCCCTTCTCCCAAACTGTCCCTTAAACCCTAGCGCCCACCTCCTTCCTGTCTCATCATCATATCCTTACCCCCTACTCACCCACACTCACAGTCTCTGCCATCTTCCGCCCCCACACACTCCCTCCTCACCGTCTCTTCTCCCTCTACCCTCACATCTCCAACCGACCTCCCCCTGTCTCCCCATCTCCTTCCTTCATCTCTAATACTCTGTCCCTTCCACTCTCAATTGCTGTCTCGGCACGCTCATCCGCTCGCTCCCACGCTCCCACGTGCGCGCAATCGCTCCCCGAGTCTCATTACTCCCCGCCGCTGTGCTGCCTCGCAGCCCAAATTCCGTACTCGGACAAATCAAGGTCGATTCGTAATTCTTTATTCATTTTTGGTTATTACAATAAATCAGCGTGTCACGCTGTGCGCAGATTCACTTACATGCACGAGTCTGATGGGCAGTGCTTCCCCCCCACCACCACCACATCCTCCCTTTTCCCATGCCCCCCTCTATCACTCCCCCACCGTCCTTATCAAGGGCGCACACGCGCACACGCGATCAAACATACACGCACTTGTGCATGCCCGCACACGTGCAAGCTTACACCATTAGACACACACACAATAGTGCATGCTCGCACAGACAAAGTCCCCCTCTGTTGACTACGAAGACTGTTGGGGCAAGTGCTGTTAGAGAGCATCTATTAAAGCAGGCACAGTACATGAGAGAATGTTACAGCCAGCACACGAACTGGCCCCTTCTATGGCTTCTTGGGTCTGAATCGACCTATGGAGAAGACCCATGCCCAGTTCTTATATCACTCGACGCTGGTGTTAGCCGTGGCTTTCCATCGCAGGGGTCGTAGCAGAGTGCACTAATCGGTATGCCACCACTCCCCTCGATGCACACTCACGCTATCGACTCATCGCAGACATGACAGCCGTGAGTACAACAGCAACAGCGGCCGCCATTCGCCACTAAGTGGTGGTGACATCACCACCACAATGCTTATGCAGTGCGAGGTGAACATTGAGGCCATCACATGAAGTGTGAAAAATTCGCTGGCAGGTCACGAATTAGACCCAGGTATTATGGGTTAACCGACTCCAATGGTTGACGGATGCACCACCGGTGCTCCCCATCACACGCACGCACAGACACACACGTACACAGGTACATCATACTCGTGTGTGTATGTGTGCATGCACACACAAATGCCAACGCATGCAATGCGCTTGTTTGCCCGTCTCTTCGGCAATTCATCGCTGGCCCACGGGCAGGTCGGCAGGTCGTTAGCGTGCACACAAATGGTCGGGCGAGTGAGCGAACATGCTGGGGTGAGTGAGCTAGCGGACGGGACAAGCGAGCAAGTGGGTGAGCGCAAGTGAGCGACAGAATAGGGGAGAAGCGAGTGCATGGAGCGAGCGAGGGGATCAATAGGCGGGTGAGTGAACGATTAAACCAGCAAAAGCGTCGCGATAATATATTGCGAAGAAGGCTTCGCAAAAGGCACAATCGATAATTAAAAATACATCTCAAAGCGGATTAATTCTCAGGTGAGATTTAAAACTGTGAGCCGAAATCGGCAGATCTCGATGAGGTCTGGCGAGGAGTTGCAATGGTGAGGAACTCGGCGCAAAGTAGTTCCGTCTCCCACAGCGTGTGCATGACGAAACGAGGAGGTCTGGATCGCCCAGCGCACCGTGAGGTCGGGTTAAATGATGCGTTTGACATCATATGACCTTGTCTGTTTACATTCGTATAATAGTCACCCACTATCCATTCACTGTTTCTGTAACCTGATTGTCCCTGTATTAAAAAAAATATCTGCCTGAGCCGACTTACGCTAAAGGGAATTCATGATTTAACGTTGATTTATGTTTGTACAGTATTGTCGATGTTTTCACGTGACGCGGTTGTTTTTATCCATTGATTTCTGTTTGCTTTATTTCTGTACTTTATTTTATTTGTTTTAACCTTTGTCGTTTTGGTGACCTCAGGTCACTTTTGCAAATAAGACTCGTATCCTGGTTATCTTGAGTTCTCACCTGGTTAAACAAAATCTTCTTCACTTGGATTGCGATAGAAAGTGACTTGAGTCGAGTCATGTTAAAGAGAGCTTAACATCGAGTGCCCTGAAGTTAAAAGTGTGGGAGATGTGGGGACGCAGTGGTTAGTTCACTGCGCTCTGAACTTGGCTACCTAAGTTCAATTTCTCGCCATGACTAACATCTGTGGTAAGTGATATCTGAATCGGTCCCTAGCCTCCCTTCAATCCGCACTAACCAGCATGGTGAAGTATGGTAAAAACAATCCACATGTCTTGACGGTGCATGGGGAAGCCCTCACCCAGTAGTTGATTAACAAATGGCTGTAAAGTCAAAAACTGAACCTTGAAATTTACTCGGCAGCAAACTGGGAGCCAATGTAACGAGGCCACAATTGGAAGTAATATAGATAGATTTTCTTAGAATTCGTTGAAACTGGCATTAGCCGAGGCGCGGTGCCTTCACGGAGAATGCAACGATTGAGCGAGAGCGATCAATCAAGCGGGCGAGTAACCGCGTGAGTGAACTAATGAACGAGTGTTTGAACGAATGAATGAGCAAATGCACGAGCGGGCAAATGGGTGAGCGGGCAAATGGACGAGTGAGCGATCCGTTTTCCCCCACAGCCAATGTGCGACAACCACGATGACGGCGAGACGTCGGCCATCATCCACTGCAGTGCGTGCGGGAACCTGTGTGCCGACTGCGACCGCTTCCTGCATCTGCACCGCCGCACACGCTCCCACCAGAGACAGGTGCGGCCAATAACCATGCTCACCACGATATTAACCGCGCCACACCGTGATATTAACCGCGTCACACCGCGCGCGCCGTGTTACCGGCTCCCTCCTGGGCACCTGCCTCCCATGGTGCCTCACGATGGGAGCTCGGGCACATTGTGTTGCCTGGTTTTCTATCTCTTCGTGTGTGTGTTAGGTTAGCCTGGCTGTCTGTCCCTACGCCTCTCTTTGTCAGTCTGTCTGTGTTATTGGCTGTCTGCTGCTTTGCTTGTGTGTGTGTGTTTATATTGTCTGTCTGTCCTGTCTGCCTACCTTTAATTATAACTGTGTTCTTGTCTGTCTGTCTGAGTGTTCTTGTCTGTCTGCCTGCCTGTTTTTCTGTCAGCCTGCCCATCCTCCTTGCCTCTCTGCCTTTTCTGATTTTCTGCCCACCTATACATTCATCCATATGCCACTTTGCCTCATGTCTGCCTGGCTGTCTTTCTGTGTGACTGTTTTATTGCCTATTTGTCTGTCCATCCGTGTGCTGGTGTGTCTGTACATCCTGTCTGTGAGCTGCCTTGCCTGTCTGTTAGCCCAACGTTCGTAACCTATCCATCCGGTCGGTGTTGTGTCTCTCTGTATATTTGTCTGCCTGCCCATTTATTTTCTTAATTTTGTCCCAGCCGAGCCTCTTGTCTCCCTCTCCGCCCTAGAGGAGGCCGATGTTTCATTCTGTACATGAATCCTTGGCAGGTGGGGGGGAGGGGGGAAACAAAAGTGGGCGGAGAAAGAAGTTGGGCAGCTGAAAAAAGCGGGGCAGACAGATTTAGCCACAAACTAATGTCCTTTACGAAAATCGAACTCGTTTTGTGGGCGCAAATACATAAGTTGACAGTGGACGATGGCTAGTTTTATTCTCCGTAATGTGATCTCAGGATCTCAGCGGTGCCAGCTGATAGCTCTGACCTTTGCGGGCCAAGCCGGCCGGCCTCAGCATGTGAATTATTTTTTAAAAAACGCACTCCTGATCTGCGGCACGTCATCGGAAAAACGGCGTCCTTTCCCCTGTGTCGCGCAGGTCTTCAAGGAGGAGGAAGAGGCGATCAAGGTGGACCTGCACGAGGGATGCGGTCGGACGAAGCTCTTCTGGCTCATGGCGCTTGCCGACTCCAAGACACTCAAGGCCATGGTGGAATTCCGCGAGCAGACTACGGGTATGTCCCTCCCTCCCAGGGCTGTAACAAGGACAGGGCAGGTCCCGGGCACCCCTCCTGAGTGGTAGGGGTGGAGGAGGGGGAGCACCACCTGAATTGATAGCCAAATTGTTGTAAACGAAGTAGGCAGTGGTTGCTGGTGGCTCACATTGATGGGGCCCTGGTGGTGGTGTATGTTGAACTTCTTTTGCACCGTATGTCCCCAACCGTGGACAACAAAAGGACAACACTCTGCATGGTGGGAGGGAAGGGGGGTTGGGAGGTTGGCACCTGACCCCGGGTGGTGAAATATTTAGCTATGGCCTTGCTCCCTCCTTCCCTCCCTCCACATCGCCTTCCCTCCTGCCAGCCCGTACTTTGAGCTGAACCCCCCCCCCCCCCCCTAAATTCCTATACTCAGATCTAACAAGTATAACCCGTAAAAACAAAGTTTTTCACTATAAATCCTTTATATGCGTGGCGGCTAGAGTCCTCTCGTCCTCTGGCTTGAGATGGCTGCCACCTATGGGTCAGATGATTGTCTGGCAGCATTAAACAATTGGTAATTAAATTTTTAAAACAAATTCCCCAAACAGTGTAAAATTTGGAATTTTTTTTCTTCACGAAAATGCATTGTCACGCACAACGAGTCCGTGTGCAAAATGTCAGCTCGATTGGATCACGGGAAGTGGGTTAAAAAACGACCGAAAGATTTGCGCGGTCCTAAGCAAGCAAGCAAGCGAACTTAATATAAAGGATTTAAAAATGTTGGTACAAGAGAGAAACAAAAGCAGTTCATAAGCATTACTCATTACGCTTAGCGTCTAACATTTGTTTCAGTGGTGTTTAACAGCAACTGTGTCATGCCCCCCCTTACCCCCCCCCCCCCCCGCCCGAAGTTTTTTGTATGCCCCCCCCATCTTTCAACAAGGTCGCTCTACAGAGGTGCCTCCTGCTCCTCGTTTCTCACAGTAAAGTCTGAAATTGTCAGCCAGGCTGCTGATGCTGCCGATGCTGCTGCCACCAAAAGGCAATGAGCTCGCTCGCGTCTGCCGTAATTTAGTGCCGAGCTCCTGAGCAGAACGCCGATTATCTCAAGCCCCGGGTTATCGAGCGGCAGCTCTCTGGATGTATCCCACAGACAGCCTTTTGATTTTTAGTTTTGCTTTATTTTATTTTACGGCTCACAGTCCCCGACGTTGTTAAAATCCAATCTTTCCAAGAGTCGTCTCTTTTTCTTTTCTTATCCACCCACCCACATGTCCACCTGCTCGACCATCATACACTCGCCTATCCAGTCATCCACTCATCCACCTCCCCGACCACTCACCCAGCCGCTCACTGAACGACTGACTCACCCACCCAAGCATCCGTTCACCGACCCTCTCAACCACTCACCCACTTATTCACTCACTCACCCACCCATCCACTCACCTCTCCACCTTCCTGTGGTGGGTGACAAACCGGCAAATGTTCACAACTTTCTGTGCGCGCTGCTCTTCGCGTTGTAACGAGCCTCAGAGGCCTCATCGAGCGGTTCCCATGATTGAGGTTGCGCCGCGTTGAGTCTGACATTTCTTGTTGTAACCTTTCCTCCGTATTGACGTGCCCCCGTGTATCGACGGGTGCGTGCGTGCGTGCTCTTGAGCAGGTAAGGCCTCGGCCAGCAGCATGGTGGAGGCTTGCCGGTTCTGCGCTTCGCGGAGTAACACGGAGCTCTCGGCTGTCGGGAGCGTCTGCACCGACCCCGACTGCCAGGTGCGATGCTGCAATAACTGGGACGCGTTATTTTTATTATTGTGATTCCAGTTTCTTTACCCAGGAAAGACTCGCCGATTCTGGCAACTCTAGTTTTATTAGGGTCCTGCCAAGTTTTAACAGCACAATCCCAAATGGGTGATCTGCCGGTCATTTTTCTAACTTGGAGAATTTGGACCGTGATGCCCAGCACACGACAGCCTGATCCTGAGAACGACGTAATAATGGAATCCTTAACGTCCGCTGAGAAGCAAGACGACGCCGCGTAGTGTTTTTACGGTTATTCCACACGGCGGTATTAATTAGGGCGGCCGCTGTATTCGAGCCTCTGCAACAATGAGCGGCGAGCTGCTCTGCCGCTGGGCCGAGTCACCGCTCCCACCGTTCACGACGCGTTCGTTACCGAACTATTAAAATCAGTCCTCACTGGTCATGGTGCCCCGCGTTGTCATCTTCTTTTATCATTTAGACCGCCACGCCTGCCGTCTCGAGGCCCAGAACAAAGGGGCATTTGAAAATAATTACTCATGAAGGAAGTCATTACAGATCAGGATTACAGTCATCAAATAGAAGTGCAGTACAGACGATATAAACAACAAACGAAAATAAACAACGTTGAATAGCTAAACTAAACCCAGCGTGAGACTACTCCATTTTTAGTCCACTTCATTTGAGTTTTTCCTACGCGATCTGAAAACGTCTTTAATTGGCGTTCCATTCAATCGATCAAATCTTTATTTTATCAGTGCACATTACAACAGCAAAACTACACACTCTCTTCTGAATCCCTCTCGTCGTGGCTCACAGACCTCGACATTGGCATATAATAGCTCCTGAACACATTGTCACCATAAACAAGGATATAATTAGAACCACAGAATTCACGGAGAAATATTCCACGAATAAACCACAAGCGTCAAAACATGACGCCCCCATACGTAACGAGACGTCGTTGAAATGTTAACTGCGAGAGTTTGCCCCGAGGATTTTGTAGGACTGCCCGGCGCTATCTGCCAACGCGCCAACGTCGCCGCGTCCCCGATGCGTGCGTGCGTGCGCAGGAGTACGCGCGCACGGCATGCGTCAAGACCCACGGCTGCGGGCACGCGTGTGGTGGCGTGCGCGACGAGAGCGCGTGCCTGCCCTGCCTGCACGGCTGCAGCAAGGCGAGCAGCCGGCTCAAGCAGGACGCAGACGACATGTGCATGGTGTGCTTCACCGAGGCGCTGTCTGCCGCGCCGGCTGTGCAGGTACACGACGACCCCCCCCCTCAGCTCCACGTCCACATCTCCTATCTCTTCTCTCTGCATCTCCCATCTCTTCTGTCTGTGCCTAGCATCTCTCCTGACTCTGCCGTCTGCTTTTCCAATCTCCGCTCTCTGCATCTCGCATCTCTTCCTCTTTGTACCTACTGTCTCTTCCTGTCTGCATCGATCTTCTCTCCTGTCTGCATCTTCCATCCATTTCTACCTGTGCCTGCCATCTCTCCTGTCTAAATCTCCAGTCCCTCCTGTCTGCATCTCCTAGCTGACCCGAGCGGACGTGTGTACACACGCACACTCGCACCCCCCCCCCCCCACCCCACCCCGTGTGAATCCGGCGCAGCTGGAGTGCACCCACGTGTTCCACCTGCACTGCTGCCGGCGCGTGCTCGAGAACCGCTGGGTGGGACCACGCATCACCTTCGGCTTCCTGCTTTGCCCCATCTGCAAGGTCAGTCCGCCCGCCTCGCCCGTTCCGTTTGCCAACCCCCGCGCACGTCGGCGGAAGGCCGAGGTCAAGCTCAGGCCCTGAGAGGTCATCGTTGCCGATGCCGTCCGATGCCACCGCAGCTCACTGTCGCTTCCTTCCTTCTGCCAGCTCCTCCCGTAGTTTCGGTCCCATCTGCAAGGTTTGTCCGTCCGCCAGCTTCGTTTCCCCTGCTCCGCTAATGTCAGAGGAAGGTGGGGGTGGACGTCTGCGGGTCAATGTCGAATCATCACGGCTGATGCCGGTGATGCCTCTTCCGCACCTCGGTCATTGATTTTTTTCCTAACGCTAGATCCCGTAGTTGTTGTAAAATTGATGCCTAACTTCTGAGGACGGCTCTCACAGCCTCATCATCACCACCGCCACTGTTTGGTGTGAGGACTTCTCCCTTGATTCTCAGTCGATACACACTGTGTTCTGTGTGTGTGTGTCTCTTGTATATATTTGTGTGCGTGTGTGTACATCTGTCTGTCTATAGGTAGTGGCGGTGTAGTTAACACCTCGCCACAGCGGGCAGCGTCTTTGTTTCTCTCTGAAAAAGAGCTTTACAGCTCATCGGATTCCTCCGGTACAAGTAAATATTGTGATTCTGTTTCTGCGTGCGCGCGCACAGAGCAAGATCGCCCACCCTGTGCTGCGGGAGCTGCTGGCGCCGATCGGAGAGCTGTACGAGGACGTGCGCAGGAAAGCGCTCATGCGGCTCGAGTACGAGGGCCTGCACCAGAGCGAGGCCATCAGCACGCCCGGCGCGCGCTTCTACAGCGACCCGGCCGGCTACGCCATGAACCGCTACGCCTACTACGTCTGCTACAAGTGCAAGAAGGTTCAAACCGATGCTGCGAGCTCGCGCGTGGTGTGGGGGGGGGGGGGGGGGGGTTTAAGCGACGCATGCCCGGGTTCTGTCGAACACCGCGACGGGACCCCTACGCCATAACCGGAGTGTCCGCGTTCTTGTAACGGGTTTCTCTCCGCACGGCGCTTGCCCCTCGCACGCCGCGTGTGACCGCTGGGCTGTCTTCCTGCCTGCCAGGCCTACTTTGGCGGTGAAGCGCGCTGCGACGTGGATGCCGGGCACGGGGACGACTTTGACCCCCGCGAGCTCATCTGTGGCGGCTGCTCCGACGTGTCGCGTGCACAGGTCCGCCCGCCACGCCCTAAACCTCATTACTCGCCACAGCTAACGGCGCCACCTCCTAAGGCCAAACCTTCTAACCACGGTTGACACCATCGTCAATCGCCACCAAACCTCCTTGCCACACCTCCTTACACGCCACAGTCAACATCCAAACCCTCCTTACCACGACCAACACCGCAGCCCAAGCCTCCTCACTTGCCGTGCTGATCTTGTCGCCCCCTGTAGATGTGCCCCAAGCACGGCACGGACTTCCTCGAGTACAAGTGCCGCTACTGCTGCTCCGTGGCAGTGTTCTTCTGTTTCGGCACCACGCACTTCTGCAACCCGTGCCACGACGACTTCCAGCGCATGACCAGCGTGCCCAAGGAGGAGCTGCCACGATGCCCCGCCGGTACGTTGACCTCGCGCCAAGATGCGCTCCTGTCGTGCGCTCGGGGGCATCGCTCCGCACGATCTCTCACGCTCGCGTGCAAGAGTTTCATATTGGCGATTTGCGATCGGGCCTCGCACATGCAGGTGATGAATTGTCACGATTATCGATTATTTTAGTTTTATTGTGGTTTCTGCCCTTTACTTCTACTCTCTTTTGCTTTTAGTCCTCCAAACTCCTCCGTTTACCACCATTCCTCTCTCCCCTCTCCTTTTAGCCATCCAATATCTGCCCTCCATTATAGTCTCTGCCCTCCATTCTCTGCTGGCTGCCCTCTATCCAGTGCCCTTCAGCCTCTGATCTCAACTCGATGCCTCTATCTGCAGCCCTTTCCAACCCTGCGCCTCCCGGCGGACTAGGCGCTCCGATTAAACCCGTCTCTCTCTGTCTCTCCCCTCCCTCTCCTCGCAGGGCCCAAGGGGAAGCAGCTGGAGGGCTCCGAGTGCCCCCTCCACGTGGTGCACCCCCCGACGGGCGAGGAGTTCGCCCTCGGCTTGTGGCGTGTGCCGCAACGCGCACACGTTCTGACGCGCGCGTCCGAACGGGGACGTCCCCCAATGGCAGAGAGCGGCGGCGGCCACTACAACAACGGCAGCGACCACGACGACGACGACAATGACGCAACAGAGAGCACGCCGGCTTGAGACGGAGAGACGCCGCCGAGGGTGGCGCGCGGCTCCCGCTCGCCGGTTCATCGTGGATGCCGGTCAGCCGGCCGGCCGTCTGTCCGCTAACTGGAGAGTGGCGGTCCAGGCTGGTGTGACGGATCCCGCGTTGGGTATTTTTATTGGGCGTCTTTCTTGTTCTCATTTTACGGAAAGCGCTGCCCATGACCACACGCGTGGGCGATTACCGCCTGTCCGGCGAGAGCGCGGTTTTACCTTCCATGGGGCGGCTGTGAGAAACTAAGGTGGTGATGATGATGACGACGACGATGATAATGAACGTGATTTCGCGCGAGAGAAATATTTTAAAGGCAACGGGAGCAGCGCCGGAGGTTTGTTTTCGGTGGGGAATGGTGGCTGCGGGGTTACCACCGTGCCCCATGCCCCGCTCGAACCATCCACCGGTCTCTTGATGGTGAGCACGAGATGACGAGAGTGGGAGGATCATGGGAAGATCATGGGGAGTCGCTGTACGAACCTCCACTAGTGGCGTACAGCCAGACGACTTTTTATTTATTGGACATTCAGAGCGAAATCTCCGTCTGTGGTGGGGTTTTTTTTCCTCCTCCCTCTGCGTTTCATGAGCTTGTGATTTATTTCACCGGATTCATTTGAGCCATCTGCGTTCTCGAGTCTGAGTGCACTTCGACTCACGGCGTGGTCAGGCGTTGCTCGTGTGTCTCGTAGCCACGACCCCCCTTTCTCCGACGATCCACGACTTATGTTTTTGCGCTGTTGGCCGGTTGCCAAAGTTAAAGATTAAAATAACAATTCCTTTACCAGACACAGGCGGCCGACGCAATTATATACTCCTACTACTACTTGCTACCTTTATCAATTTCTCATTTGTACAAATGTGCGCAGGTATATTGCGAAAATAAAACTGTTACCCATGCCTGTCCGCGACTCTGCTGGGAACGACACACACACACACGCACACATCCACTACTCGTGTACGTGCTCGATGGCAATCGTGGCAGCAGTGACGGGAGGGGGGGGGTCAGCTTTCAGATGACCGCTTATAACGAAATCCTCATCCCCGCCCTACAGCCCCCCACGGATGGGTAACGTCGGCTCTCAGCATAGCGCACGGAGCTGAGAACGTTGAAGAACTCGTTGCGAATCCGACGAGGCCTGGTGGGTTGTGGTGGAGGGGGGGGATCACACGGAAAATGAATGAATAGTTTGGTGTCGTGTTGGCCGGCTTGGGAATTGAGTTCAGATGGGGTCAGGGTCAAGTTGGAGTCTTGGGGGGGGGGAGGGTCGGGTTAGGCCACCATGTTACCCCACTCCCTCGCGTGCGGAGGCAGCACGTGGCCACACGGTCCTGATTAACGATCGGCAGCGCGGGCATCGACCTCCAGCGCGCAACTGTGAATATACGGTAATTGTAAATACATATTTCACTTTGCGTTGTTATTTTGCTCTTCTTGTTTTGATTTCCCACGCCCCCCCCCCCCTACTCTGTTGTAAATTGTTCATATGGGATTTTTAAAGGCGGCTTGTTGTGTTCATGGGTTGTACCGTTATTATTCTTACGTTTGTTGTCATCATTTGTTATCGTTATTGGTAGTGTTATTAGTGTTTGCTTTGGGTTTGAGCGCTGCTCGATTCCGGTGTGTGCGCTGCTCCAGACACGCGTGTCGCCGTGTCGCGAGCGCGTCACCGTTTTCTGGAGCTCTGCTCGCAGCCAACACTCGGCCGATATAATTGGCCCATCAGTCACCACGGTTGATTGCACCGCACGTGAAGAAGATTGCCATGAACCCCTTCGCGTCGTGGAAAAGCACGACGAGGATGATGATGATAATTCGGTTTTGTTTTGTAAACCCCCGCCCCCCGCCCATCCAATGTTTTATGGCTGCTGTGGTGGCTACTGACTTTGCTGTGCATGAGGTTTCTGAATATTGCTTTACTCTACCTGGTGATCTACTGACAACTGGGGCATGATAGCAAAAACTTTACACTTCTGGACGGTGACAATGGTAACATTTTTACATTCAACTTTTTACGAAGACGCATCTGAAGAATCATGGTCAAGCCCCATTAGCCAGGATTTTGAGATCTTACCGTTTATCTTCAAACAAAAAAAACAAATATAATATATACGTACATAAAAATACACGAGTATATTATGTGTGTAGGGCACGCACGGATGCATTTGCGGGGGTTTCCAGTATACAAAAAAAGAGTGCGATGTGATGCAAAATGTGGAAAGTGAATAAAATGTTAAAAGTCACTGGTGGGGTTAAAGTGGAATCTTATGGCGTGGTGCAAATTAGCCAAGCGCGCGCCAGCCCTACCATTAAACATATCCACACCAGTCAACTAGACCATAGGCTGAGCTACAACCACACGAACCCATCGTATACTCTCCCTACCCATAACTACATCGAACAAACCCTAGCCCTGTTCTCGCAATGGTCAGACCGCAATTACACCTGCCCCAACAAAAAACCTAGCCCTGCTCCTAACTCCCACCACACTCGACAACTAGACCAGAGCCCGAAACCTAATTACAACCACACGAGCCAACGCCACATCCTAGAACTATTTATAACCACAGACAATCAGAATATAGCCCTGTCCATAACGATATCCACACTCGCCAACCTTGAACAGGCATTACCAAAAACTCATTTAGGCCGCACTAACTTATTAGACCCTTGCCTTACGCCTATCCATAACCACACTCGCTAACCGCACGCTGATCCTACTCCTAACCAGCCCGAATACCTAACCCAAATGCACAAACAGCCCAGCCAATCACAACCTCGCCCTACCCCTATCCGTACTTCAGAACCGAACCACCCAAGCCTTCACCTAAACCACTCTTGCAACCATAAACGATCCCCACCCCTTATCCATAAACGGGCACAAGCTCAAATCCTTAACCCAAAACCACAACCAACCCAAGCCAGTCGTTACCCCTAATCATGTTTCAGGACCCAACTACACTCGCCAACTACTCACTCTGACCAGAACCACACTGGCCCCAACAACCACCTTGCCCAACGAGACCCTATCTCGAGTTTGTTGAGGATCGCTGTCCTGGGAAATCAGTCTTCCCAAGACAAGAGGTCCCATTGTCAGTTACAACTCAAGTCGGTCATCCCCTCTTCCTGTGCACGGAGATATTCGTCTTCCCTTGAGATGTCCCAGATTTGTTTTTAAGACCTCGTAGGCAAGATGTGGTTAAACCCCACCGCGACCCCGGGAGCCCACCTTTAACTGTCGCTCCCACGTCTTCACTCTGCGTTCACATCCCAGCCCCCAAATCCGCGAGCCCAAAGATTTGAGTCGCAGTGTTGACGTTTCGTGTAATAACGCAAGTTCCTTGGAAAGTGTCGCTCGTTCGGCCACGTGTGCGCGTGTGTCAAAAGCTTCATTTGTGTTCATTTAAAGCCGTTGGTTTGTTTTGAGCGGTGCGACGGCTGCTGGTGAGGGGTGGGGGGTCTTTTTTCTGAGTGAAGAGAAGCGAGGGGAGGTAAATGGAAAACAAAACCCAATAAAGTCCCCCCCCCCCCCTCCGCGTTTAATTAGGGTTGTCGTTGGCGTGTCCGTGGGTGCGTGTGCGCATGTGTTGGGGTGTTTACGTGCAGCAAGCGTGGCACGAGTGCCGCCGTGACGTCACCGCCATTGCTGGACATCTGTGAAAAAAAAATAGCTTTGTAGCTCATTGGGATTTCTCCAGGATAAAGAGTCGGACTTCGTGGCGAACGGCCGCTAATGTTGTGTTTGTGTCGGCACGGTCTGGAGCACGGGTGGTGCATCTGTCGGTCATCTCGGTCAGTCAACCCATGGTCACCTGGGTCTGTCCCGTGACCTGTCAGCGAGCCTTCGACACTTCACGTGGCCTCAAAAGTGCAACTAGCCTGGCACAAGCGCTGTGGTGATGTCAGTGTCAATTTGTGGGGCGAATGGCAGCTGTTGTGTTTGGGCAAGTGCTGTTGGCGAGCCATCTACCGAGGCCACTTATCCCAACAGCCTTTGCAGGCTACACGGGGCATCTTTGTAATTGTCTTTATATGTTTGTGTGTGCGAGCGCTTGGTTATGTATGAACGTGTTGGTGCGTCTGTGAATGCGTGCGGGGAGCGGTAGTGTAATGGTCAGCGCGCTGCGCGACAAACCCATCGACCCGAGTTCGATTCCTGCTCCCGGTCAACACCAGTAACGATTATCTGATCCGGTCCTGGGCCTCCCCTAGGACGGCTCGGCCTCAAATTAGTACCTAGTGCGGTGTGTAAACATCGCCACTGGGGAGACAAAGGCGGACGGGCGTGGTGCTGCCCCCACTCTACCCCGCCGTGTGCTGTGCCGGCCTTCATAGGTGGTGCTCTCTCACAGCACTTGCCCTAACAGTCTGTTAGGGCTATACGAAGGATTGTTGTGTTGTGTGTGCGAGGAGCCAGTAGTGTCGTTGTAGTGCACTGCACTACAGCCCCGGTGGCCTGGGGTAGCCCCGATTTAGATTTCAGCCTTCAGTCAACACCCGATTTGTCACGTCGGCATCAGCACCGGGGAGACAAAGGTGGCCCTGGCATGGTCCTGACCGCACCACCTCGCCGCACTGTGCCGACCTTCCTTGGTGCTTGCTGACAACACTTGCCCCGACAGAATGTTGAGACCACATGGTGGTGGTGGTGGTGTGTGTCTTGGTGTTGTGTACGCGCGCGTGTCATTTCTCCGATGATAGCTGGCCCATGTTAGGTATTGGGGGGGGGGGGGGGGTAGGGCTGGGGGTGAGTCCCAGCTGTAACAATGCACCAAGCGGGCCTGAGCATTGGGCCGCTGATTGAGTCCCCCCAGAGAAGACCCATTCGTAAACCTCGGTGGTTTGATGGCTCGTCCGATTCAGATACAACTCGTATGTGTCTTAAACTATTTCCATTGTTGTGAATCGTGGGTTGCGTTCATGATGTTTGTTTATTTTCCTTCCCCCTTTGCGTTGACAATGACGTGTTACTTTAAAATAATGAATTTTGTTATACAAGGGAGCGGGGGGGGGGTTGAGGCTCGAAATAAAGTGTGTTTATTTCAAATTCATCTCGACCGGAGGTTTCGCTACGCCCGGCGGAATGCACTATATATACTCTCGTGCTGTCATTTTAAATTGTCTGCTACCCATTCCCTCCTCACACCACTGGGAGAGCTTTACAACAGTCACTGTGTGTGTGTGTGTTCGTGACCGATTTACAGCGATCACTGTGTGTGTGTGCTCGTGACCGCTCTACAGCGATCACTGTGTGTGTGTTCGTGACCGCTCTACAACGATCACTGTGTGTGTGTGTTCGTGACCGATCACTGTGTGTGTGTGTGCTCGTGACCGATCACTGTGTGTGTGTGTGTTCGTGCGAGCGTGTGGCCAGGTTAGTTAGCCGAGTTTGATTCCCGCTCACGACCAACGACAGTGGCCAATTGGTCCTGGGCATCACCTAGGTCAACTCAGCCTTAGATAATCACGTGGTGCGGTGTGCAAACAGCACTGGGGAGACAAATGCGGCGATCTTTTAAGGTGGTTCGCACACTGCGCAGTGGTTAACACACTACTCCTTACGAGCCCAATTCAATCCGAGTTCGATTCCTGGGCCACGCAACAGCGCCAACAGCACAAATCTGAAGCCTGTCCCCTCCTCCGCCTCTCCCTTGGTCGACTCGGCCCTAAATGAGTCTTGTAACAGCACGCGAACATCGTCAGCATTGGGGAGACAAAGGCGCTCGGAGTGTGCCGTGCCGTTGCGGCCTGTGCAGGTTTTCGCGAACCAAAGTTGCCCCCAGCAGTCTTTCCCAGGCTAAATTTAAAGTGCTCGTTGTCTCCGCTTGCGCGGGATGTCAGTGTGTGCGTGCGTGCGTGAATATATCAGGCGGTACGCGTGATGTGTACGTGTGTCTTG